CCTGTGACTCACCTCCCAGGAAGATGCCAGAGCAGGGGAGCCCTGGGAAGCAGGCTTTGGCTGATTGCAGCCAATGGCCAGAGGTGGTCTCAGTGGAGAACCAGCTGTCCCTCCCTGGAAGGGCTAAGTCCTGGGGCTAGTGGGAAATGGCAGAGAGGAAACCTGACCTGGTAGACAGGTCTTTGTATTGTCAGTTCTCCAGGTTGGAAAAGGGTGAAATCACAGAGTGATTTCAGAGAAGGGACATGTGATGATATTGAAGAGGAATTCAGAGACCCTCCCTGGAATCAGAACACATAAACCATGCTTATCATGTAGTTCCTGTGCAGCTCAGGGAGTGGAATTCCTATGCAGCTTAAGTTGTGCAGAACCTTTTAAAAGTTTCCAGGGGGTGGGGGTGGGGGGACAGCACTGTGGCCTAGCAGCTAAAATCCTGAATGCGCCAGGATCCCATATGGGTGCCGGTTCTAATCCCAGCAGCTCCACTTCCCATCCAGCTCCCTGCTTGTGGCCTGGGAAAGCAGTAGGACAGCCCAAAGCCTTGGGACCCTGCACCCGTGTGCAAGACCTGGAGGAGGTTCCTGGCTCCTGGCTTCGGATCAGCGCAGCACCAGCCGTTGCGGTTACTTGGGGAGTGAATCATCGGACGGAAGCTCTTCCTCTCTGTCTCTATCTATATGCACCTTTCCAATAAAAACAAATAAATCTTTAAATTAAAAAAAAGTTTCCAGGGTCCGCAGGGCAGGGCCATCCAGGAGCCAGTGGACACAGCCAGGTTTGGTAATTCACGTCCAGCAGTTAATCAGTAACCGGAAGGTCCTGAAGCCAGCTCCTAGCCAGCTGAACTGGGAGGTTGAACTCAAGCTGGTTTGGGAGTCAAAACAAGTGGATGACAGGTCATTCCTGACTCAGACGGCCTCTGGGCAAGTCAGGATTGCACTTCAGGTCAGAAGGACTATGCAGAGGAGAAAGAGGACAGAACCGTGCTCAAGGGTGCTCCCCAGGACTTGAGCTGAGACCCAGAGTTTTCTGGTAAGAAACCCAGCTGGAGTGGGGCACTTATCTCCTGGTGTGTTGGACTGCTGATGGGTTGGTCACCTAATTCCTTGCTAGCTATGTTTACTTTCCCTTTGTTGTCTCCTAACTTGTTCCTCCTTCCTTTTCTTTCTTCTTTTCTATTTCCTAACCTCTTTTCCCCAACTCTGCCTTGTCGACTGCTAAACTTTCTTTTTCCTTACTTCCCTCCTGCTTTTATTCCTTCTTTTACTAACTTCCTAGATTCTTTCTGAAGTTCCAGGCCACCAGCTTTGGGGTCGCACTGCCTGGGTTCATATCCCAGGTGTGTCATTTTCTGTCTCTGTGTATCCACAATTTGATTTCCTCCTCTTCAAAACAAAAATCGGGAGAGCTTCTAAGCTGTAGCGTTATAGGAACCAAATAAAACTGAGCTGGCACTTGAATGGGGCAGGTGGGTAAATGAATACCTTGCAGTGAAGACAGGAGCAACCACAGAGGCAAGCACAAGGATCAGAGCAAGAGCAGCCAGGGCTAGCAAGTCTCTGAAGAGACTTCCAGGGAAGGCAAATGAGAACAGAGAAGGTTATCCAAGAACTAGTTTGACTGGTGGAAGCAGAGTGTGGGGAGGTGTCCATAAAGTTCGTGGACAATATATGAAAAAAATTACACATAGATTTCAAAATAACTTGCATGAAAATTAACTTATCTTTTCATCTTGTTTTTCTACAAATTTCTTGAAGTATCCTAGCCTAAGTTCAGAGACAAGGAGAGAACCAGAAACAGAGAGATAGATTTGGTAGCTGTGAAGTGTAGTTTGATGAAACCATTAAGCTGGTTGTGATCAATTAAGGAGTAAGTATAGACAGGGCTGCCAGGACTGAGCCTGCAAGCTGAGCAAGTCAAGTGAGTGGCAGACTCTTCAAAGAAGTTGAGTTAGACCTGGATGAATTCTCCCCTGGCCAGGACTTGTGGAAGCCGCTGCTCTGTCTCATTGGAGTGTTGGGATGAAAGCCTATTGGGAATAGGTTCAGGAGAGACCAGTGGAAGGAGTGGAGACAGAGTCCAGACCAGTAAAGCGAAATGGAACAGCAACTAGATGGGTGTGAGGTCCGTCTAAAGTAGCCTTTTGTGGGTTTTAAGGTTAATACTGTCACTATTATTTTGCTGTTATGAATAATGCTGCCAACTGAAGGCCTCATTATGCTCTTGTTATTGAAAAGGAATGTCCTTGTCCTGAGTATGTGTTTTGTCAACATGACATCCTGCCGATCTGTGTATTGGTTCAACATTTCTGTTGTTTTCAAAGATTGAAGACTCTGATCTTGTTCACTAGAGTTTTCTTGGGACAACCTCTCCAGGTGCCTTGCTTTCAGAGAACCACCAAGACCACTGGGCTCAGTTCCCTGTCTCACCAACCACCTCAGTCCTAGCCCTATGAGTCTCTCCTCTGTGATGTCCTATAGCCACACAGAAAGTACCAGAAGGGAAGCATTGTGTTAGACCAGTGAACACTTGCCCATTTCTCAGAAGCCCTTGAGAAGTGGAAGGGCCACCATGATTACCTAAGGATTCTTCTAGGCAGCAAGGCCTCCAGGAGCCATGGTGCACCTGGGACCTTGTTTCTTAGCAGCAGAGCTCTGGACCAACTAGACACAGTGGACTAGACCCCTTAAAGGGCGGGCAAGGAGGGGCCTCAAGGGCCAAATGCACAGGAGTAGTCTAAGACCAAGACCAGCCACACCAAGCCAGAGACTTGAGCTCTAGGTTTCTCTCTCTCTCTCTCTCTTTTTAAGATTGATTTATTTTTATTGGAAAGTCAGATTTACACAGAGAAGGAAAGACAGAAATAAAGATCTTCCATCCTCTGGTTCACTCCCCCAAATAACCACAATGGCTGGAGCTGAACCTATCTGAAGCCAGGAGCAAGGAGTTTTTTCCAGGTCTTGCACACAGGTGCAGGAGCCCAAGGCATTTGGCTGTCCTTGACTGCTTTCCCAGGCCATAAGCAGAGAGCTGGATGGTAAGTGGCACAGCTGAGATATGAACCAGCATCTCTGTGGGACATGCTGCCACTTGCAGTGGGGGACTAGCCTATTGAACTACTTTGCCAACTCTTCCCCACAACCAGGTTTTTCTTGAAACATCTGCAGGTCCTTGGTGTCCTAGGGCTCTTGGCTTCTCTGGCTGACAACCCAGGTACCTCTTCTTCAGTCCCAGGTAGTCAACATGGTACCTAGGTAGACCTTGGGGATCGTATTTTCTTGCAGGCCCCTACTTACATACATTGCTGTGCACACAGAGAAATTTACCAATATGTACCAATAAGAACACAGCATGTCATACCTGTATATGGGATTCCACACACATATTAATAGACACTACACTCATCTGCAGTCACAAGTGAACACCCACATGTGTACATTGACACATGTTCATTAACATACATAAAAACACACCGATACTGCAAAGAGACACAGCAAAACACACCCATGTACAAATGCTGAGAAGTGCAGTGATGCACACAGGGACATATCGGCAGTGTGGTCACAGGGTCACCCATGTGCAGCCTTTGCTACACAGACATGAATTCCCAAAGTACACAAAGGAACACTGAAGTACATCAGTGTACAAAACACAAGCACATGTAGCACACACACACACACACACACACACACACACACACACACACACATCCTGAGTCGTATGGTCTCATGCATTCTAGCAAGCCTGAGTCTGCAGAGCTCTCCCGGGGCCATTGCCTGCTCCCTCCAACCCCTCTCCACCCAGGGGACTGAGGTTTTCTCGCCCCCTCCCTGTGCTGATGGACTGCACGTGACGCTGACCAGCCCCTCCTTGCTGCAGCAACGGGAGTTCCGCACTCTGTGCTGGGGCCAGCCCGGCACCAGGCAGACACTTCAGCCCTTGTTGGGAGAACAGAGAGGCTCTCTTGTCCACTGCGTGTCCTCAGTCCCGACTGCCAGTTTTCTCTGGACGTCTCTTCTCAGGCTGAGCAGGTAAGAGTGAGGCCAGCCCGGGGTCATCAGGTCAGTCCAGGACCAGGAAGGCATGGCCCCATGGGTGCCAGCTGAACCCAAGCCTTTCTGGACCTGGCCACTTGGCAGCTCATTTAGGACTTGGCGGGGCAGGGCTATCACTTTCTCAGTTCCCACAAGGCCATAGGGTGGTACCTCTAGGACCCCTGTTTGTAAGGATGGGAAGTCTACCCAGAAAGAGTGGCTCGCAGGCGTCTTACCTCCTTGGCTATTCCCCATCCTTGATGAGACTTTGCCCAGGGAGGAGGCACCTCTGACTCTTTGTCTCCACCCCTCCTGAGATATGTGATGAGAAGGACTGTGTGCCCAGGGGACATCATTTCTTCTCTTATCCATGCCGGAATTGTGTCCTCGGGGTAGGAGTGTGGCACCTGGGTCGTGGCAGATGCATTGTGTTGGGAAGGCGGGGAGAGCAGTCATGCCTGAGGACCCAATGGAGGAAGCTGTCCCTCCCCTCCCCAGCTTTCTCCTGAGTGCTCCTCCCTGTGTCCCCAGAACCTACCCCATCACAGCTGCAGAATGGCCTCTAGCCCAACCAAGACCCCCAGCACCCAGGTGAGTGGTTCTTGGTCTCCCACTCTTGACTGACAGAGGCAATTACTTCTTCCCAGGGCAGCAAAATGCCATTGAGACATGGACCGGCTTTGGGGGGCTATTCTGGACCCAAGGTCTGGGTGGAAAGAGGGACCACAGAACTGACAAAGAGAAACTCTTAGCAGAGAAATCAGGAAGAGGGGACTTTAGAAAGTAGATGGGGTAGAAAAGTCTTGGGGTTCATTGTGTAGACCCCTAAATCTGAGGCCCAGCCTAATTATCTTGGAGACCTTGGACAGTCCCTCTGTGTCCCAGCTTCCTCCCGCTCAGGATTGGCACAACAGTCAGCAGCCTCCAGAGGCTGTTGTAAGAAGCTGTGAGATGGTGGATAAGTGAATGGGGAAGGGTGGGGAGTGTAAAGAGATCAAGGAGGCAGTGGAGCTAAGGGGATCAGGGAGGGCAAAGGGAGGAAGCCTGCTCATCCCTCTCCCCTCTTTGTTTAAATGTCTTCAGTCCACAGGGACCAGTGGAAACATCAACCTGGGACCCTCAGCCAACCCGAAGTGAGTTCTGATCTCTCAAACTACTTTTGCTTCCTGGGCTTCCCTAATACCTGTCTCCCTTTTTCTTGCCTTGGCAACAAAATCCCAAGTTCTCTGGTCTGGCATTCAAGACCCTATGCCATCTGTGCTCAGGACCCTCTCCTGGCTTTTGCCCATGCATGGTTCTCTACCTGGAATGTCCCCAGACACCTGCATGGTTAGTAATTCCTCACCCCCAGGCCCTTCATGCAATGAAGACCTGCCCATGCAATGTGTCTTGTGTTATCTTCTCTGCTTCTTCCTTGTGGGTAACTCTGAACCCCTGGCAGGGAGAAAGAGTCTTGGAGGTGCCCATTTGGCTGGGAGCAGGTGGGTTTCCTAGGTGTGGCTCCTGGAAGGCCCCCATATACCACCTAGCTCCAAAGCCAAAAAGAACCCTAGCTCACACAGAGCAAAGACCATTTGGGAAGACCCAAGGAATGGGGCAGTAGTCACAGCGAGGTCTCTGGGCTTGTAAACACGACCCATGTCTTTCTCTCATCCTCCTTCTCTTGTCTACCAGTGCCCGGCCCACAGACTTCGACTTCCTCAGGGTCATTGGCAAAGGGAACTATGGGAAGGTGAGTAAGGGAGAAGGGCATAGGTGGGGACTAGATCTCCCATCCTTCACCTCCCCAGCCTGCTGCTGCGTGTGTAGAATGGAAGCAGGCTGTGAACACGAGAGCCAGGGTCCACAGCCTGCCTTGGTGCTTCTGCTCAGGTGCTGCTGGCCAAGCGCAAGTCGGACGGGATGTTCTACGCCGTCAAAGTGCTGCAGAAGAAATCCATCCTGCAGAACAAGGAGGTACCAGTGCCGTTCCTCGTCTGGGCTCTCACCTCTGAGGGGTCCAAGGACCTGGGTCACAGGTGGTCCCAGGAGGCAGAGGGTAGCCCTTCCCAAGGCAGGCAGGCCATGCTGCATCCCCTAGAACACTGCAAATCTCTCCTTTCCCCTGAGAACTTCAGGGCCTCTCATGACAACCCATCAATGCTGTGTTGGTACCAAGACTTCCATCTGTGTAACGTGGGAGCTGCACCACTCATTCTCCAAAGGCCCTGCAGGTTAAGGCCACCTGGATTTATTTAAAGATTGATTTTATTTATTTATTTTTATTGAAAAGACAGATACACAGAGAAAAGCAGAGACAAAGAGAAATATCTTCTCTTCACTGGTTCACTCCCCAAGTAGCCACAATGGCTGGAGCTGAGTCAGTCCGAAGTCAGGAGCCAGGAGCCTCCTCCAGTTCTCCCACATGGATACAGGGTCCCAAGGCCCTGGACCATCTTCTACTGCTTTCCCATGTCACAAGCAGGGGGCTGAATCAGAAGCAGAGCAGCTAGGACATGAATTGGTGCCAATATGGGATCCCAGCTCATGCAAGGAGAGCTCTTTAGACACTAGGCCATCATGCTGGGCCAAAGCCACCTGGATTTCTACCTAGAAGCCTTGAGTTTGAGAGAAGATCAGTAATGTTAGCCAGGACCTCATGGGGGTAGGAAGGGCTCCCAAGAGCAGTGGCCTTGTTGCCAGCCTTGGCTGTAGGATTCTCCTGATTTGAAATGAAGATGGGATGTGTGAGTGAGGGAAGCCGCAGGAGCAAAGGTGGAAATGTGTGTAAAGGTGAATAGTGCAGCCCCACCTCTTTGTTTTTTTCTTTGTTTTGGAAACGTATGAAGAATATATGCTTTGCTTTTTGCCTTAGGAGGCAGCAGTTTCTAATCCAGGGACTGACTAAAGATGAGAAGGGCACTGAGCCCAGGACCTGGCCCTGTAGGCAATAGGGAGCCACTGTGGAGGGTTTGAGCAAAGGCGGGAGAGGGTCCTAGGCAGCCAGCCCGGGGTGGTGAAGCCATGTGGAGCGTGACATGGCCCCACCCTCTGTCTGTGTGACCCTACAGCAGGGCCACATCATGGCAGAGCGCAACGTGCTGCTCAAAAACGTGCGGCACCCCTTCCTCGTGGGCCTGCGCTACTCCTTCCAGACCCCAGAGAAGCTCTACTTTGTGCTCGACTATGTCAATGGCGGAGAGGTGAGTGGCCCTGAAAGGTAGGGGCGGGGGAAAGGAGGCCTCCCCAGAAGCTGTCCATCCCTTCCATGCCCACTGCGTGCCAAGTTATGGAATGGTTTCACCTTGTCCTGAAGACGGACCCACTGTGTAGCTGAAACAGCTTAGGCTCAAGAGGTGACTCGCTTGTTCCCAGCCACCCCGCCTGTCCCTGGTGGAGCTGGGTTTGCTTGACTTGCCAAAGGCTGCCAACAGGAAAAGGTCAACGTGAAGAGTTGCTCAGTGCTCCAGGTTTGCAGGGCTCCCATTTGGACACCACGAGCTACAGGCTAGAGACAGGCCCTGTGCCACACAGAGACCTGCACCGCCAGTTGACCCTGACACAGCTGGGGACAAGCAGGGCTCCCTCAGGACATCACTCTGTATCTGGGCACACTTCAGTGATTCCAGGGCTAACCAGGTGCCGGAGGGGAGTTTTTTTTTTGTTTTGTTTTGTCTTTTGTTGTTGTTGTTTTATCCTGTGTACCAAAGTCAAGGGCTTTCTAGGCCAGAAGAATAGGACAGAGCAAATGGTCCACAGACAGACCCAGCCTAGTCCCTCATGGTAGCCATAACCAGGTTCACTGAGTTGGAGGGCAGGCACAGCTTTGAACCACCCAGCACCTAACCCACACTCAGCCCATCGGGTGCCGCATGGCCCTGGGCCAGTCACCTGACCATTCAGAACCCTCCCAGTTTTCCCATTCATGAAACTGGCAAAACTGTTGCTACCTTGAAGTTTATTAGGAGTCCGTGAGATAAGAGATGTGGAAGGGCCTGGAACACAGCAGGTATTTAGTCAGTGCTAATTAATCTGGCCTCCTGCTGATACTCTGGCTACTCCCACCAAACTAGGGAACTGGGCCAGCCCACCACTCTGGTCAGAAGTACCCTACAGCTCAGGGTGAGATACTTGTGCCAGCCAGAGCCCCAGAAGACCTCTCACACACTTCCTCCTTCCACCAGCTCTTCTTCCACCTGCAGCGGGAGCACCGATTCCTAGAGCCGCGGGCAAGGTTCTATGCAGCCGAGGTGGCCAGCGCCATTGGCTACCTGCACTCTCTCAACATCATTTATAGGTGAGCCCTGCTGGAGCTCAGAGCCTCCCCAGGCCCTTCTTATTCCCACAGCCATTGGTTTGTGTGGACCCCTGGATCCTGAGAAAATCCCAGTGAGCTTGCTCCTTTGAGTCGGGGCCGGGAGGAGGGCGGTCCCACAGTTGGACTGGGACTGGAGGTGTTCCTTACTAGAGCCAGGTGCCTGGCCGCCCTGGGTGTGGTGTCTGTGTCTGTAGGATCCTCCATGATTAATCTTCCCTTCAGGATCCTGAGTTCCCAGATATCCAGCTAAATGTTAAGACATCACAAACTCTATTGTGTTTTGTTTTGTTTCTGCAGAGATCTGAAACCAGAGAACATTCTCTTGGACTGCCAGGTTGGTATGTGTGTGTGTGCATGGCTATGCATGCAAGTTGTCTAGCCATGAATCTGTATTCATGGGTGTGTATACATCCAACATGTGTCCAAATGGTGGCAGATACATTTCAATCAATCTGTACATGTGTGCCTGTGTGAGTATATACAGAAGTGTGCACTGCATGCACAAGAGGTCATGTGTACGCGTATGTGTGCAAGGTTTATGGGTGTGTAGGATCCTGTAGGATCCTGGCTGTGGCAGGGCGCAGGCTGCTTGGAGTGCCCAGCCCCGTTATCCCGCAGAGCCAGGCTGGAGCTACCACTGTGGCAAGGATGGGTCTACAGTGAGCTTAGGGCACCTAGGGACATGCCATATTCCCAAGTATACCTTGAGTGGCTTCCAGCCTATACTGGACTTTAGAACCTCCAGCTGCTCCCCTGGGTTGTGGCAGGCTGTGCTTCTCTGTTCTTAGGATCTTAGATCTCCCTTCTGCCCCCGCCGTCCCTCACCTGCAGGGACATGTGGTGCTGACAGATTTCGGCCTCTGCAAGGAAGGTGTGGAGCCCGAGGAGACCACGTCCACGTTCTGTGGCACCCCCGAGGTAAGTGGAGGTGATAGGCTACACATGATGGAGGCCTCGTCTCTGATCAGAGCTGACTGAGAGAGCTCTGTCTCTCCGTTCAAGCACTTCCGTGAGCTGGTTGAGCACTGAGCATTGATTTTCCCATCTGTGTAATGGGGTCACCAGCTCCCGGGAGTGCTGGGAACTGATCAGCTAGCTGCTGGAGAAGCTCTTCAGCGGGGCCGTCTAGCCAACAGAAATGCAAACCACACATACAATTTACAAGCGTCCAGCAGCTGCCGTTGTACAGTCAGAGATGACATCAATTTTAATCATGTATTTTATTAATCCAGGATATCTAATCTTATTTGGATACACAGTCAACATAAAAATGGCTGAAATAGCTTGTTCTCCTGAGTCTTGGAAGTCTGGTGTGTACTTTATGCCGACAACCCGTTTCCATTTGGCCTAGTCACATTTCAAGTGCTCAATAGCCACATGTGGCTGCTGGTTGCTGCGTTAGACAGCACTGCTCTGCAGGGTACAAAGCACAAACCCACCTCCCTCTTCCAGCCCCTAAGCACCTAGAGAGCTCAGGTTTGTCAATTTCAGCAGTAATTCACACACATCTGTCTGTCCTATAGCCTTGGGATTAAAATCTTTGGATTCCGACCCATCTTAGAGTTTGGAGCTGAAGCGGACTTAGACTTGGGGTTGGGGGAGAGGGCTGAGGCTGCTGAACTGGGTGTGGGACAGGGTTTGATTGCCCTGTTTTTCTCCATGTGCTTGAAAACCTGGCTTCTGGGTGCCAGCTGGGCTTCCTCAAGGTGCTAGCAGGACAGCTGGTGGACAGTTGACTGCTCTGAGCTACAGACACTGTGATTGCCTATGATGAGCTGTCCGCTATGCAGAGCTGCTTCCTCTCTCCTCCCGTCCGACCGCTGCCAGAGCCTGGCAGCCCAGCCATCTCTTCCTCGGACACTGCCAAGACCATGAAGGAGACACGTTCCTCACACATCATTTCTCCTATAATTTGGCCATGGCCATGGGGTTAGGGGACACAAGGGTCATGTGGTTGCTCCCCGCATTCAAGGTGCTGCACCTGTGACACACATTTTCCTTAAGACAGCTCCCCAGGCCAGGTTCTGAATCCGCCTTCTACAGAGGAGGAAACCGAGGTTCCAGCTAAGCGACCTGCCTGACACCGCATGCTGACTAGGCTCTGGTCTGAGTGGTTCGCCGGCCTTCTGCAGGCCCACATGGCTTACACTTTATCTGTAGTCTGTCCACTGCTCTGTGAGAGGACTCCAGGGACTCCCTATTCCAATGACCCTGGATAACTTCACACAATCAGAAGAAGGCACCCCTTCTAGACAAACTAATTGAAAAAATCACCCCTTGTAACCAAACAGTAATGTGGCAGATACCCTACTGGACTATGGTTATGGTTTGGTGAGTGCAATACACCCAGAATTTCAGTCCCCTCCACTTTAAAAAAAAGTATATTCATTTGTGGGATGGACAGATACTCATCTATTAGTTCATTCCTCAAATGACCACGACTAGGCAGGGCTGAAGGCTGAGAGCTAGAAACTCAATCCAGTTCTCCCATGTAGGTGGCAGAAACCCAATTACTTCAAGCATGACCGCTGTCTCCCTGAGTCTGCATTGGTAGGAAAGTGGGAGTCGGAAATTAGAACCAGGTGTCAAGCCCAGGCACTTCAATATGGGACCCAGGTGCCTCAACCAGCATCCTGCTAGGCCATGCCCTCCCTTGTGGTCACTTTATCCCTTTGGCTGGTACTTGTGTGTGGTACATGTGCAGCTGTACAGAGCAGTTCCATGTGATCTGATCTCCCAGTGTACCCAGCGCACAACAGAGGGTCCTGCACAGGGCCAGCATGTGGTGAGTGGCTGCTGAATGAACCTGCAGGCAGCTCTGCCTGTCACAGCAGGTGCAACCCCTGGCCATCTTCTCCTCCAAGTGCTTGGTCTGCAGAGGTAGCAATTAAGACTGTAGTTCCCTTCAAACAAGTGTGTTTCTCCTAACAGTACCTGGCTCCCGAGGTGCTTCGTAAAGAGCCTTATGATCGGGCTGTGGACTGGTGGTGCTTGGGGGCAGTCCTCTATGAGATGCTGCACGGCTTGGTGAGTGGGGCTCCCCTGCCAGCAGGCACTTGTGCTTCTGGGATGAGCTGAGGCGGGGCTCCCTTTTTTGAAACTCTACACAAAACTAAACCATCCAGCTCCATGTTGCATCCAAAAGATGATTCCACAGTGAATGTGAGAATTACTTATTTTTAAAAAGGTTTATTGATTTTTATTGCAAAATTAGATATACAGAGAGGAGGAGAGATAGAAAGGAGGATCTTCTGTCCGATGATTCACTCCACAAGTGGCCGCAATGGCTGGAGCTGAGCCAATCCAAAGCCAGGAGCCAGGAACTTCTTATGGGTCTCCCACACAGGTGCAGGAACCCAAGGCTTTGGGCCATCCTTGACTGCTTTCCCAGGCCACAAACAAGCAGCTGGATAAGAATTGGGGCTGCTGGGACATGAACTGGTGCCCATATGGCATCCCAGAAGTTGCAAGTCAAGGACTTTAGCTGCCAGGCCACTGCACCAGGCCCGAGAATGACCTATTTTTTTCCCCAGCAATGTTAGCATAGCACTTTAGAGTTTATAATATACCGTCTCACCTTGGTTGCCTCACAACAGCGTTTGGAGGCTAGCCTTGCAGAAAATGGAGTTGTTCTTATTTGTCAGAGGGAGAAATTGACCAAGAGAGGTCACAATGCTGATAGCAACTCCCTCAGATTCCAACCCCAGGCTCTGCGTGCTCTAGGTAGAATCTTGGGCCTGGCTGCCTTCCCGGACTTGGAACCCTGGGAAAAATGCCAGTCTCTCTGGATGGTTGCTGAGCAAAAAGTTGTGGCACTCACTGAATGAGGAGAGGTGGGATGGGGGTCCTGCAGCAGGGTCCTTGAGCCTGGTTGTGGTGGGGACAACTCTCTCCAAGGTGCAGGAAGTATGGAAAGCCTGTCCTTGTGAGCCACTGTCCCAAACCGGGGTCTGGCTGAGTCTTCCCAGCGATGCAACTTGCCCCAAGACTCCCTGAGACCCACTTGTGCATGGATGACCCTCCAGCTTTTCTCCCCTTGTCTCTCCAGCCACCATTCTATAGCCAAGATGTGGCCCAGATGTACGACAACATTCTGCACCAGCCACTGCAGATACCTGTGGGCCGGACAGTGGCCGCCTGTGACCTCCTGCAAGGCCTTCTCTGCAAAGACCAGAGACAGCGGCTGGGCTCCAAAGCTGACTTTGTAGGTGACCTGCCAGCCGACAGGGCACTGGCGCCTGTTGGGGCTGCCCACTTCCTGCACACATGGCTCAGACCACAGTGAACTGCATCTGGCTGCACCTGAAAGCCAGGCTGCTAGCAATGTCCATCTGGAAACTCAGTACTGCCACTAGCTGGCAACTTTAGTTTTTCAGTGTGTTTTCATTTCCTTTGGAAGACAAAGAGACAAGCAGGCAGAGAGCTTCCGTTTGCTCTTCATTTCCCTAAATTCCCCCAACCCCTGGCTGGATCGGACCAAAGCCAGGAGCCCAGAACTCCATCTGGGTGTTGTACATGGGTACCAGCAACCCAGGTACTTGTGCCTCCCAGGACGTGTATTAGCAGGAACTGGATTAGAAGCAGAAAAGCTGATACACAGAGCAAACACTGTGTAAGGGCTGCAGGCATCCACACATCCCGAATGTCTGCCCGCTGATAGTTTTCTTTCATTCTTTAAGTCAGTCACTATTGACTGAGTACCTGCTGTGTACCAGATACCAAGCAAGGTGCTGGGGATTCAATCCACTGGGTCTTTGCAGTTACGAAGCTCAAGGTTAGGAGAAAATGTCATGTACAATTATCACAAAGTGTTCTAGTGACGGGAAGGAAATAAACAAGGAAAATCCAGCTCAGCTCTGGTCAGTCTGACCATCTGGGGAGTGAACCAGGGGATGGAAGACCACTCCCTCCATCCCTCTCTCACTTTCTGTAATTCCTTCAAATAAATGAAATCAATTTTTAAAGATATATTAATTTTGGGCCCGGCGCGGTGGCGCAAGTGGTTAAAGGTCCTCGCCTTGCACGCCCAGGATCCCATATGGGCGCCGGTTCTATCCCGGCAGCCCTGCTTCCCTTCCAGCTCCCTGCCTGTGGCCCGGGAAGGCAGTCGAGGACGGCCCAAAGCTTTGGGACCCTGCACCCGCGTGGGAGACCCGGAAGAGGCTCCTGGCTTGGGATCGGCATAGTATCTGCCGTTGCGCTCACTTGGGGAGTGAATCATCGGACGGAAGATCTTCCTCTCTGTCTCTCCTCTCTGTATATCCGCCTTTCCAATGAAAAAATAATAAAAAATAAATCTTTACAATAAAGATATATTAATTTTTATTTGAAAAATGTTTACAGAGAGGAGAGACAGAGAGAAAAACATCTTCCATCTACTGGTTCATTCCCCAAATGGCTGTAATGGCCAGAGATGAGTTGATCCGAAGCCTGGAGCCAGGAGCTTCTTTCAGGTCTCCCACATGGGTGCAAAGTCCCAGGTACTTGAGCCATTCTTCACTGTTCTTCTCCCAGATGCATTAGTGGGGAACTAGATTAGAAGTGGAGCAGCCAGGACATAAACTGATGCACATATAGGATGTTGGCACTTGGAGGTGGAGCCATAACGCCAGTCCCTAAAGAAATCTTTTTTCAAAAAAGAAGGAAAAAAGATGAAACAGCAACAACAACAACAAAGAAGAAGGAGTAGTGAATCATGCCCAGGACTGAGTACTAAATTGTGGGTCTTGGAATCTGCGGTTTTTGAGGGACTTGACTTCTTAAACCTTCCTTAGGCATTGGTCTGCTTAGCTCTGGAGACTCAGAATGAGGCAGAGCTGGTGAAGAGGTCCTCAAATTTCCCTGGGATTCTTCTTCCCAAGCCCAGAACAGGCCCCTCTTGCCCTGCTGGTGGCCATGCCTCCATGTCCAGTGCAGTGGAGTAAGTCGACACTCGGGAAAAAGGCCTGGGGTTCTGCCTGATGGCAAAGGCGAGAGGCTGCAGGAAACCTGCCAGCTAGCGCAGCACATCCCTTTCCAGTTGGAACTGCGGAGGGTGTGGAGGTGGGGGTGGGAGTGCCCTTGGCAAAGGCCCCTTCTGATCAGTGCCTTCTCACAACAGCTCGAGATTCAGAACCACGTGTTCTTCAGCCCCATCAACTGGGATGACTTGTACCATAAGAGGCTGACGCCACCCTTCAACCCCAATGTGGTAAGAGATTGCAGCCTTTAGCATGCAAGATTCCCAGGTTTGGCAGGGACCCGCTGTCCATGGGGATCACAATGTTGAGGGTCCACGAAACTCAAGGATCTGTCCACAAAGCCGCACGGGCAGCTCGAGCAGAACTGGTTCTCGGACACACACGTGCTGACTGCTGGCTGAGTCAGTCCGCCACTCCTTCCTTTTAGCACCAGGAACGCTCCTGGCAGGTGCTTTTACAGCCTCTAAAGTCACACACACCCAGGCAGAGCCAAGCCCCACCGGAACATTTTTACCTTTTCCTGTGTTTAGAATTTTTCCTGATAACAGAAATGACACTTCTTTGTGGGAAGTGTGTAAAACAGAAACTAAAAGCAGTAGTGGAGAATTGCTGTTGGCAGATTTCCTTCCAGCCTTTTTTCCTATGTGTTTTTATATTGTTGGAGTCCTTCCTTTCTTTAGCTAAAACAATCGGATTATTTGCTCATATCACACAGAAGTTTAGCGTTTTAGTGGTTGTATAATATTTTTCCTTTCCTTTTTAAAAATTTATTCATTTTATTTGAAAGTGAGAGAGAGAAATCTCCAAACCACACCACTCAAATGCCTGCAACAGCCAGGACTGGATCAGGCTAGTCCCCATGCAACTGACAGGGACCAAGCCACTGAAGCCATCACCTGCTAACCCCCAGGAGTTAGCTGGAATTGAGAATGAAACTGAAACTCAAAGCCAGTCACCCCAATACAGGATAGGGGTGGCCCGTGTAATGCCTTAACTTCTATGCCAGAATGCACACCCCATAATATTTTAATCTTAAATTGGTAGCACAGAGAATGGTGAACTCTAAGCTGTGAACTCTAAGCTGTGAACTCTAAGCTGTGACCATTATTTTCCTCCATTGCTGGTGATCATTGTAGCTAAGAATTCTGATAATGTCCTTAAGTTTCAGAAGGGAAATTGCTGGGTCCAATGTGATTGCTGTTTTTTTGTTTTGTTTTTTAAGATTTATTTATTTTTGGGCCTGGCGCAGTGGCGCAGTGGTTAAGGTCCTCGCCTTGCACGCCCAGGATCCCATATGGGCGCCGGTTCTATCCCGGCAGCCCCGCTTCCCTTCCAGCTCCCTGCCTGTGGCCCGGGAAAGCAGTTGAGGACGGCCCAAGGCTTTGGGACCTTGCACCCGCATGGGAGACCCGGAAGAGGCTCCTGGCTTGGGATCGGCATAGTATCTGCCATTGCACTCACTTGGGGAGTGAATCATCGGATGGAAGATCTTCCTCTGTGTCTCTCCTCTCTGTATATCCGCCTTTCCAATAAAAAAAAAAAAATCTTAAAAAAAAAAAGATTTATTTATTTTTATTGGAAAGGCAGATGGGAAACTGGATTTGGGAGCAGTTCTGGGACCTGAACCCAGGCACTCCAATATGGAATGTGGGTTTTCTAAGTAGCATCTCAGTCACTGCCCCAAACACCCTTCCCCTCAAGACATTCTTGCAAATGGAAACCATGGTCTGTTTGGGTTCATAGCCTGAGACCTGCATGCTCAGGCAGACCTACACAGTCCCTTTTTTTTTTTTTTATTATTATTAACGTTGTATTATGTGATACAGTTTTATAAGCACTGGGGAGTCCCCCCGCCCCTCCCATACCCCTTCTCCCATACACAGTCCCTTAATATGTTCCCTTGCTTGTTTGTAACACGCAGGGCACAGAAGCTTCTGCACATACGAGATCTTCCTCACCAAGAGGCTCCCTAATAGGCAGCCTCAAAGCTGGTGGCTTTGATTTTGTTCAGATTCTAGGGGTGGCGTTTCCCGTTGGGGACAGGCCACCTGGCCTCTGAAAAGTTCTCACGTGCCTGGTCAGTAGTAGTTGATGACCCTGGATTACCTCACTCACATGTCTGGGAGTTGCCAGGCTGTCACAGCAAATGGGGTCCCTTGTATGGGGCCTCTTGCCCTCCTGTATCCTAGCTGGGACTTATTCACATGTTAGCTCCAGGGTTCCAGGCGCAGAGAAAGAGACTTGTCCATGTGCAGGTTTCAAGCCTTTGCTGGTGGCACATTTAATAGCATCCCATTGGCCAAAGCTGCCCAGGTGGCTCTCCCCTGTGGGAGGGGTGAGGGAACAGGCCTGTGCCCTCTCCCCAGGTGGGAACTGGAGGATGTGCCACTCAGGACCTCCTCCAGAAGCACCTATGCAGCTCCTGGTCATCTCTGCCGCGTGGCCATGTTCTCATTTCCCCACGGCCACCTGCTTTGTGCTTCTCCCCCACAGCATGGCAGCTCCTCGGAAGCAGGGATCCCTCTGATTTGTTCTCCTGTCTTCCCAGCTCCAAGAGTGATGCCTAGTGACACGTTGACTGACTGGCTGGTGTGAGGGTTGGTATGGAGTAGGCTGGATGCTGAAGGATTAGAGCAGGGATTAAATGAGGCATGTAAATGTGCGGGAATGCTGTCGGTGTGGAGGCCAGGAGGCTCCCAGAAGGGCAGTCAGAACTTTTTTTGTTAAACCATTGGCTTATGCTGAGAAATGAAGTATACTTCTCATCCTCCTGCTTATGCGTGGTCTGCAGACCATGTGGAAGTTAGGGTGGGCTTCAAGAGTGGCCAGGGGGCTGCGAGTTAACCCTCCACTCTGCCTGGATTTTAGGCTCACCTTGGCTTCTGTTCCAGCCTCTTGTACTGCACGCCCTGGGAGGCAGCAGTTGATAGGGAAAGTACTTGGGGCTCGGTCACCCACGTGGGAGACTCAGATGCAAGTCCTGACTCCTCTTGACTTTGGCCTGCTACATCCTAGCTGTTGCAGGCATCAGGGGAGTGAATCAGCAAATGGAAGATCTCTTTCTCTCTCTCTCTCTCACACACACACAGACACACAACCTGTCTCTCAAAAAATAAACTTTCTTTAAAATAGGGGGAAAAAGAGGGGGCGTGGACATGCCCCCCCACACCTCCTTTCCAGTTCTGACCGCAGGGTTCCTGTCTCAGCCTTGCCTTGTTTTGACAGGCAGGACCTGCTGACCTGAAACACTTTGACCCGGAGTTCACGCAGGAAGCTGTGTCCAAGTCCATTGGCTGCACCCCTGACAATGTGGCCAGCAGCTCTGGGGCCTCGAGTGCATTCCTGGGATTTTCCTACGCACCAGAGGATGACAGCGACACCTTACACTGCTAAAGTGATGCACCTATGAAAGCACGGAGGTTGTCTGGCATGAGAAAGGAACGGCTCAGAGGAACACAGGCTTTCTGTCCAACAGCACGGGGTGGCCCAGGGGCTGGCGAGACGTCACCAAATACTCGGCAGCATCCCGCGTCCCGCTCTGCCCTCTTCAGCAAACAGCTTCCTATTCTAGGCTGGCTGTGAGATCACAAGATGGTTCCTGGGGCTCTAGCTCCCAGTGTTGTGTTTTGGGTGGGAAACGGAAGAAAGAGAGAGAGCAAAATGGCATCTATAAAGATCTTTCCCAGAAGTCTCCCTCCCCCCGTGATCTCCCAGGTACCCACTCCCCCTGAGATGGAGCCTGGGGGTGTGGCTTACTGGTTGGACACTGGGCTAGCCCTTACAGTAAAGGGATTCTGACCCTGAGGGAGGAAAGAATGCCAGGTAGGCGCCAGCACTCTTCACTAGAGAGCCTCTTGGTGTTTGGATTTCGCCCTCAAGGCATAAAACACTAGAGATGTGACAACCCTAGAGGGTGTTGCCTGGCAGCTTTTATTGTTCCATGTCCGTTAGTGTCTTTATTGTGGGCAGTACTGAAATACGTTATTGGGTTTGGCTGCCTGGCATCTGAACTCTTTCCTGATTTCAGAGAACCCCCCACTGATCTCTTGAGCCCTGATGAAGGGCAGTAACTGTCTCCACTTCAAGTCGCTGGAATGTTTGAGACTGACTTTCTCAGGCTCCAGGAACTCTGGGGCCAGGCACGTGGCCCAGGGTGCCACCTGCACTGACTGTGTGACTCAAGGAAAGGACTAGGATGCTCTTTCCAGCTGTAGCTGTATTGACTTCCTGGTGTAAGACAACAGTGGCAGCAACGGCTGCCACATTTCCTCTACAAAGCAGTGCCACTGCCCCAATACAGAAAGCCTCCAGCCACATCCTCCAGCTTTCCCAATGATTCCCACAGCTTTTGATCCCTTCAACACACTCCTATTCTTGCTTCACTGGCCTCAGTTTCTGAGTGTCTGCCCATCCTATACCAGTTTCTGGTAACAGACTCTTTTGTGTTTCATTGACACAACTCTAAGGTAAGAATGACCACTAGCCTATCTTTTTTTTTTTTTTTTAAACCAATGAAGAAATAGAAAAGCTGTTCCTTGCCTGTGAGTCACAGAGCTAGTTAAGGACAAGAGTCCACTGAGCTGGCTCCAGGGCTCTCCCAGGTGAGCTCTGTGCTGGCTGGCCTCTCCCTCTGAGGCCCAAGCACAGAGACTGCCAACTTGGCTAATAAAAGCCAGGACAAGCACTGGCTGGCAGAGGTCACTGGGTGACCAGCCAGGTCTGAGCCTGGCTTCCAAGGTCCTGCTGGGTTCCTCCTGACACGGGAAGCTCAGGCCTTGGACGGAACAGGAGGCGGCTGCAGACTTGGTGAGCTGGCCATCCATGATACTGCCTGTGTTCGGAACTAGCCCTTTCTCTAGGTGACCGACTGGATGGGATGAGCACATCCCAGCTCCTCAGTCAGGACACCCCACACTCATGGAGTGATGCATGCGGCCCGACTGCCGTCTGGAAGGCAGTGGATAAGGTCTCCAACGCTGTGGCTCCCACCTCACAGTGGACTTCCTAGCCTTCTGGTTTGGGGATCAGACAACATACTTTCTTGGGGTCAGTGTGTCCTGATGGTTTTACTGCCTTTCCCTCCTATTTTTGTGTACCAAGTCCCCTGCCTCAGGACTCATGGGGATGAGGCTGAGACTGTGGGAAAAACATCAGCGATGGCACCTGCTGGAGATGACAGTGGGGTTGAGAAGAGAGCTAAGAACTCTGAAACAAACACTCCTGGTCTCCACCTTAGCAGTGCCTGTTTACTGCCAGACACGGACGGTGGTAAGGGGGAGCTCAAAATCCCAACCTGCCAAAGCCAAGTGCTTTGCAGCGTCTTAACTGTCTGAAATCTGATCGTACTGTCAAGAGCACATACTCAGCTGTGGGTCGTGAAGCACATGATTCTAGCTTTCGTAAGACTGTAAAAGGTACAACCAACTTTCACCAGGACAGGAAATAAAAATGAAGAAAAGCAGCACTGTGCCTATGCTTACTGAGCAAATTCCAAGTTTCATACGCATCACCTACAATCCTCACAGCAAATCCACACTCAGAAATTATTAACTTTACTTTACAGAGAGATGAAGCAGTTCGCCTAAGGTCACTCAGCTGGTACAAGGCATAGCTGCGAACTGAACGTGGTGGCCACCTGCCATAATGCCCTTTCTCTCTCTAGACCTGTCACCAGTGGGAACAGCACTGGGGCAGGTGGTCTTTTGGTCTTCTAGCAAATAACAACTGTAAGACAGACAGAAGAAGGATCTCCAACATCAGTCCCAACCTTCAGCCGACATATCACTTTATCTCGCACTAAAGACATAGCTCGCCCAAATGTGCACCAAAGCATGGCCTCCCCAAGAAAATCTCAGCCTTCTTAAGCTTGCAGTGACAGCAGTACTGAAGAGGCGACACCATGTGTGGGTTGTAATATCCTGAACACCTTCAAAATAACTATAAATGTCAGTCAAAGCCACAATTGCCGGCTCCCATCAGACACAGCCTTTGATGCTCCCATTTGTTTTTTTTAACATTTATTTATTTTTATTGGAAAGTCAGATATACAGAAGAGAAATAGGGAGATCTTCCATCCGACGATTCGCTCCCCAAGTGGCTGCAATGGCTGGAGCTGTGCCCAACCGAAGCCAGGAGTCAGGAGCCTCTTCAAGGTCTCCCACATGGGTGCAGGGCCCCAATGCCTTGGGCCGCCCTCAATTGCTTTCCCAGGCCACAAGCAGGGAGCTGGATGGGAAGCGGGGCTGCTTGGATTAGAACCGACGCTCATATGGGATCCCGGTACGTGCAAGGCAAGTACTATAGCTGCTGGGCTACCGCGCTGGGTGCGACGCTCCCATTCTGGAGGCGATCGCAGGGCAACTTGCGTGGGGTCACGGTTCATGGGCACAAAAGTCTGTTTGTGCCCAAAAAGGCCGTTCCCAGCCCTTGCCTTTATGAACGTGCCCCTCTTTCACAATTTCCTGATACCGTTATATTTTTCATATTTGGACCTAGCCTGCAGATGCTTAGAGGGCGATGGGTTTCCCTGGGGAGCTCCAAGATGCGGGGTTAATATAAACACCCCCTTGTGACCATTCTCACTCCCCAGTCCGATCTCTTCCGCGAAGTCTTCCCTGGCCTCCTAGTGCTCTCGCATCACGCATTCTGCGTTAGGCCACCAGGGAGTGGATCCCACAAGCCTGCAACCCACGGTCCCTAATAACAGTCCTTAATAACAGCCCCACTCCATCTTAAGTGACAGCCGCAAGGCCCCACCCCCGACGGCCCCGGGCGGCTCTCTGCGCCTGCGCCCTGGGGATGGATGGCCATTGAGGGGTTCACTAGTCCCCGCCGGAAGCCTTCAGTCCTCTCTTCCCTCAAAGTAGTCGTTAGCTTGTGCTCTTAGAGTCCTGACACCTTCCCAAGCTTCTGATAACAACAGCTATTAAGGAAAAAATGAATCTGGTTTCTTTAACCGGAACGTTAATTCCCATCGTGTTTAGATTCACCCCCCTCGCCCAAAATAATGGTACAGCCCCGTCCACTCACCTGCTCCCACTCCCGAGCGCGCGCGACGTACGGGCCCCTTCCGCTCTGTCGTCATCACGTGCGTCGGAGGTGGCGCCACGTTGGGCGCACGCCCGCGTCTGGGCTGTTGCTAAGCGGCCTAGGAGACCCGAGCTCGGGATGCTGGGCGACGTGAGGTGAAGATGGTGAGCGGGCCGCAGGTGAGCAGGATTCCGATCCCGGCGGGCTGGCCTGGGCGCGGGGCGTCCTGGAGGCCGGCGAGGGTCCCCGGGCCAGCCCCGGTCAGCGCAGGTATCGTCCTGGACCGCGTCTCCCTCACCCCTGCTGGGTGCAAAAGAGCGTTGGACAGACACTGTCGTGGTAGCCACTGTGATCTTTCACTCGGTTGCAAACATGTTGATTTGACGAGTGAGATTTTTAATGAGGAAACAAAGGCGGTTGGACCATGCTGATTCTTGGGAAAGATATTTTTAAAGTCCTGCCCCGAATTAAGGAATCTTAGCCGAGGGTAGCCCCGGCAGGATCAGCTGTTGACTGGCAGAGGTGTTGGCGTTGGCTGCAGAACACCACATCCTGTTTGTAGGAAGCAGAGGTGTGGCAATGCCATGGCTGTGGAGGCCGACGTGGAGATGTCCAGGAAGGCAGTGGCCAAGTTCACTGTGGCGTAGTTTGTGCAGCTTTGAGCAAACATAACAGGATGCTGTCTCACACACACACAGACAGTGGGAAAGTAGGTGTGTCCGGATGAAATGGGACGTGTAAAGATGACTGTGTCACAGTAGTGGCATCTCGGGGGATTGGTTTTCATCAGGAAAACAATGGTTTTAAAATTGCACTGCGGCCCGGCGTGGTGGCGCAAGTGGTTGGGGTCCTCGCCTTGCACGCCCAGGATCCCATATGGGCGCCGGTTCTATCCCGGCAGACCCGCTTCCCTTCCAGCTCCCTGCCTGTGGCCTGGGAAAGCAGCAGAGGACGGCCCAAAAGCTTTGGGACCCTGCACCCGCATGGGAGACCTGGAGGAGGCTCCTGGCTTCGGATCGGCATAGCATCGGCCGTTGCGCTCACTTGGGGAGTGAGTCATCGGACGGAAGATCTTCCTCTCTGTCTCTCCTCTCTGTATATCTGCCTTTCCAATAAAAAAAATAATAAAAATAAATCTTTAAAATTGCACTGAGGGCCCAGTGCAATAGCCTAGCAGCTATAGTCCTTGCCTTGCATGCACTGGGATCCCATATGGGTGCTGGTTCTAGTCTCAGCTGCTTTACTTCCCATCCAGCTCCCTGCTTGTGGCCTGAGAAAGCAGTTGAAGATGGACCAAGGCCTTGGGACCCTGCACCTGTGTGGGAGGCCCATAAGGAGCTCCTGGCTCCTGACTTGGATTGGTTTAGCTCTGGCCATGGCATCCACTTGGAGAGTGAACCAGCAGACAGAAGATCTTTCTCTCTGTATATCTGAATTTCCAATAAAATTTTTTTTAAAAAATGCACTGGAAGAATAAATGTGAGACTAGCCAGGAATATTCTTAAGAGTAAAGATAAGGGGCGTGGGGGCGAGATTAGCTATTCATCAGAACAAAGTATATAACAAAGGCACAGAAATTAAATTAGCATGGACTGGGGCAGAGACTTATAGGCAGGCAGGATATAATAAAATTCAGAATAAGACCCAGTTCCATATAGTGTTTTATTATGTAATCCATAGGATGTTTTAAAATAAAACTGAAAAAAACAGATGGTAATGAGGCTCATTTTGAGTAACAACGTAAGTTCCACTTGGACCAAATTTGTTTGTTTAATTATTATTATTTTATTTTTGATGATGTTTACATAGCTGGCTAGGGTGGGAATGGTCAAGGATTAGGGGAAAATAAATGAGAACACTGGTTCCAAACTTCCTTTCTTCTTCCTGTATCTGGAAGATGGGGGAGGGACAGGGGAAAAGCCACAGCCAACCGCCTCAGTACCAGGGGATGGGAATGACCGCCCAATGTCATCCCAGGGTCCACGATGTGGAGCATGCTCTGAGGGTACTACGCAAGTAGTTTCAATAGTTCTGAAACACTCCGAGGTTGAGGGACTCCTTCCAAGGTCCATTGACTGACGTAGTCCACCCCAGAGTCTCCATGCATCCAGGTACCTGCTGTCAACACTTGGCTGCGATAGCTTTCCAGTTTGTTCTGCCCTCCGTCCTCTGCTATGGTACTAGACATCTTCTGCAGGCCTCAGTGGACTGCCATATCCCCCACGTGCACCCAGGCATGCTGTTCACTGCTCCGTCTTAGCCACCGAGAAGGCTCGGGTCTGACACGTGCACTCCATTGTCAGACTACAGACCCTGCGGTATTCCCTGTAGTTGTAGTTCTGAGTCTGGCAGTCCAGTTATGGGGGAGTGGACCAAAATTTAAAGGTGAAAAAAATGACGTTAGGAAAGTACTGGAAGAAAGCATTGTTGGGTGTATTTGTAATCCTGAAATGACAAAAACTCTTTCCAGTGTGTCATGCAATCTGGAAGCTAGAAAGAAAAAGATGAATACTCTTGGCTTTGTAAAATTTAAAATGTATATGGTGTTGTCGGGCGCTGGCACCTGCAGGAGTGTGTGCATGGCGCTGTCGGGCGCTGGCACCTGCAGGAGTGTGTGCACGGCGCTGTCGGGCGCTGGCACCTGCAGGAGTGTGTGCACGGCGCTGTCGGGCGCTGGCACCTGCAGGAGTGTGTGCATGGCGCTGTCGGGCGCTGGCACCTGCAGGAGTGTGTGCACGGCGCTGTCGGGCGCTGGCACCTGCAGGAGTGTGTGCACGGCGCTGTTGGGCGCTGGCATCTGCAGGAGTGTGTGCATGGCGCTGTCGGGCGCTGGCACCTGCAGGAGTGTGTGCATGGCGCTGTCGGGCGCTGGCACCTGCAGGAGTGTGTGCATGGCGCTGTCGGGCGCTGGGACATGCAGGAGTGTCCCAGGCAAGTTGCAGTTACATACCCTTTCGTAGTAACTGTGGAAGGCTTTTTCTCCATGTTTTTGTTTCGGATATCATTGCTGCTTTCCTTTATTTCTGATCTCTCTTCCTAAGGCAAGCATGGAGAAGGAACTGAGGAGCACCATTCTCTTCAATGCATACAAGAAGGAGGTGTTCACCACCACCAACGGCTACAAGTCCATGCAGAAGAGACTTCGGAGTAATTGGAAAGTTCAGAGGTAACCGGGTCTGTGCCTGTGATTTTCCCTTCCATGTGAAGGTGGCCTGCGTGGTAAGATGACTAAGTCCTTCTTTTTCTATGTAAGATGTATTTTTTTTTAGGTGGAAGGAATTCAATGTAAAGATTGATTGGAAGTAATTATTAAAATCTCTTTCACATATTGAAGATATTTTTTATCAATTAAAAAATATTTTGTCATCCTCCAAATCCCTGTTTTAACTTGGGTCAAAGCTTCAATTCAGAGAGAGGGTAAATGAGAATGGGACTATCCCTGCCCTTATGGGGGTGTGTGTTCTTGGTAAGTCAGACACGAGGAGAGGTAGATGTGGTTGAATTAGCAGTAGGTGGACTTTGTGCTTTAGCGTGGCCTCCCTGGAGCTCCTTGGAAGTGTTTGAGGAGAGGCCTGGTGACTCGTGGGACACCTCTGCAGGAGAGTCCCTCCCAGAGGGCGAGGCTAGACCAGAGTTCCTCCTCAGGAGGCCGCTGGTACGACTGAGAGGCTAAAAGACTTCATCATAAAGTTGGCTTCAATAATAGAGCTAACACTTGTTTTTAAAATGTCGTTTCTAGCTTAAAAGATGAAATCACATCCGAGAAGCTGATTGGGGTGAAACTGTGGATTACAGCGGGGCCAAGGGAAAAATTCACTGCGGCTGAGGTGAGGCACGTGCATCAGGAGGCGGTGCGGGCGTGAGTGAGCGTGGGCGCTGACACGCGGGCCTGGGAGAGCGAGCACGGGCGCTGACATGCAGGGTGAATGAGCGTGGGCGCTGACACGCGGGCCTGGGAGAGCGAGCGTGCGCGCTGACACGCGGGCCTGGGAGAGCGAGCACGGGCGCTGACATGCGGGCCTCGGAGTCCTCTTTCCCACCTGTGGTGTTGCTCTTAGGCGGTCACTGGTCTGTCCTTGTCATGGGGATGTCGTCATGGTTAGCTGAGCTGATTGCTTTGCGGCGCCTTAGCGTGGCTGGTTACATATCAGCCATCTACTTTCTGCCTGATGCTTTGATATTATGGAAACCAGAAAAAGTCATTAGAAATTATGCTGGGTTTTCATTCTGTTTCATAGACTAAAGAATGATAAATGTGGGGCTGGTGTTGTGGCATCATGGGTTAAGCCACTGCCTACAGTGCCTTTGTGGGTGTTGCTTGGAGTTCTGGCTGCTCCACTTCGACCCAGCTCCCAACAGAATAAATTTCATGTTGTCTCCTGTGCATTTATGTTTAAATGACTTCTTCATTCTCTGACTAGTTAAGGTCTTATTCGCAGTATTATAGACAGAAATCCTCTGAGTATATAGTCACAGATCCTTTTTCTTTTTTTCACCTTTCTGTAGTTTGAAGTCCTGAAGAAGTTCCTCGACAGTGGTGGAGACATCCTGGTGATGCTAGGGGAAGGTGGAGAATCCCGATTTGATACCAATATTAACTTTCTGCTAGAGGAGTATGGAATCATGGTTAATAATGGTAATTATTGTCCTTCTGAGTAGGGGCAGGGACAGGCATTTGGCTGAGCAGCTGAGACGCAGTTAAGATGCACGTATCCCGAATCGTAGCATCTGGGTTCAGGTTCCTTTGGCTTCCAATTCCAGCCTCCTGCTAAGGCGGCTCCTGGGGATCAGGGGCTGATGGCTCATGTTAGTTGGATTCCTGCCACCCACTTGGGAAAAGACCCGGATTGACTTCCTGGATGCTGTGACTTAGCTCTGTCCTGGCCATCCTGGACCCACTGCTACCACGGATGTGTGTATATGGTCTGGCATTGTGTTCTGACCAGCAGCCTGAGCCTTCCGAGCCTGGGCCTCTTCCAGTCCACAGGGAGGAGTGTTCCAGTAGAGTTCCTTTCAGGTTAAAACTTGTGTATGTCTATATGCTGTATTTATTTCAAATTTAAAATGCGCCTTCCCTTCTCTTCCCTTGAAGATGCGGTGGTTAGAAATGTCTACTACAAATATTTTCACCCTAAAGAAGCTCTTGTTTCCAACGGAGTCTTGAACAGGTAAGTGTGTTAAAAGGCGGAGAAGTCCTCATTAACAGCACCCATCTCTCCCCTGGGAGTCTTCCCCTTCCCTTCTCCATGTTCCTCTCTCTTCTCCTTCCGTCTTCAAATAGTGTTTTATTAATGTTTAAAATGTTCACTTACTTGAAGAGTTACATGGAGAGAGGAAGAGACAGAGAGAGAGGGAGATCTTTCGTCTGCTGGTTCACTTTCCAGATGGCTGCAATGTCTGGGGCTAGTTCAGGCCGAAGCCAGGAGTCTGGGGCTTCTTCCAAATGTCCCACATGAATACAGCTCGACTTCTGCTTTTCAATGCATATTAACAGGGAGCAGCCGGCCAGGGTCAGAAGTGGAACAGCTGGACCTCCAGTTGGTGCCCATGTGGGTTGTCAGCATCCCAGGCAGAGGTTTTACCAACTGTGCCACTGTACCGACCCTTATTTTACTATTTTTCATTATACTGCTGCTTCTTACATGTCAGGTTGTATTCCTCCAACCTTGAAAACCTGACTGTGTGTTGATCTTTTGTCAGGATGCTTGTATTTGCAAGTAACAAGAAAACCTTATACAAGTCAGTTAAATAATAAAGAGGCTGTGTTGGTTCATGTAATTAAAAAATCTCAGAATCAGAGCAGGCTTTGAGTATGGATTGACTGAAAAGCTCATGTCATCAGGGCTCCAGTTTTAATTGCTCTTGGTTCTATTGTCCCTACACATGGCTGGGTGGTTTCACCACTCCCACGACTGCATGTCAAGTTCAGGATGAGGGGCTGTGCTGCAGTGCCAGCACGCCCAGCAAGGGTAGCCCTGGGGTTTGCTGCATGTAAGCTGTCCTTGGTGGTAACCCTAGCCCTAACCCATCCTGAACTGGCTGAGTGCGTGTGTCTAGTCATCCTTGGGAGGCTGGAGTGGAGTCTGCACCCTTTGGTTCGAATCCTAAATCCTAAGTCAGGGGGATCCTTGAGGGTAGCGTGAGGCAAACGCCTGAGAGAGCAGCACCGGATGCCCCTGTGAACTTAGAACGGTATTCAGACTTCTTCACTCCAAGCTTGAATTTGTCCCATGCGTGCTGGAGATACAGTCCAGCATCTAGACTGTGGACTCAGGAAAGAGGAACTGATCCTGCCACCGTGGTGCTTTTACAAGCTTCCCAAAAGAGGTGTTCATGCGTGATGCACTTTCGTTCAGTTTTAAACATTGTCATGGAGTGGACATTTAGCCTAGCAGTTATGGTGCCAGTTGAGATACCCACACCCTGTTCCGCGTTCACATGCCTGGGTTTGGATTCTGGTTTCCTACTAATGTGCACCCTGCAGCGCAGATGAAGGCGCAAGTAGCTGAGTGCCTGCCATTCAAAGGAGACCAGAGTGAATTCTGGGCTCCTGCCTTTACCTGGTTCAGTCCTGGCTGTTGTGGGCGTTGGGGAGTGAACCGTTGGTTGGGAGCTTTCTGTGTATGTCTCTCTGTTTCACTTGCCTCTCAAAAAAAAAAAAAAGCTACCTTAAAATCTGTAAAATCTTTGCATCTAGTTTATACGTGCTATTAATGAATACAGCATGGAATTCCCTGGTTTTTTTGTTGACTAGATTTAAATTCTTTTCTTCAAGGGAAATTAGCCGAGCTGCTGGGAAGGCCGTGCCTGGCATCATTGATGAGGACAGCAGTGGGAACAATGCACAGTGAGTGTTTGCTGGGACCACTGTGAGGGGGACTGAGCAACCTCAAGGGCTTTGTTGTTTCAGATGAAAAGTTGTCATTTCTGATTACAAAAATAATCCTCTCCTCCTTTCAATGCCCCACACCCCTCTCTCCCCCAAAAAACCAGTTTGTTTGAACAATGGAAATGCTATACTTTAACAGTATGATGTTGTTGTGTTTAGATTGTTTTCCTGTTTGTAAATACACAGGTGTTTACCTAAACTTTTCTTTTTGTTTGTTTTCCCAAGAGTTGGAGAGGCAGAGATAGGCGGAAAGTTTCCTTCCATTGGTTTGCTCCCATGTGCCTGCAGGGGCCGGGGCTGGGCCATTGTGTTGAAGCCGTGAACTCAGTCCAGATCTCTGAAGTTGTCACCCTGCAGGTGACAGGGGCCCAGCTCCTGGAGCCGTCGTCAGTGCCTCCCAGGTGTACTTAAGCGAGAAACAGCAGTCAGGAGCTGGAGGGGGCCAGGTGTCATGTCCGGATGCTCCGATGTGTGTGGCACAGGCTGCATGCTCCTCCTAATGCTTCATCCTTTTAAATGAATGAAATTAAACATTTCCTGATTTGTTTAATATTCCCTTTACTGGACATTAGATAGTTGATAATATTTTTTTTAGAATACGGATTGAGCAACTCTAATTTAAAAAAACATGAAATCGTGAAATGCTCCAAAGTCAGGAGCATCTGCGTGCTGATGTGACACCGTGAGGGACGTTTCGTACCTTCTCTCGTGTGGTGGGTCTTGGTCAGAACATAAACTACCTTTAGGCTGTGTGTGCAAGACATAGGTGAAACAAACAGATTTTGTTTGTATGTAGATTTAGATCACATTCCTCATTATGTATAAAAATATTCCAAGATCCCCCCAAAACACCCGAAATCCAACACACTGATCCCAATGTTTCAGATGAAGAATGCCCAACCTGTACCGCCTAACGTAACGTGGACTGAGTATTTTCTGTGTCATGTAAACATATGCCTCATTTAATCTCCACCACATTCCAGAATGTTAGATGGGAAACAAGTCGTAACTGCTGGAGTGCACATATTTGGTGTCAGAACTTAGGTGAGGGAGATACAGAGAGAGATAAGAATTCCTCCATGCTCTGCAACACTCCCCAGATGGCTACAACAGCAGGGACTGGGCCAGGTCAAAGCCAGGTGGCAGGAGCCAAGGAGCTTCTTCCTGGTTTCTCCTGTGGGCTCAATCACTTGGGCTGCCTTCTGTGTTTTTCCCATGCCATTAGCAGGGGGCTGGATTGGAAGTAGGGCAGCTAGGACACAAACTGATGCTATTAAAGTGGTTGGCATTGTAAATGGCTGCTTTATCAACTATACCACAACATCACAGCCATTAGCCATCTTTATTTTTAAGAAACAATTTGCTAATATTATTTATTTCAAAAGCAGAGAAGGGGAGACAGAGAATCTTCCATCCACTGTTTCCCTTCTCAGGAGCTTATAACAGTCCAGACTGGGATGAGAAGTCAGGAGCCATGAACTCTGCTCTGGGACTCACATGTGGGTGGCTGGAACAAAAGTACCCGCACCATCATCTGCTGCCTCCCAGGCACATTAGCAGGAATTTGGATCTGCAGTGGAGTGTTCAGGACTCAAATCAGGCACTGTGATGTGGAATCTGGGCTTCCTACACATCAGCTTAGCCTACTGCACCCCAGCTGTCACCCAGCCACTTTCTGTTTATCTTTTTCTTTTGTTCCCCATTTGTAATACTCCATCTCCATGTGCTGCACATATTTTTATAATATCTCTATGTGTTACAAATATTTTTCCAAGTTTAGTTTTTTGTTTGTTTGTTTGTTTTTGTTTGTTTTGCTTTGCGGAATTGTATCTGGCAGAAGTTGACATTACTTTTAAAGCTTTATGTGTATTTATTGGAGAGGCAGAGAGGAGGAGAGCACGGGAGCATTCTTCTGCACCCCATCCAGTGGTTGCCTTTCGAGTGTCTGCCTTGGCCCTGGGGGCTGAAACCAGGAGCCCATGGGAGGGGCGGGAGCCCTAGTCCTCAGGCCTGTGCACTAGCAGGATGTTGGGGTTAGGAGGCAAAGCTGACATCAGAACCAGACACTGTGATATGGAATGCAGGCTTGCCAGCTAGCATCATAACGTTAGGCCACATGCCAGCCATTGCCATTTTTGTGTAACTGAAAAGCATATTAAAAAGTTTTAGTAATTTGGGCGCAACACAGTAGCCTGGTGGCTGAAGTCCTTGCCTTGCATTCACCAAGATCCCATATTGGTGCCGGTTCATATGTTGGCTGCTCCACTTCCCATCCAGCTCCCTGCTTGTGGCCTGGAAAAGCAGTCAAGAATGGCCCAAAGCCTTGGGATCCTCTACCTGTGTGGGAGACCTAGACCTGGCTTCGGATTGGCTCAGCTCCAGCTGTTGCAGCCACTTGGGGAATGAACCAGTGTTCAGAAGGTCTTTCTGTCTTTCATCCTCTCTGTAAATCTGAGTTTCCAATTAAAAATAATAATCAATCAAAAAAAAAAAAACTTCTAAAAAAAGTTCTTGCAATGTAGAAATAATAGAAAATGGGTTAGAATCAGACCCAAAGCAGTAATTATTAGAGAATAGTAGCAGTCAGGTTTCAAGTTATTGGGGATAGATGGCATAATTTTGGCTAATCATTTGGAATAACATTGTCATTTTTCTGCTGTACTCCAAACTATATCCTGGATAGATTTTAAATGAAACCATAAAACTACTAAAAGAAAACGTAGGTAAATATTTCATAATTACAGGTAAGTATTTCATAATTGTGGAGGAGGGAAGACCTTTCTTAGTGCAATACCTTCTCCCACCTTGTAGCCACCTGGCTTTGTTTCAGCTCCTTAAATATTCTTAGCTCGTATTCACTGATCTTGTTTTCATCTCAAAGACATGCTGTTCTAGAAACCTGTTTCCCAAGCTTTTTACTTTGCCTATCTTTCTCAGGGGAATGGTTGTTTAAGGTTTAAGTCTTAAAACTTAGCAATTGTCCTCCCCCCCCACTTTTTAAAAAAATTTATTTTACTTGGAAAGTCAGAGTTACAGAGAGAGGGAAAGATCTTCCATCCATTGATTCATTCCCCAAGGGCTACAGTGGCCAAAGTTGGTTCAATCTGAAGCTGAGAGGCACGAGCTTCTTCCAGATCTCCCATAAGGGTGCAACGTCACATTTGGAGAGCTCGCCAGCCAGATCCCAGGAGGGAAGGCCCGCCAGGGTCACGGGCGTGCAGTTCAGTTCTTAGGCGAGGCCTCTTCCTCCCTCCACAGTGGCTGCTGTAGTTTCCACGTACAACTCTTTCCTGTTAGCTTACATTCATGTCTGCTAAATGCTTTCATAAACTTGTAGTTCAAGTTGTCTCCATTTTTGAAATAACAAAGCAGAACCTAGAAGATGGAGAATCAGCATTGCTAAAGAAACACTGAAATTGTTCTCAGAATTTTTTTAACACCTGATTTTAAAATCTCAATATGTTTCCTTCATTTCTTACAGGGCTCTCACCTTTGTTTATCCTTTTGGCGCCACACTGAGTGTCATGAAACCAGCAGTGGCTGTTCTGTCCACGGGCTCTGTCTGCTTCCCACTCAACAGACCCATTCTGGCTTTCTATCACGCAAAGGTACAACCTTTCTCAGATAAGTGTATAAATGTTCTTATCTTTGAAGTAAAATTACCTTGCCATTTCCAGAGAGGCTTTCGGTATGTTCTCATAGCCTTGGTGCCAGTCCTGCGACAAAGTATTTCTGGTGTCTTCACACTTCTTGTGGGGAAACAGTGCGTTGTCTAGTGATGATCTGAGTGTGGTCACTCAGCAACAGTGTAAGCAGAAGCCATTCAGGGAAGAAAAGAATGAGCAGATATGGGCCCAGCACTGTGGTGTAGGTGCTAAAGCTGCCTGCAATACCAGCATCTCATATAGGTGCCCGTTTGTCCTGACTACTCCAGTTCTGATCCAGCTCCCTGCAGATGCACCTGGGAAAGTGCTGGACGATGGCCTGGGCTCCTGTACCCACACGTGAGACCTGCAAGAACCGCCTGTCTCTTGCCTTGGCCTGGCCTAGCTGTGGCCACTGTGGTCATTTGGGATTTGAACCAGTGGGTGGGAGATCTCCCTCTGTCTCTCCCTCTCTCTCTGTAACTCTACTTTTCCAATAAGTAAACCTTTTAAAAGATTTATTGCGGGCCCGGCAGCGTGGCCTAGCAGCTAAAGTCCTCACCTTGAACACGCCGGGATCCCATATGGGTGCCGGTTCTAATCCCGGCAGCTCCACTTCCCATCCAGCTCCCTGTTTGTGGCCTGGGAAAGCAGTTGAGGACGGCCCAAAGCCTTGGGACCCTGCACCTGTGTGGGATACCCAGAAGAGGTTCCTGGTTCCCGGCTTCGGATTGGCGCAGCACCGGCTGTCTCGCTTACTTGGGTAGTGAATCATTGCAGGGAAGATCTTCCTCTCTGTCTCTCCTCCTCTCTGTATATCTGACTTTATAATGAAAATAAAATAAATCTTAAAAAAAAAAAAAGAGAGATTTATTGGAAAGACAGAGTTACACAGAGAAGGAGAGGCAGAAAGATCTTCCATCCACTGGTTTACTGCCTGAATGTCCACAATGGCCAGAGCTGATTGATCCGAAGCCAGGAGGCTCCTGTAGGTCTCCCACACAGGTGCAGGGTCCCAAGGCCCTGGGCCATCCTACACTGCCCTCCCAGGTCACAGACAGGGAGCTGGATGGGAAGTGGAACAGCCGGGATGCAGTGCAGTGCTCAAATGGGATGCTGATGTTTGACTGTGGAGGATTAGCTCGTGGACTCTTGCACCAGCCCCAGCTGTGTTTGTTTTCTGGTGTGTTGATAATTATAACTGCTCATTATGATAGGTATACCCAGAAAAAAGGAATTTCACTTTGGATTTTTTTTAGTATAGAATTTTCTCATAACAAAAGCAGTATTTGCTCACAGTAGAACACCAGAAAAACAGAGATGAGAACAGAAAGAGGAGATTCCCCTTGCCCTTCTCCACGAGACTCCCAGCCTTACTCCCAGCCTCCCTCCCTGCTCACCCGAGGCTGCACACTGAGCTAGGCAACGTGCGGTGGACTTGTTAAACCTAATGTCATCATAGATACTTTTTCCCCACATTACTAAAAACCTTTTTTAGTATATAATGTAACAAATGAAAAGGCTCATTATTTTTAAAAATTTTTATTTGAAAGGCAGAGTTACAAAGCAATGAACAAGGAAATCTTCAATTCCTTGATTCTCTCTGGCTGCAATGGCCAGAGCTGGGCCAGGCCAAAGGTTGGAACTGGTTTTGGAGTTCCCTGGGAAAATCTTTTCCTGGAAGATCTTTCTGTCTCTCCGTCTTTCTGTAAATCTGACTTTCCCAATAAAAATAGATAAATCTTTAAAAATAAAAACATAAATGAATCTTGGGAAAAAAAACTCTTAATATTGAAAAAAATGTAAGTAATAGGCTTTTATTTCTTGCATGAATTATTCATATTGTGGCTCAGTTATGCTTGTATCTTGGACACTGTTGGTACTCAACGATGTCTCTTAACACTGTGTCGACTGACCTAACAAGGGGACATGCTGTAGAATCAGCTTACTTTGTCTTGAAGTCAGATAAAAACGTGGAAGGATGTAAAATGAGAGGCAGGCTGACGTGTAGTTGCTGTAAGAATTGATTTTTCTAGACTGTTAAAATGCTGTTATGAATTGACACCTGCTGGTCTTTACAGTAGCTGCTAATGTAGAGCTGATGATGATGGGATGGGGTTCAGGATACTCGCAGTGTGTTTCAGCTCTCAGTACCTGACAGTGCTTTGTCATCCACAGAACCAGGGGGGGAAGCTGGCAGTGCTTGGCTCTTGTCACATGTTCAATGACCAATATTTGGATAAAGAAGAAAACAGCAAAATCATGGTAAGTGTTTCTGTCTCATCACAGTTATATATAGCGTGTAAGTTTGATATTCTTGTCACTTAGAGAAATATTGGTCAATTAATTTACTCATTTCAAACCAACTTTTCATACCCATCATATGACAGTCGGTCAGAATGCAAAGTATGAGGCCCGGCACGGTAGCCTAGTGACTAAAGACCTTGCCTTGTGTGCGCCAAGATCTCATATGAGTGCTGGTTCTGCGCTGATCCGAAGTTGGCAACCAGGAGTGCTGGTTCTTATCCCAGTTGCCCTGCTTCCCATCTAGCTCCCAGGCCACGGCTCTCTGATTGTGGCCTGGGAAAGCAGTCAGGGATGTCCAGGACCTTGGGACCCTGCTCCTATGTGGGAGGCCTGGAAGAGGCTCCTGGCTCCTGGCTTCAAATTGGTTCAGCTTCAGCCATTGCGGCTGCTTGGGGAGTGAATCAATGGACTGAAGAACTTCCTTTCTGTATATCTGCCTTTCCAATAAAAATAAAATAAATCTAAAAAAATAGAAAAAAAAAAAGAGTGCAAAGCATGAATCAGAATCAGATGTAGTCCCTATTTTGAAGTACATGGGAATAGATCAGTGAATGCAGAGGTAATTGCTAAGCATGCCGAGATTATGGTGGAAGCTCACCCAGGAGGGGTGAGAGGCAAGCACCATGAGGACCTGGGCCTCCCGTGTTAACTAGGGACCCTGAACTGTATGCTCAACAACGCGGCGATCGCTTGTTAAGCTTTCAGTAGCCTTGGGCACAGCCAGCTCTGTGGACAAGAGGAGGCAGCCAGGCAGGAAGGTGGAGGCGTGTTTGGAGAGGAGGGGCTGTGGCCTGAGAGCTGGTCTACAGGATTGCATATAGGACCGGTCACTGAGTGGGGAAGGCAGTGAAGGCACTGCAGTTGCTCAGACGGGGGCGGGCAGGTGCCACATCCCACGTCGAGAACCTGGTACACATGCTGGCGTCTCACTTCTAATTCAGCCCTGGATTTTTTTTTTTTAAGATTTCCTTATTTTTTCTGGTGGCCTGAGTCCTTGAGAAATCCACATGGAGTTCCAGGCTCCTGGCCTGTGGCATCAGTCTGGCCTGGCACCCATGTGGGAGACCCAGAAGAAGCTCCTGGCTCCTGGCTTTGGACCAAGCCCAGCTCTGGCCATTGCTGCCAATGGAAGAATTAACAGTAGTAGATAGAGGACCTCTCTCTAACTCTACTTTTTAAATAAATCATAAAATCTTTGAATAAATAGATGAATTAAGTTCCTACTCTTATCACATTAAACAGAGTTTGCTTTGGGATTGTGACCAGGTTTTGATAAAGTCTAATCTGTGATTAGGTATCAGAGTTCCCTAAGACAGACTATTTTTTGCCTGAGTTCAGCTCCAGCTGAGTTCAGAACTCGCGAAGGGTGCGTGGATGACGCACTAAGAGAAAAGAAAGACTGACCACTAGGATTTCATGATCATAATGGACAATTCTCGAAAGCTGTCCACTTTATTTATACAAAATCAGTCAAACTCTGGCTCAGACTTTTTACATCATGGTCAAGTGGGTGTTTCTAAGGATTATTCTGTCATTTGTTTTACCTAAAAACAATAGAAGTTCTTGCTACAATTCTTATCCTACAACTTAATCTTGTATCACAAAGAAAAGGGGAACCTAAAGAGTGAGGAAAGAATGAAACCCTAAATACAGGTCCTTTGATTAGCATAAGGTCAATGGGGACAGCCAAGACAGCAGGAATAATAGAAGACCCTTTTGCAAAACATTATTACTGACATTAACCTCCAAGCTCACATTGACTAAAAGGCCAGCCTCACAGTAGCAAACAATGCCTGGATGGATTAGAATTCTTCTGCAGGGTGGTCCGGTGTCCATGCAAAAGAAGGTGGAGCTGCATTCAGGTGGTTGTAGAGACATTGTTTGCCAGGCATTGTTTGCTACTGTGAGGTTGGCCTTTTACTCAATGTGAGCTTGGAGGTTAATGTCAGTAATAATGTTTTGCAAAAGGGTCTTCTATTATTCCTACTGTCTTGGTTGTCCCCATTGACCTCCATGCAAAAGAAGGTGGAGCTGCATTCAGGTGGTTGTAGAGACGTCCACAGGGCCCTGCCAAACAGCGGGAAGTTCCTTGCGGCCCTGCCTGCAATGGGCAATACTCTTCACACCTTCGTGTCCCCCACATCCACTGCACGGACGCCAACAATTTTTTTATAATAAATATTGCACATGAAGACCTTTATATTTTCATGTTATTTTACTAATAGAGGGCTGCTTTTCCTTATTGAATCAATGGTTTACATTTTTTCTCTTTATCAGTTTTCTTGAGTGACTTCATTTTCTCTGTTGCTGCCTCTCATCTGTTCCAGGTAACTGACTCATCCTGTGTTTACTTTTTAACACGCAGGATGTTGTGTTCCAGTGGCTCACCACAGACGATATCCACCTGAACCAGATTGATGCCGAGGACCCCGAGGTACGAGGTGATGTCAGTAAGACCGTTCTTAAGGAAGGAAAACCTGACCCAGCTGAAATTGTTAAGCACCGCAGACAGGGCAGACAGCAAATGTCTGTGTTACCTTGTCTATAAAAGAAAGATAGAAAGGCTTGATGCCTTCTTGGCAGAGAAAAACTATAGTGTACAAAATAAATAAATCAGGGTACAATGGCTCAGTGGTTAAATCCTCCTTGCCTTGCAAGCTCAAGGATCATCTGCAGGCATCAGTTCATGTCCTGCTGTTTCACTCCGATCCAGCTCTCTGCTTGTGGCCTGGGAAAGCAGTGCAGGGTGGCCCAAGGCCTTGGGACCTTGCACGCATGTGGGAGACCTGGAGGAGGCTTCTGGCTCCAGACTCCTGGCCCCTGGCTTCAGATCAGCATAGCTCCAGCCACTGCAGCTGCTTGGGGAGTGAAACCAGTGGATGGAAGATGTTTCTGTCTCTCCTCCTCTCTGTAAATCTGCCTTTTCAATAAAAATAAATCAATCCTTTTTTTTTTTTTTACTTTTTTTAAAATTCTTTTTTTCTGTTTTATAATTTGTAGGTGTAGGACTTCCTCCATCTCCCACTACCCATCCCTTTCTCTGCCCCCAACATTGTCCCCTGTGTTTTGTAGTAAAATAGTCTACCAGGTCGTAACTCCAACTATCTGTTCTTTACATGGGTCAGGACCCTCTTGGCAGAATAAATAAATATATTTTTTTAAAAGTAACCATAACTTAACCATAAAATTAATTGGGATGGGAGCCCATACATCTGTATGTATATGTGGATTAGGCCAATATTTCAATATATTCTCTGCCCAGACTTCCAAAATGAGTATCTGTTGAAGAAACGCTTCTTTCAGAACTAGGGAATACTTTTTTTTTTTCTTAAGATTTATTTTATGGGCCTGGCATAGTAGACTAGTGGTTAAATCCTTACCTTGCATGCATTGGGATCTCTTTTGAGCACCTGTTCATGTCCAGCAACCTTGCTTCCCATCCAGCTCCCTGCTTGTGTCCTGGGAGGGCAGTCGAGGAAGGCCCAGAGACTTGGGTTCCTATACCTGTACTGGAGACCCGAATGAGGCTTCTGGCTTCAGACTGGCTCAACTCCAGCTGTTGCTGTCACTTGGGGAGTGAATTATCTTTAATCTGCTGGTTTACTCCCCACATAACTGCCGTGGCCAGCGCTGGGCCAGGTCAGAGCCAGGAGCCTGGAATTCCATTCAGGTCTCCTCCATGACGGGGACAGGTGCTCAAGCACTTGGGTCAAAATCTGCTGCTTTCCCAGACAAATTCACAGGGAGCTGGGTTGGAAGTGGAATATCCAGGACTTGAACCTGCACCCAGATGGAATTCTGGCATCATAGGTGGAGGTTTAACTTGCTGCACTACAATGCTGGTCCCTTTTTTTTTTTTTTTTAAGATTTATTTATTATTGGAAAGGCAGATTTACAGAGAGAAGGAGACACAAAAAAGATCTTCCATCTGCCAGTTCATTCCCCAAATGGCCACAATTGTCATAGTGGCTGAGCCGAACTGAAGCTGGGAGTCAGGATCCTGTTCCAGGTCTCCCACACAGGTGCAGGATCCCAAGGCTTTGGACTGTCGTCCACTGCTTTCCCAGGCCATAAGCAGGGAGCTGGATGGGAAGTGGATCTGCCGGGATTAGAACCGACCCCCGTATTGTTTTGCTTTTAAGACTATTTCTCTTGGGCCCGGTGCGATAAAAGTACTAGCTAAAAGTAGTGGCTAAAGTACTCGCCTTGCACATGCCAGGATCCCATATGGGTGGGAAATGAGTTGATGGGGGTGTAAGGTTAACTGAGCATTTCGGATCAAGGATGATGAAATTCAAAAGAAATTGAGCAGTGTGGGTATGTGTTTCTCCAGTATGCATAATAGGAAATTTGGGTAGCCTGATGGGTTTTATTATGCCTTCCATAGAAAGTGGCGTTTCTCAGTCTAGTTAACGGTGACCCTGCATGGTGAACTCTGAACAAGCGAGTTCCGCACATTGAGACCTGAGCCACTGGAGGCCTGGCAGAACAAAGCCTCTGGCTCCTGCCCTGCTGACAGGAACGCTGTCTTTCAGATTTCTGACTACATGATGTTGCCTGACACAGCCACGCTGTCCGAGCGGCTTCGGGTGTGTCTCCAGGAGGGCGATGAGAACCCGCGGGACTTCACCACGCTCTTCGACTTGTCCATCTACCAGCTGGATACTGCCTCCCTCCCCAAGGTCATCAAGTCAGTACCCAGGACCCTCTAAGCTGCCTTGCCGTCCGTACTGAGCATGCAGAATGAAAACATGAACCTGGGGATGGGGGTCAGGGTCATGGCCAAAGTGGCACACCAGACGAGTTATCAAGTCTTTAAGAGGCCGACTGAGAGAGGAGTAGGAGTGCGGGGCTGGTGCCCAGAGTTGGCAGGCAGTTCTTAGCCCCTGTGTCCCAGCCACTGTTTGCAGTTCAACTGAGCTACTGTGCCTAGAACTTAGTTTCATGGAAGATGCAGGCACAAGCTCTGATACGGAGTTATCGTATAGATCTTAAATGCAAAGTATGAATTAGAAGCAGGAACGTGATGAAGAAAGGGAAATTGATTGTGATTGAGGTGAATGACAAAGTCTTTGTGGAAGAGCTGTTCTTTTAGCTGCATGTTGAATCATTCAACAAATGTTTCTTGGAGACATTGTGTCTGCTTGACCCTGTGCTGTGTGCCTTGGGTTGGTGAGAAGACTGGAGAGGTGGAGGTGTCAGAGGAGCATGTCCTGCAGCCAGCTTGTTTCATGAGCAGAGGCCCAGCCGCTCACATGTGCCATGTGTGTCCAGGCTGGGTTGTCAGCAGGGTGCTAAGAATGACCTCGCTAAAAGCCAGGAGGGACATGCTGGAATCTGATTTCCAAAATAATCCAATTTCTTGAAGCAGTCGGTATAATCAGCAGTTAGACTGTCACAGCAGAGCAGGAAGGTAAGAGGGGAACTGGTAAGAGCAGTAGCTGAGGTCTTGAGAGATGATTCGGGAAAAAAGAATCCATGGCACGCATCCATGAGAGGCTGAGATGGACATGCCTAAGAGACTCCTTTCTCCCTGACAGATTGGGCGACTGACAGTGCCCTAGAGTGGCCCTGAGAAGGCAGGAAGAGAAAGATGGGTCATGCCAGGTGCTCTGTGTGTGGTGCAGCTGAGAGGTTCCCCATGAACACAGGCCAGTCAGGCTTGGGTAGAGATGGCACCGTCTACCAGCTGTCAGGAAGGCTGTGGGATGCTGTGGAATGCTGGGGACCCGCTGCGCAGTGCTGAGGCTGGTGGGGTGCAGGTTGGCTCTCACAGCTGCCAGTGCCACAGAGACTGCACTTTTCTTCTTTTTCATAATGAGGCATCTTACCTCTACTGTTGCCTTAGGTGTTTTATTTGTTAATATTTATTGGAGGGACAATGAGAGAGACAGCATTCCTGTTCACCAGGCTAATCTCCAGATGCTCACAGCAGCCAGGGCTGGGCCAGGCCACAGCCAGGAGCCAGGAGCTCAGTCTGGGTCTCCCTCAAAGTCACCGGATGAGAGACACTTGGACCATGTAAGCGAGAGTGAGGAGAAAGGTTGGTGTGAAGAGAGAAGGGGAAGAGAAGTTGGGATAGGAGGCGTTTAGATGAGCGGGATCGTGGTTTGGTAATACAGAAGAAACATGGGGAAGGTGAGTGCAGAAGACATGAAAACTCAAAGCTCTTTGTGTCTTTGGGAGTTGTTTTTGGATGAAATGTGAAACATGATTATTAGGCGAAAATTACTGAGATTTTTGATAGAAGTTATATGGGGGAGGGGCAGTAAAAACTATGCAGAGATTTCAAAAATTTTTACCAAAATAAATATATTTTAATTCTGTTTTCCCTGTGCTGCTGAAAGTTTTTTTATTTGAATGGCTGAGAAACAGAAAGATAGAGCCAAGACAGAGAGCAAGATCTCTGGCTGCTGATTCACTCACCAGGTGTCCACAGCAGCCTGCACCCTGGGACTCGGTCCAGGTCTCTCACACAGGCAGCCGGGTCCCAAGTTCTTGAGCTGCCAGTTGCTGCTCTGCAGGGTGTGCTTAGCCAGAAGGTGGAAGTGCAAGCAGAGCCGGACTCTGCGCTCAGAAACCGAGGCACTGGGAATTTGGATGTTTATATTCCAAGCAGTGCCAAGTCCTTGCCCCTCTGAACTTTTTGTAATCCTTCATTTAGGGGAGTGAGAGAGGGAGAGGACAGGACTGGGTCTCCCATATATGGTCTCCTGTGTGTGATGCTGCAGGCCTCCTAGAAGCTCGTGTCTTCTGCAGGCCAGCCTGGTTGTGTGTTTTCTCCCAGCATTGTTCTCCCATGTGGCTGCAGCCAGGTGTGCTGATATATCCACTTAGCCACTCTTGTTTTGTCAAACAGATGGGATAAAAAAGAACAAAAGGTTCTTTCGTTGCTGCCCAAGAATTATGGGATTGCATGTGCTGGTCTATGAAGTAATTGATAACTATTGTTGTGTATATGTTTAGCTTGTATTATAAAACCTTCTATGTGATATCTGAAAGATATGCCACCAAGTTAAATTTCCCAAACATCTATTAAGCACCTGCTCCTGCCAGGAGCCTGCAAAGACTGTTGCATTTAGCACCAGTGCTAAAAAGTGGGGCATAGTTCTCATGTTTCACTTTTCAGGAGGCTGAAGCTCAGGGAAAGGTAGGAAACTTGCTCAGAGTTAAGCAGCTGCTCCGCAAGCATCTGATGACGTCACTTCTTAACCTCCTGCTGCACTTCCCTCCTGTTCCATATCACTGATAACTAACATTCATGGAGACCCATCCTGAGGCAAATGCCATGCTATTCCACTCTCTCTTTCCTCTTTCTGTAACTCTTTAAAAAAAAAAAAAAAACAAAAACCAAAAAACGGGCTCAGCACGGTGGCCTAGCAGCTAAAGTCCTCACCTTGAACACACTGGGATCCCATATGGTCGCCAGTTCTAATCCCGGCAGATCCACTTCCCATCCAGCTCCCTGTTTGTGGCCTGGGAAAGCAGTTGAGGATGGTCCAAAGCCTTGGGACCCTGCACCTGCGTGGGAGACCTGGGGGAGGTTCCTGGATCCTAGCTTTGGATCGGCGCAGCACCAGCCGTTGCAGTCACTTGGGGAGTGAATCATCGGACGGATGATTTTCCTCTCTGTCTCTCCTCCTCTCTGTATATCTGACTTTGCAATAAAAATAAAAAATAAATCTTAAAAAAAGAGCATGCTTTCAGTCCTACATAGATAATAACTGTTATTACAATGGAGAGGATTCCTGAAAGGGCCCATACAATAGATACAGCAACACACGTCACAGTGCTGAGCCACCACTTTTTTTTATTTTTAGATTCAGGCAGAGGCAGAACTCCAATCTGCACCATCCACACTGGGCCAGGTAGAACCTGTAAGCCAGGCACTCAGCTGGGTCTCCTTGAGTGCCAGGGACTCAAGTACTTGAGCTGTAATTTGGTACCTCTCACGGTGTGCATTAGCAGGAAGCTGGAGAGCACAGTGGAGCTGGAACCTGAACCCAGACACTCCGATATGGGATGTCAGCAGTCCATGTGGTGTCCTAACTGCAGCACCAAACGCCCATCGCTGACTCCGCACATTTGATGCAGAAAACAGTGTGGTGGTTAGTGGTGCTTTGTGACAGCGTCTCAATGTGGTTCCTGCTTTTTAAATTTTATCTTGTTAACACAGGGCTCATGAGCAACTGAACGTGAAACACGAACCACTTCAGCTCATCCAGCCTCAGTTTGAGACGCCGCTTCCAGCTCTGCAGCCTGCGGTGAGTAGGTGTGCTTGGTGATCTGGTGTTGGCCTTACCTCGCCAGCCTGGCAGGACTGCGCCTAAGCTCTGTCAGCCCCCAGACCTGTTAGTATTCCACAGGGGCTTCCATGTGGTTCACTGGTGACATCAAGGGCATGGCTTTTCTGACTGCTAAGTGTTTTTCCATCTCATGGGGTTGGGGAGCTTATATGAGGCCTCTGAGGTGGAAAAGAGGAGGGATTAGGCACTAATAGCACAATTCTCTTTAACAGTCCAGAGGAATGTCGTATGTCTAGGTAATTTCACAGCTTTTCAGCCCAGCATTAGCTCAACTTGCCTTATATTCTGCAGTGTTGTGACCCAGTTGACTTCAAGTTGGTGGCTTGAACTTGGCTATGGTGGGAGTACTTATACCCCCAGAAAATGGCAAATGTCACAAACAAGCTTTCAGTTTTGAAAACTAGTGGTTTTAACACTTCTACCAGGACCCCATTGATTCATATCTACACATTTTGTCTCCAAGTTCTATACTGGTTATACAAATGTATGTCTGTTTTCCCAACTTATTTCTGTCCCTGGAGAACTCATAATTAAATGGGAAATAAGTTGTTAGCATGGACCTCGCCTGAAGCTTTGTGGTGTTGTGTTGAGTGACTTGATAACGGTTGCTCAGCTGGTTAGTTCAGTGTCATAACTGAGCTTGCTCTGGTTGGTTGCTCCCAGTGGATGTAATGGGTGAGAGCAGAGCAGGAGGAGGTGGTGGCTGTGCTGCTGGCTCAAAGCCAGGGCCAGGGCTGAGTTGGCCCCTCGTTCATACCACGACTAGCTATGCTCCGGACGGGCTCTTTCATGAAAGACTTTGTTTCCTGCAGGTTTTCCCTCCTAGTTTCAGGGAATTACCTCCTCCTCCTCTGGAGCTGTTTGACTTAGATGAGACGTTCTCCTCTGAGAAGGCACGGCTTGCTCAGATTACCAATAAGTGTAAGTTGGCCACTTTTTATATTTTGTTTTCTTTCTCGAGTTTTATTTACCCATGAGCTTCTGAGATTTGGTCTGAGTGAAAGCTTTGAGTTTGTCTAATTGAGATTCGTTAGCCCAGTGAGTTTGAACATGGTGCCAAGTAAGAAGTCAGAAGTCTCAGAATTGATCCCCTAGACCTGGCCATCCGGTGAATCCTGCAATTACTAAAAGGGTAGCAATAGCTGACCATCCTAGATATGAGAGAATTGCAAAACGTTCCTAGAAAACAGAATTAACAGAAGCTTGTTTTTTGTAACATACTCTGAAATCTGTGCATCATTTTTAAATTATTTTGATGATCTTTACATAGTTGATTAGGGCACAAAGGGTCAAGAGCTACAGGAAAGTGGGTAAGACCATTGTTTCCACATTCTCACCGTCAGTTTCCACCCAGCCTCCCACCCATCCTAGGGTCCCCAGTGAGGGGCATGCTCCGAGGGCACTGCTCAGGTGATTTGGTAGTTCTAACAGTTCTGAATTGGTGCTGATCTCACCATTCCAAGCATGATGAAATCACTCCAGAATTTACTGGCTGACATAGTCCACCTTAAAGTCTCCAATTACCCAGATTTTCACTGCCTACACATGGCTAGGGTAGTTGATCAATTTGTTCTGTCCTCTGTTGTGGTACCCGATGTCCTCTGCAGGTTCCGATGGACTGCTGTATCCTCCAGGTGTGCGTCATTTTTTGTGTAATATACATTTTCCATGAACTTTTTGAAGAAAAAAATGACAATTCTTTTCACCAAAATAGATGTGTTTTTCTGTTTTCCATCAACTTTAAAAAATATCCTAGCATGGGGCTGCTTAGGAAGGTTTCACAGAGATGTTTTGTTGGAAGTATAGTTGTTTCTTTTTATTTCCTATTTTAATAAATGTTATTTTAAAATAACCGCATGTCCTTTTCATATTGGCCCTTTCTGCCTGCAGACAGTGTAATTTCCTAGTGGTGACTTCTGTTCTTTGTAACAGAGGAAGAATAGATCTGGGCATTAAGAGAATATTAATTTGGCTTTATTTTTTAAAAATGTTAGTTTGGCTTTATTCTAATTAAGAGTGTCACATTTTTGTACTAATTCATGAACGCAGTATATCTGCAATCTCAGTTTGTCATTGTTTGAGTCTTGCAGTCTTACTGCCCTAGAGAAGCAAGCAATCTTGAGAGATGTGGAACGAAATAGTTGCCCCTAAAACACAGTACATTTGGACTTTAAGAACAGCAGAAGTTAGGAGTTTTATCTAACTACCCCACCTGTGTTTAGGTACGGAAGAAGACCTGGAATTCTATGTCAGGAAATGTGGTGACATTCTTGGAGTGACCAGCAAACTACCAAAGGACCAACAAGATGCCAAACATGTCCTGGAGCACATCTTCTTCCAGGTGGTGGAGTTCAAGAAGTTAAACCAGGTACACAGCTGACAGCCCCTGCGGTAGAGCCCTACAGGGGCTGGTGTCCTGCCTAGACTGTGCTTCTGGGGATATGTGACATTCATCCATTCTGCAGTGGCTGTCAGTGTCTGCTAGGCGACCAAAATAGTGATTTCTGTGTTTTCAAAGAATGTTTAAAGACTTAAAAATACAGTCATGAAAAATTTTTAAAAATACCTTGATGATTCAGAAAAAAGAAAAATGTTATAAAGTAGTGTAGCAATTCTAATCTTTGTTACAACCGAACAGATGCACTGCTCTTCAGCAGTGAAATGCGATATGGGGTCTTGGGTGGTTTCCTGACAGCACTTCCCCTGGTGGCAGCCAGGGCGCTTGAGTGTCACCACGTGATGTTCCCGTTGAGCTGAAGGGGGCCTGGGTCCCCAGGCAGCTCAGCTCCTCAGCCTGTAACCTCACTGATGCAGTGACCGTGGTGGGGCGGGGGCCCTTGTGGCCCTTCTGTTGTGGAGTGGGGCTGAGGCAAAGGGGCTGTGCGCAGGGCCGCCTGCACCCAGGTTGCAGGCCTCTGAGGCGTGTGTTTGATGTCACTGTCTTCATGGAGGTGTTGGGGAAGCAGGCGGTGAGTGCCTCACCTGTTATGATGCAACAGTGAAGGGCCTCAGAATGAGGTGGTAAGAAGCATGGTAAGGTCCTTGCGCTGAGCACTGGGTTGCACTGGGTTTCAGCATTTTCAATTCTAGATAGCATGGGCTGGAATCAGCCTTAAAACCAGAGGTCTATGTGTGTATCCCAATTAATCATGATTCATAACCTCTCATTTTTAGGTTTTTTTTTTATAGAAACATTAAAATTCTGTTTGATTCTCTCACACAGGAACATGACGTTGATACAAGTGAAATGGCATTCCAGAACAATTTCTGAGGACTGTGACTCTTGAAACATTGTCTGTCTCCTGATACTCTTTTGTAAGCTGCTTTCCAGTTGCTCCTCGGTCCTTCAGCTGGACTGTCTCTACACTCTGCTTTGTGAACTGGGAAGTCTGTGCATCTTTCATGGTACCCAATGGGGTACGGGCTTTCTAATTTACAAAGTCTATGTAAGATATGTTCCATTTAAAAAATTATCTGCAATACTCTTTTATAATTCATGAAACAGTTTTTTAATTGAAGTCTTTTTTTTAACTCTCACGTCTGACTTTGAGTCCCTTATTAAAGGCACACATCACTCTGAGGTTTTTTTGGAGGCAGTTTTCTGGACTAGTTCAAAAGGATACAAAACCAGCTTAACCCACGATCCGCTTACACCACAGGACCTGAGGGAAAAGATAAGATAGTAGTTAGAGATCTTCCTTATAGACATGACTCACTGCTTTATTTCCAGGCTGCCCAGGACACACCATTTAAGGGGTGTAGTCTTTACCCACACTTCCTTCCCGCATCGAAACTCTTAAAGCACTCAGTTCTGTCATCAGTTTAAATTATAATGTCCCAAGGAGGCTGTCTGATGTTGTCCTGTGGTAGTAGAAGAGACGGCACCTACCTGTGAGGGGAGGTTTATGTATGGAAACGCAGAGAGCTTTGCTGGAATACACTGGGAACCAGCCTTGGGGAATCCCAAAAGCCAGCTTAGAAGAGCGCAGAGCTGCTGATGGCATGTAAGGGATGTGGTACAGTGAGAATAGTTTAGCTGGTGGGAACCAGCAGAAGAAAAATCATTTAGGCGAGAGTGCTGTGTCACCCCAAGAGGAAGGAGGGTGTGATTGGAGGTACTGGCACAGGAAAGGACATTGGAGACATAGAGTCTAGAGACTGAAAGTCAGATGGGCAAGAATTAGGACCCGATGCCCAGGCAGACTGAGGAGTAAGCAATTCTAGATTTTTTGTTTGTTTGTTAAACTGGAGCTGTTTAGGTGTGATGAATTCCTACTTTTTTTTTTTAAGATTTATTTATTTTTATTAGGGCCCGGCGCTATAGTGTACTGGTTAAACACGCCGAGATCCCCATATGGTCACTGGTTCTAATCCTGGTGGCCCCACTTCCCATCCAGCTTCCTGTTTGTGGCCTGGGAAAGCAGTTGAGGATGGCCCAAAGCCTTGGGGACCCTGCACCTGCGTGGGAGACCTGGAAGAGGCTCCTGGCTCCTGGCTTCGGATCGGCTCAGCACCGGCTGTTATGGTCACTTGGGGAGTGAATCATCAGATGGATGTCTCTCCTCTTCTCTGTATATCTGACTTTGCGATACAAATAAAATAAAAGATTTGTTTATTTTTATTGGAAAGGCAGATTAGCTTTACAGAGAGAAGATGAGACACAGAGAAAGATGTTTTGTCTACTGGTTCATTCTCCAGATGGCCACAATGGCTAGAGCTAAGCCAACTTAAAGCCAGGAGCCAGGAGCTTCTTCTGGGTCTCCCACACAGGTGCAGGGTCCCAAGGCTTTGGGTCATCATCGACTGTTTTCCCAGGCCACAAACAGGGAGCTGGATGGGAAGTGGAGCAGCTGGGACACAAACAGGCACCCACAGGGGATCCCAGCACCTGCAAGATGAGAATTTAGCCACTGAGCTATTGTACCAGGCCCAACAACACCTTATTTTTTAAAGTTATGTTTATTTTCATTTATTTTAAAGATGAAGAATTACCATCTGGTACTTCATTCCCAAATGCCCACAATAGCTGGGATTGGATGAGGCCACAGCCAGGAACCAGGAATATACATCCTATGTGCAAGGACTCCAAGCACCAGAGCCATTGCCTGTTGCCTCAGAAGGTGCACATTAGCAAGAAGTTGAAACAAAAGCAGGATATGAACCTAAACCCTGGTCCTCCCACATGGGATGTGGGCATCTCAGTGGTGCTTTACCTGCTGCACCAGCCACCTGTGCTGGGTGGCAGGGGCCACAGCAGGTCACACAGGTGGAAACAGAGCTCCATGCCTGAGACTGAGGAAGGCAGCTGGCCGCAAGAACTGAGTTAGTCACAAGGAAAGGATCAACTCAAATTCTGCATTTCAAATGATTAAAGCGCTGTTCATAGGTTTTCATTCCTGTTTTCTCGACATAACTGCGTCCTTGTCCAAGGCTTGTTCAGAGTACTCAGAGGGCAGGGTGCTGCAGTCTGGGCAGCCATGGACAGCTTTAGGAAATGAGGGAGCAGTTCAGAATGCTTTCTACAACTGTCTCCATCGGTGGCGCTCTTTGTGGTGTTGCATCCCATAGCACTGACAGGTGAGGTCTCCATACCCTCCCTCTGAATGCTTTTGCCTCCCTCCTCAGCTTTGGAGCCCAAAGCCTCCATATGTACAGGCAGTGTGAAGCCAAGTGGGTAGCCCGCCTGGATGCTGTGGCTACCGCAAAGCCCAGCCAATCCAGCATCAGCTGGCCAGGATGACGACTAAGAGTCTCCAGAGGACTCCTGCCCCAGCTATTAAGTCACCCAGCCTGTAAGCCATCTCAGTTGAAGCTCGGATATCATGGAATGGGGACAAGCTGCTCTGTGCCCTTCTGAATTCCAGACCCAGAAACTCCAATGAAGACAATAAAATGGCAGTTTTTTCCTTTTTTTAAGATTTATTTATATCAGAAAAGCAGATTTACAGAGAAGGCGAGACAAAGATCTTCTGTCCACTGGTTCATTCCCCAAGTGGCCATCACAGCCAGTCCAAAGCCAGGAGCCTTTTCCTGTCTCCCATGTGGGTACAGGGTCCCAAGGCTTTGGGCCATCCTCCGCTGCTTTCCTAGACCACAAGCAGGGAGCTGGATGGGAAGCGGAACAGCTGGGACCTGAACCAGCACCCATAAGGGATGCCTGTGTTTGGAAGTGGAGAACTAGCTAGTTGAGCCAACGCGCCAGCCCCTACAATGGCAGTTTTAAGGCACTGATTTGGAGTGGTTGGCAACAATACCTAACAGAACTTACAACTGTAGGATGTTTTTGAAGCCTTCTGAATGTAGTCTCAACTTTCAAGCCAGAACGGAGAGCACTTACCAGCCTGTCTAGGGTCACACATTGTACTCTTTTAGTTATTTTAAAAGATACTACTTGAAAGAAAGAGGAAGTAATGGATCTTCCACCTGCTGGTTCGCTCCCCAAGTGGCTGCAATAGCCAGAGTTGGGTCAGTCCAAAGATGGGAGTCAGGCACTTCTTCCCGGTCTCCCATGCAGGGGCCCAGGGCTTTGGGCCATCCTCTGCTGCTTCCCCAGGCTGCAGGCAGGAAGCCGGATGGGAAGAGCAGTAGCCAGGACAGGAACCCCACACTCAAAGCACTCATGTAGGTTGCCAGTGTCACAGCGCCACAGTGGACACGAACCTGCACGCATATGGGATGCCACACCTGGAAGTTGAGGATTAGCTGAGCCAATAGACCGGCCCCCACTCCCGAGTCTTGCTTCCCGCCACCGTGCGTTGTGGAAGGCAGCAGGTGATAGTACTGGTTGGGTTCCCACTCCCACCATCCCTGCCGCCAGCTCCACTCTTGAGCACCTCGGAACGAGCAGATGGGAGCCTTGTCTCTCTGGCCTTCAAATAAAACAAGGTAAAGAATGTTGTCTTTGTCGGCTGAGTTTCCTTGTGTCTAACCCCCCCCCCCCCCGACGCGATTTCTTTTAATGCCTTCAAGACACATGGAAAACAAAACAAAAAAAACCTTGGTATGTGGCGCACACACACTTTAACAAAACACCTAATAAGGCACCACCATCATCCTGGGCCTGCCCTCCTGTAGCTCACTAGCTAATCGCGGAGAGAAATGGAACCTAGAGAGTCGGAAACGATGACCATGCCTGCGCTTGCTGCTTTTCCCGGGGTGGGGTGCTTTACTCCGTGCGCTCGGAGAAGGGGAGGCTGGAGAGAAACCTCCCCCAGCAGCTCCGCAGGCGACCGGTGCTGCGCCCCGGGCTCCAGCGTGCAGGCGCCTCGGTGACGTCAGGGGCGCGACTCCCGCGATGCCCTGCGCGGCGGCGGGCGGCAGTGGACTCTTGGGCGTTTCCGGCCTCGGCTCCCAACGAAGCCCCTCGAAAGCCTTCGCCCCGAGAGACTTGAGAGAAGGTGGTGCCGCCGGTGCGGCCGCGTTGGACGCTGCACAATGGCTCTACTATGTGTGCACTCTAATGGCCACCTGGAGGATGCGACTCCTTCGTCCCAGTCACACCCCCCCCCCCCGCGTTCGCAGTCCAGCTCGAACGGCAGGTGGAGGTCAAAGGGGAGCTGGGCGGGGGCGGCCGGGAAGCCGGGGGAGTCCGCTGTGTCCATTAACATGTGAGAAGGGAAGGTGCGCCTGCTGGGTTACCTGCCGGGCGGAGCCGGGGCAGCTTCTGTCCTCCCGCGGTGCCTCCCTTCTGGTCCCGGAGGTGCTGGGACGGGCCGGCGTGCACCTGGGAAGTAACCCAGACCTGGCACTTGTGCCCCATCCCACCTCTCCTCAGGCCCCAGAGATCTGGAGAGGATTCATAAGCCGCCGAGCTGTTGGGCTTGGCCGCTGAGGTGAGCACACAGCGGGGCAGCGTGCCCCTGGACAGACCCGCGCGGAGTTGATGGCCCTCACTGCTCCCAGGGGTGAAGGAGGCTCCCCTGAGGTCAGGCTCGCCGAGCTGGGCTGTATGCTTCCCCCTACTTTCGGTTCTTTAGTATCCCATTTCTCTGCAGCCATTGTCCCTGCCAAGTGACTTGCATTTTCTAGAGCGTTCTATGAATTCAGGCGCAATGTGTCCTGTTTGGCTTCTTTCAGCATAATCATTTTGGAATCCATATACATTGCTGTTCTTTTTATTGCTGAGTAGTACTCCACCACAGGCATATACGTGTTTTGTGCCTCCAGTCATGTGTTGATTAACATTGGGCTTGTTCCCAGTTTGGGGCTACTACAAACAAAGCTGTGTACAAGTCTGTAAAATTGTGTGGACAATCTTTTTTCCTTAGGGTGGCTTGATGGGTAAGGTTTTTTTTAGAGATTTATTTTTTATTTTATTATTTTTAAAGATTTATTTATTCTTATTACAAAGTCAGATATACAGAGAGGATGATCTTCCGTCCGATGATTCACTCCCCTAGTGACCACAATGGCCGGTGCAGCGCCAGTCGGAGCCAGGATCCAGGAACCTCTTCCAGGTCTCCCACACAGGTGTAGGGTCCCAAGGCTTTGGGCTGTAATCGACTGCTTTCCCAGGCCACAAGCAGGGAGCTGGATGGGAAGTGGAGCTGCCAGGATTAAAACTGGCGCCCATATGGGATCCTGGTGCGTTCAAGGCGAGGACTTTAGCTGTTACGCCACACTGCCGGGCCCAAAGATTTATTTTTTATGTGTGTGTGTGTATAGACCCAATCCTTGGCTTCCCAACACAATGCTAAACTCTATGTCTGGAACTTGAAGTGGGAACCACTGTGGAATGACTATGTGGCTGGACCCTCCCTGTCGAACGAGGGAAAGGCCAGGACAAGATTCCCAGCAGAGTGTCCTCTGCGCGGCCCCCGGGGGCCACCCCCATGTGCGGCCGTGCCCTGGAAGCTGGGAGGCGCCTCTCCCAGAGCCGTGTGCTAGACGGATGCGAACTGGAGAGTGCACACTGCAGACATCAGCAGATTCCATCTGGCACCAGGTGATCTAAGTGCTGCTGGTCGGACTCCAGGCCCTGACAGCTCTGCTTTAGTGGTTAAATGGCCCCGGTTTCGATTTCCAGGTAGAGTCTGCAGTTGCTCCCTATCTCCTGCCCTGGGCAAATACCTGACCCACAGTGCAGCTCCTGCCCGTGTCTGAAATGGGACCAGCCATCCATTTAAGAGTGTGCTGCAAGCAAAGCAGCTTCCTGGGCCTGAGGGAAGGGACAAATAGGGTCAAGTGTAAATCCTTGAAGGGTAACAGTTATAAAAATGGCTAACAGCAGTACAGTAGTTTCATTTAATATATAATAGGCTAGAGGTAGTTCTCTGTAAACAGTTTATTTCATCCTATAAACACCTTTTAAGTAGGTACTGATGTAGTGACTAGCAGCATAGTCTTAAGGTGAACTTTGTTAACTAATAGGCCTTGCAAAGATTTTCTCATTCCTGGAGCAGTGAAGCCGATGACTGCTCAGAACTATTAAAATCACTCAAGTAACATCCTTGGAACACTCTGCCCATGTTTGTCAGTGTGGAGTCCGCTCAGTCTGTCATGCGCATCAGTCTATACACACACTGGTGGTACAGTCGCCTGGTAGGGTCTGTGCCCAGCCCATCTTCTACTAACCCACCAACCTAGGCCCTTAAGCACACCAGTGGGAACTAGTCAGGTAAGGGAGTTCCCCTAGCTCTGATACCAGGCCTACTCTCAGCCACGGATTTTTTTTTAAAGATTTATCTTTTAAAATTTTTATTGGAATTCACTCCCCAAGTGGCCACAATGGCCAGAAAGAACTGCACCAATCCGAAGCCAGGAGCTTCTTCCGGATCTCCCACGTGGTGCAGGGTCTCAAAGCTTTGGACCATCCTAGACTGCTTTCCCAGGGCACAAGCAGGGAGCTGGATGGGAAGCAGGGACGCTGGGATTAGAACCAGCACCCATATGGGATCCCAGTGTGTGCAAGGCGAGGACTTTAGCTGCCAGGCTGCTGTGCCAGGCCCCCAGCCACAGATCTTATGCAGTGCTGGTGGTTTCACTGACCCTGCCTGGCATGGCCCACCCCCTGTCTTGGCCTTTGCCATTAGATAACTGCAGCCTGGCCTGGCCCAGCCTGCCCTCAATCCTAGTTCTTGTTGGTAGGTGCTGCAGCTTAGTGTTCCCCAGCCCGTCCCCATTCCTGGTTCTCATGTGAACCAGCCCAGCCTAATGTGGTCCAACCCCTGCCCTGACATTCACCAGCAGGCGCTGTGGCCTAGACCTGCCAGGCAAATTGCCCTAGCTTTTGCAGGTGGTTGATGCCAACTACCCTAGCCCAGTTGTCTCACATAGGTGGGTACCTTAGTCTGACTGAGAGTCATCCTCTGGTGCCCCCTCCCTCCGCTCCAAACCACCCAGTCTTAGCCCCCTCATTGATGTAATAGTGCAGTGGTCTGGTCTGTTGAAGTTGCCCAGAAGTCACTGCTCACCTGTAAAGTAATTTCTTAATAGTCCCTCTTCTCTGGGCAATCCACAGCCCCCAACGTCCAGGTGGCACTTGTGGGCCCCAGGCCTCATCTGTCTCCTATCCCTTTCTAAAACAAAGGAAGTTATAGGAGCTTCAGCTGTTTATTTATTGAGCTTCAGTTACTTGACCCAACTCTGGGTCAGACATGCACAGCATTATATTTTTGTCCTTTCTCTGTCAGTATAACTCACGTTCCAAAGAACCGCAGGAGTTAGGAGGGAAGCCATTTTCTCGTCCCTTGCAACAGACAGCCAAGGTATTGTGCCTCAGTTTCTCCATCTGCTAGAAGAGGGTAATATTAGCATCTAACCCACAGAGCTGTCATAAGGATTAACTGCATTAAAGTACGTTCACAGGAGACAGATGCTTGGGACACCCTAATACAACATCCGACTGCATCTGACTTCAGCTTTCTACTGCTGTGTAGCCTGGGGAGCAACAGGTGATGGGGTGACACTCAGGTGGCTGGATCCTTGCCACCCACATGAGAGACCCGGATGAGCTCCGGATTCCTGGCCTTACGCTGGTGCAGCTCTGGCTGTTGAGGCCATTTAGAGAGTGAACCTGAGATCAGTCTGCCTCTCACAGACATTAAAAAAAGCAAAATAAATGTAAAATTTGCACACATCATGGGCCAGTCCAGATGTGGACACTGGAGCTCAGGTTAGTTAGGTGATTTGGATTGGGAATGGCACCTCAGGAAGTTTGGCTGTGGAGGTTTCTAGTAGCTGGCTGGATGCACGGCAGTTTAGCCCGAGGCCTAATGGGCTAGGAGGCTGGACGTGGGCCTGGTGGTCTTGTCTCCTGCTGTTGTTCATTTACCTACATCTCAGCTCTTCCCAGGAAGCCCAACTGGGCTGCCAAGTGGGAGGTAAGCAGGCACTGACAGCCTGAAATGGAAAATCCTTGTTAAACCTCTAGCAGGAGATAAACTGGCACTTAAGTCAACACACCTTTCCCTCCTGGATCAGGTCTAGTGTAGGGCTCTGGGACTCTGGGGGAGAAGCTGCAACGGGGCTCACAGTTCAGAGGGAAAAACGCCCAAGTCAGCAAGGGTGGGCAGCCGACCACACTCACCAAGGATAAACAGGAAGCAGCTCGGAGGAAGGGGCGGCACTTCCAGGCCCAGGGTGGTCCCAGCGGAAAGCAAGAAGACTAGGGACGTGGACGGGGGACTGTCCTGGGGAGGGGGGGCAGTATCTGGAACCCTAGGGTCTGGAGGTCACGCAACACAGCCTCAGCAGGCTATTTTCTTTCTTTTTAAGTGGAAGCTTTTGCACCGCTTGCGATTGATGTTACAATCATCCCATCCAAATGGCCTTAGGCAGAGAAGTATAAAGATTCTCCACCTTTACTAGAGGCGGCAAGCGGGCCGAGAACCCAGTAAAGCCTGTTGTAAAGAATTTATCCTGAGGGCTAGGAGCAAGGAGGCAAATTCCGGAGACGCTGGCTCAGGTTTGCACCTGAGGAGGGGCGCTCGGAGGAGAGGGTCGAAGGCGCATTGAGGGGCCGCCCTAAGAAGTGGGTAGAGGCGGTCGGCACGGAGCAGCACTTTGCGCCCGGCCCGACCCCCGTCCGCCAGGTGGCCGACCCAGCTCGACCTTGTGTGTCCGCAGAGGAGCAGCGTCCGGCCTGCTAGCTACGCAGCACCTGGCCCCGGGCGGCTCCGGCGGAGCCCCGGCGCGCAGCCCCGCCTCGGCCTTCCCGCAGGCTCCGCCTCCGCGCCCGCGCGCCAGGCCCGGGCGGCGCCGACGCGCTTGGCGGGAGATAGAAAAGTGCTTCTGTGCGCGCCGGCTGCCGCTGCAGTTCCTCTGAGCGGGCGGCAGGACCCGCGGACGCGCCGACGCTGCCGAGCGGGGTCCGGGGGGCCCGGGAACCCGGAGCAGCCCGCATTCAGACCCCGGCCCGGCTCCCGCTCCGGTCTCAGCCAACTGGTGGCCGAGCGCGGCGCGGCCCGGGCCGGGGGGGATGTCTCGTCGGACGCGCGGGTGAGCCGAGCCGGGCTGGCTGGAACTGGGGTGGGGGTGGGGAGGGGTCCACTTCCCTCTCTCTCCCCTTCTCCGACCTCCGCTCCCGCCCGCACCCTCGCCGCGGGTCCCCCACTTGGCACCAGGATTGAGTTCCTGCGGGAAATGCCGCGTCCCATGACTGGAAGCGCGCAAAAGCCGAGGGGCTGTCGGGGGAGCGGGGATTCGCTCAGTTCCCGGGACCTGCTGGGCCTCGGAGACGAAACGCGCGGGTCTCCGGGCACTCTGGCCAAACCGGGAGTGATGTCATCTGTCTCCCGCCTGATTGCGGGGTGGGGGTGGGCCGGCCAGAGTCAGCTGGGAAGGCCTTTGCGGGGCACGGAGGAGACCTCTGCAGCGGGAAGACTAAGTGCGGGTCCCGGCCTGGAGGTGGCGTGGGAGGGGGGCCCAGGTCGCGCCAGCCTGGCTGGGGATTCTCGTTTGCCGGCGGACAACCCCCAGCCTGCTCCCCGGTCCGGAGCGGGGTGCCCGGGTGAGGAGGGGGCCCCTTTGTCTCCCGCGTGGGTCCTGCCCCGAGGCCTCCCTTTCTGTTCCCCACGAGGAGTTTGGGGCAGCCGGGGTGGAGGGGCTGATGTGCTGGCGGCCCCTGGGGCAAAGGGAGGAACTGCACGGTCTCCATTTTAGTCCCCCCTGAGAATAGGTAGCGGCCGAGTGGAACCTAGTCCCAGAACTGCGGGTTCGCAGGGTGCTTGCACCTGTGTGCCCTGGCCCTGGCCGCTTCCTCCCTGCTTCCTTGCAGCCCCCTCTTGGGGAGTCTTGGGTGTCTCCTTGGGCTGAGGGGAGGGCCTGGTAGCTCTCCTTGGAGCCTCTTTCTGGAGAGGCATCTGGCCCGCGGAAAGTGGACAGGGCAGCTGGCCCAGGGCCTGACTGCGGAGCGCGCCCATGTCCAAGGCTGCTCCTGTGCGCTTGTCAGACCCTGCGCCGCCTTGAGAGTCAGGAGGTGTCATTCCTGGATGCCGTAGCCAGGTGCTCAGCCACGTCTCTGCCCTTCCCAGGGCACTCCCCCAGCCCAGCCCTGGGCACATTGTCTGGCTCTGGTGCCCCAGTGCCCTGCTTCCGGCCCAGCCTCTGACTCATAGTGGCCTGGAGTGGAGCCCAATACACTGAAGGCACTGCCTTGCCTCTGCTTTCCCAGGCTGGCATCACCAGGGCAGGACTGGAGGGTACTGAGTAAAGGGGCTTCTCGGAGCCTGCCTCTGTGGACTTGGCAAGTGGCGTGAGCCCTGGGAGCCTCTTGTTTCGGAGCGTGTGGACGCCCTGTGACTAGGGGCCAGTGGCAGCTCCCTCTCAGTGTCCTGGGAGTCGGGTCAGCAATGCCGGGTAGAATTCTGAATCCTCTGTGACTGATGTGTTGCTGAGTGTGGACATTGTCCTCTCTTAACGGGCTAACAGCAACTCTGCCAGTTTACTCGTTCTTTTTTTTTTTTTTTAATATTTATTTATTGTTTTGAAAGTCATATACACAGAGGAGGAGAGACGGAGGGGAAGATCTTCTATCCAATGGTTCATTCCCCAAGCGCCTGAACCAGCTGGAGCTGAGCAGACTCGAAGCCAGGAGCCAGGAGCTCTTCCAGGTCTCCCATGCAGGTGCAGGATCCCAAGGCGTTGGGCCATCCTTGACTGCTTTCCCAGGCCTAAAGCAGAGAGCAGGATGGGAAGTGTAAAGCCGGGGTTAGAACCGGCGCCCATATGGGATCCTGACGCGTGCGAGGCGAGAACTTTAGCCGCCTCGCTATCACGCCAGGGCGTGGTTACCTGTTCTTGTATCTAGATCTTGCCTGAGCAGACATTTCTAAGGGGTGCCCACCCTGGTCGGGGCCTCATGGGAGGAACGTAGAGGTGGGTGGTGGTCGGGGGGAGCTCAGCGACAGTCTGTAGAGGGAAAGGTGCCAGGGTTAGGAGGAAGCCGTCGTCCTCTGGGGTGTCTTGGCCTGTGCTTGGGGTGCTTCTTGGGCGATTTGGCCGTTTCTGAATTTACAAACACCTGTGCTAGTGAGCTGAGAGGAGGGGAGGGAGGAGATGGTGGGAGAGTGACCTCTGTTTTGTGAACCGTTCAACTGAACACAAAGTAGGAACCGTTCAACTGAACACAAAGTAGGACTTTTTAGAGCCACTTGAGAAATTGCCTCTTGGACACAGCATATGCATCCAGAATCCAAAGATGCTGACACCAATTTTTTTCTTTTAACTATGCCTTTGTTTAAGGAAATGCAACAATGAGCAGTTATTGAGAGAATATTTAAGACGTTTTTTCACAAATATTTAATATTATAATCTTGGTGCCTGAGGATTACAGACATCATTAGTTTTGATCCATAAGTTGTTTTTTTTTTTCTTTTAAAGATTTTTTTTTTTTTTTTCGAACAGAAACATTTATTTGCGAAGGAACCAGATGAGCAGGGAAGGGGAAGCACCTCCTGAAAGAAAGCCTGGAGGTGGGGTTCCTCTCGAAAGAGGAGGGGGAGAGAGAGACCCCTAAAGATTTTTTTTTTAATTGCAAAGTCAGATATACAGAGAGGAGGAGAGACAGAGAGGAAGATCTTTCATCCAATAATGATTCACTCCCCAAGTGACTGCAACGGCCAATGCTATGCCAATCTGAAGCCAGGAGCCAGGCACTTCCTCCAGGTCTCCCACATGGGTGCAGGGTCCCAAGGCTTTGGGCTGTCCTCGACTGCTTTCCCAGGCCACAAGCAGGGAGCTGGATGGGAAGTGGAGCTGCCAGGATACGAACCGGTGCCAATAGGGGATCCTGGTGTGTTCAAGGCGAGGACTTTAGCCACTAGGTTACTATGCTGGACCCAATTAAATTTTTTTTTTTTAAAAGAAAGGCAGAGGAGTCTGTGTCTTCAGAAGTGGGAGAAGTAAAAGCTGACAGCCCCACCTGTTTTTCTGGATTGGGGTGGCCGCTGCGGCCATATGTGGTCCCCTTACATTGTTAGTGCTGTAAGAGTGTGTGGATGCTCTCTGACCTTCAGCCTGCTCTTCCTGCAGGGAGGAGCTGGACGAGCTGCACTACCAGGACACCGATTCCGACGTGCTGGAGCAGAGGGACAGCAAGTGTAAGGTCAAATGGACCCATGAGGAGGTGAGTGCTAAGGCAGCTGAGGAGGTGAGGGGTCCTGGTAGCCTGGGGAACTGGCTGTTGATGCTGGATGCCCCGTCAGGTTGTAGACTGTCATTGTTGTGTCACAGGTTGGCATGTGTGATACCATCATGGGTGTAGGCTGGACTGCCCCCTGTACCCCCCAAAATTGGTTTATTGGAAAGCAAAGCAACACACAGAGTGGGTGGCATGAACCCGAGTCCTCAGGCCCCGACTGCTCTCCCAGGCCACAAGCAGGGAGCTGGGTGGGAAGCGGGGCTGCCTTAAACCAGTGCCCATGTGGGATCCCTGCACATACAAGGTTTGAGCCACTAGGCCATTGTGCGGGAGCCCTGGCCTGAACTTTGAAAAGAGGACTAACAGACATTCCAGCCACTGGTTTATTTCCTAAACATATGCAACAGCCAGGGCAGGGCCAAGCCGAAGTCAGGAGCTGGGAACTGTAGCTGCTGTGGCCAGGATCCCATTATTTCAACCTTCTCCCGCTGCCTCCCGCGCAGTGGCAGGAAGCTGGAGCCCACACGTTAATATGGGATGCCCCTAGCCATGTGCCCATTCTGCCTCATTTCCCTTGGTGTGTGTAGTTTCCCATTTTTTTAAAAAATTAATTTATTTGTATTGGTTCACTCCCTAAGTAGCCACACGGTGGGAGTTGAGGCAATTCAAAGCCAGGAGCTTCCTCCAGGCCTTCCATTGCAGACACAGGGTCTCAAAGCTTTGAGCCGTCCTCAGCTGCTTTCCCAGCCCACAAGCAGGGAACTGGATGGGAAGTGGAGCAGCCAGGATTAGAACTGGCGCCCATATAGGATCCCAGTGTGTGCAAGGCGAGAAGTTTAGCCACTAGGCTACCATACCCCATTAAGAAAGTTTGTTTTTGCCTGTTTGCTATTGGTGTTTTTTGTTTTTAACTTACTGTATAATGGTATAACTGTCTTTAATCACTTCAGATGTTCCTTCAGCTGAGTGCTATGCCTGTCTTTTCTGTCCATCATACTGGGGACCCAGGACGGAAAATTTAATATTTTGTGGGCTTAGGAGAATAAGCAAGACTTTTTTTAAGGTTTAGATTTATTTATTTTGAAAGAGGTGGGGGGAGTCAGATATTTCATGCAATTGTTCATTTCTCGGAGCAGGGGACCACAGCAGTCAATGCTGAGCTGGCCCAAGCCAGGAGTTTCCTCTAGATCCCCTACATGGGGACAGGGACCCAAGGACTTGAATTATCTGCTGCTGCTTTCCCAGGTGTGTTACCCAAAATCTGGGTTGGAAGTGAAGTAGCCTGAACTAAAACTGGTGCCCATTGGGATGCCTGATGCTGTAGGTGCCACAGCACTGGCACCTAAGACAAGTTCTTGACCCAGAACAGCTCTGTTGGGATGGAGAGATAAGGTCACTGGCATGGCCATGAGATGTGCCTTGGCCTTTGCTGGACCCTGGGAGGGCCGTGTTCATGTCCATTGTGCTCCATGATGTACCTGCAGTGCGTAGTCTCTTCTCATACAAGGCTTACAGCCTGCCAGGGCCTAGAGTCCGCATGGGCCTGTGTGAGCTGGGTGGTGCCGCTGATTGGCCGTGGTGTTTTGAGGCCAGATGAGGATTTGAAATTCAGCCCTGGGGGAAGATAAGCTGTATAAAGTGTCCTGGGGCACAGCTGGGCCTGGAGTGGGGTGGAGGAACAGGTACTTGAAGGGCTGATGGAGATGCAAGGTAGATTTCCTGGAAGGCCTTGGGCTGTGCTGTGAAGTTCTGGGCTGGTTTCCCTGGCCCCACAGGCCAGGGGAGGTTTTAAAGCTGGGGAACTGTGTGGGTGGAGATCCCTTCCAGCCCTCTGCTTGGGTAACCTCCTGGGAGGTTTTCCTTGTGTTTTATGTGAGCTAAGGAAATCCTGGGAAGAGATTGGGGCAGCTTGGGGCTAAAAGAGCTGGGGGCAGGGCCTGGACTGTGGCACTGTGGCTTTAGCTGCTACCTGCCACATCGGAGGCTCCGATCCAGCCCAGCTCCCCACTCCTGTGCTTGGCGGAGCAGCACAAGGTGGCCCATGTACTTGGGCCCATGCCAGCCAAGTGGGAAACCCTGATGGAGTTCCAGGCTTCTGGCTTTGGTCTGACCCAGCCCTGGTCTGAACCCTTTTTCCTTTTAGTATTTATTTATTTTTATTGAAAAGGCCGATTTACAGATAGATAAAGATCTTCCATCCACCCACTGGTTTACTCCTCAAGTTTGTCACAATGACCAGAGTTGAGCTGAGCCTACAGCTTCTTCCGAGTTTCCCACGAGGGTGCAGGCTTTGGGCTGTTCTCTGCTGTTTTCCCAGGGCACAAACATGGAGCTGGTTGGGAAGTGGAGCAGCCGAGACACGAACCAGCACCCATATGGGACCCCGACATATGCAAAGGGAGGGTTTAGCTGCCGAACCATTGCTGAGTCCCATGTATATTGTATTTTTATAAAATTGAGAAATATTGTCTCCTACCTTGGTGCCTCAATTGGCTAACCCTCCCCCATCAATTGCTAGGATCCCATGTGCATGCCAGTTCTAGTCCTGGCTGCTCCACTTCCCGTCCAGCTCCCTGTTTTTGGCCTGGGAAGGCAGCAGAGGACTGCCCAGTCCTTGGAACCCTTCTCTTGCATGGAAGACCCGGAAGGGGATTCTGGCTGCTGGCTACAGATCAACTCAGTTCTGGCTGTTGGGGCCATTTGAGGAATGAACCAGAGAATGGAGGATCTTTCTATCTCTCCTTTGTAAATCTACGTTTCCAATAAAAATACATAAATCTTTTTTTGAAATACATTATGTAGCAGCAGCTGCAGCCATCTGACCCACAGTGCTATGAGTTTTAGCATGTGTTTATAGCTACAGATAGCAGCAGTTGTACTCCAGAACATTCCACCACCCCCAACAGAGCCTTTATTCTTGCTGTCCCTGTGGTTCAGTCACTCCCTCCTTTTTGTTCCTGCAGCTCAGTCCACATTTTCTAGAATTCCGTATGCGGGCATCATCTGGTGTGTCCCCATTTACGTCTTGCGTCATCGTCCCGGGATCTGCTTTTTGGGTCATAGAGCTCCTTTTTTTTCCCCAGTTTTTTTTTTTTTTTTTTTTTATATATATACGTTTTTATTTTGAATTTCTGAATTATGTGGTACAATTTCGTATAGACTGGGATTTTCCCCCCAAACTCCCGCCCCGACAGGTTTTCCCCATTTTACTACAGTGGTGAAGTCCTTCACAAGGAATCATAATTCCATCAGCCTCTTATTTAAGTGTGCCCTGACATTGCTGGTACAGTGTCAGACAGTCTGGCATCCCATTGTCTATGCATGTCCAACAGTTTCATTGGGAGTCCATCTTCTTCTGGAAGCAGGGATGCATGCTGCAATACCCCCACATCTGGATATGGTAGACCCCAGTACTCCATCATACATTTCCATAATTGAGAAGCCATGAAACAAGGTCAACAACTGGTATGACGGAACTTCTTTTCAGGACACTGTTGTCTTCCACCTACGTTCCACTCCCTGGGTCTCTGCATCTCCAGGGCCGAGTCTGGTCACTTCTGGCCTGGGTGTGGTGATGGCCTCTCGTGTCTGCTCAGCCTTCTCTTGTCCCTTTTCTTATCTTGCCAGCAATGAAGGAACTCTGTCATAAGCATGTGGTAGTATAAAGATTTATTTGTTTCTATTAGAAAGGCAGATTTACACAGAGAAGGAGAGACACATCTTCTGTACACTGGTTCACTCCCCAAATGGTTGCAATGACCAGAGCTGAGCTGATTCAAAGCCAGGAGCCAGGAGCTTCAAGTCTCCCATGTAGGTGCAGGATCCCAAAGCTTTGGGCCATCCTCCACTGCTTTTCCAGGCCGTAAGCAAGGAGCTGGATGGGAAGTGGAGCAGCCAGGACATGAACTATATGGGATCCTGGTGCTTACAGCAAGGGGAGGACTTTAGCTCATTGAGTTGTCACGCTGGACCCACACATGTGACACTGTAAATGCCCACTGCTCTGATGCCTCAGTGGCTGAGCCTGCTGTGCAGGGTGAGGAATTCTATGAGATCTGGTGCCTTCCAGAATCATCTTGCATCTCTCATTCACTTGCTTTCTGCATTCTGGCAACCAATTCCTCTGTCTTTCTCAATAGACAATTATCGAGGGCCTCTGTGTTACATGCCCTGCAGGGGGAGTTCTCCCGTCTGAGATTTTGAGAAGCTCTCCCTAGACCGTAAGCCCCTTAAGGTTCCTGCTTGCTGCTTTGTCACTCACCTGGCACACAGCAGGAGGTCATCCTAGCACAGGGTGAGAGGCACTAAGCTGTTCTTACAGGGCCTGGTATCTCGGGTGCCTGTGGGGCAGCTCCAGAACCCTGCGAGTGGAACCCTCTGTCTTCCTCTTGTTGCCAGGACGAGCAGCTGAGGGCTCTGGTGCGGCAGTTCGGACAGCAAGATTGGAAGTTTCTGGCCAGCCACTTTCCAGTGAGTATGGCAGGGGACTCTCTTGGGCCCAACAATGGGCCAGGGACTCGCCCTCTGCCAAAGAGGAGAAGGGAGTACCTTATTAGATGCTTCCAGAGGAAACCCGCTTCACAGGAGGCCTGGCTTTTCCTAGGGGGAGTTGTGGGGTCCCGGAGGAAGCCGCCAGGCACAGCTGCCTTCTGCCTCCTTGTGTGTAGGGCTGTGCAGGGTCTGTGGCTGGGCCGGTGGCATGTGTATTTGCATCCCTTCCTGTGCGGCAGGTGGGGGCTGGGTTCCTTAACAGTGAAGCTGCAGCTAGGGGCAGGTGGGGCTTCCGCAGCTATTATAGGCCCAGGCTGCAGGTGTCTGTCTTCTGGCTTCCTGCCTGGGTCCCCTGGGCTGCTGCTGCTGGTTCTTCTGGGAATACTAACACTTCCTGAGAGCAGTGGTATCGGAAGCCCCTTGAGGCTGAGACAGAGTTGGTTCGGGTGGAGGATGGGCCCCCTAGTGCGCCTTTGGTTGTAGCAAAGGGCAACCACATGTGTCCTAGGCTGTGGGGAATGGTGCCCATCCACCTGGTGAGGGCCGGACCTCATTTCCTGAGCCCAGTGCTTTGTTAGAGCCCCAGCCATGGTTCAGAGGTTCTCACAACTTCCTGTTCTTTCTGTTCTCCTCTCAGAACCGCACTGACCAGCAATGCCAGTACCGATGGCTGAGAGTCCTGAATCCAGACCTTGTCAAGGGGCCCTGGACCAAAGAGGAGGACCAGAAGGTAATTTTGAGCACAGGCTCACCTGTGTGCCCTGGGCTTTGGTCTGACTGTGGGGCCACAAGCACAGTGAAGCTGCTTGGCCCATTGCAGGTGTGTCTGTGCACCTGAACCTGGGAGTGAGTGAGTCTTCCTTCAATTGGTCTGGATGTTTCCGCACTCCCAGCTCGAGGCCCTGGGTCCTGATTCTCCGGGTCTCCAAGCAGGAGCTGGAACTGTTGGGCACAACACTTTGCTTCGTGATCCCATCCGTAGGGGGAAGCACGGACAGGGTCCCCCTTCACCTAGAGCTGTTACGAGTGTTGGGTGGGTGGTACATGTGCTTGCTGGGCATGGCAATGGCTTACAGTGATTGTGACCGGAGTGCCTTTTTCTGGGCTGAGCAGTCTAAGTAGTGTGTGTGTGTGTGACTTGAAAGGCAGAGAGCTGCATCGGCTGGATCACTCCCCAGGTAGCTACAATAATGGAATGTTGTAGGCTGAAGCCAGGAGCTGGGAGCTTGCTCTGGGTCTCCCATGTGAGTGGTAGGGTTCTAAGCACCTTGGCCCTCCTCTGCTGCTTTCCCAGGCACATTAACAGGGAGCTGAGTGGAGCAGGTGGGTCTTGAACCAGAGTCCACATGGGATGCTTGTTTTGCTGTGGACTGTAACTTTACCACATAAGTCACATAAGCAGTGGCCCCAGGCCTTGTTCTTTTGGTTCCCACAGTCATGTGAGTGAGTGCCAGCGTCACCAAGACTCTGGGAGTTCTAGGGGTTCCCCCCAGGCTAGAAAGAGCTCCTGGGCCTTCTCTGGAGTCCCTGGTTCCTTCAGATGTCACAGGAAGGCCCTCCATTGGGCACATACAGCCCCAGGGGAAAGAGGTCTTTGAAAAAGGAACTAGATTTTTTTGTGTGTGTGTTGTTACAGTAAATGTATCTGTTTTTGTTTTATTTGAAAGGCAAATGCCTACAACAGCCGGGCCTGTACCAGGTCCTCCAGGAGACAGCAACTTCATCTGGGTCTCCTGTGTGGGTAACAGGGACACAAATACTTGAGCCATCGTCTGCTGCCTCCCTGGATGTGGGAGGCATCAGCTGTAAGCTGGATCAGAAGTGTAACAGCCTTGACTCAGACCAGGCCTTCTGATAATGAGATGCAGGCACTGAAAGCAGAGGCTTCACTTACTGTACTGTATCACCTACCCGAAGTTTTTAAACAATTACAAGTGAAATTTTAGGTGTGGAGTTGGTAATCACCATGATGGTGCCTGCATTCCTTATCAAAACCCTTTTGCCCCAAAGTGTCCTCTCTTCTATGTGCACAAGAGTGTGTGTGTCCAGAGTTCAGGAGGAAGCTGGCTGGGAGGCTGTGAATGCTGTTTCTGGTCTGAGCAACTGGGGGTCAGTTTGCTCAGTAAACTGGATTGGCCGACCAGTGGCTTGGGCTGCCACCTGGTGGTTACCAAACACGCTGTATGGGCCCGTGGCAGCCTCAGCAGGAGGGTCTCTACCTGACCTTGGTTCACTTGGGCCTCCTGTGGGGTAGGAGCCTTTGGTGTCATGGACCCCTGCAGGCGGGTCCTCATCTCTGCTGTGTGTGTTGATTGGGTTGTGCTCTGAGCAGGGAGACAGGACCCTTGTCCCCTGGGCTCACTGGCCTCACAGAAGCTTCTCTCCAAGGTTATCGAGCTGGTCAAGAAGTATGGCACAAAGCAGTGGACCCTCATCGCCAAGCACCTGAAGGGCCGGCTGGGGAAGCAGTGCCGTGAGCGCTGGCACAACCACCTCAACCCTGAGGTGAAGAAGTCCTGTTGGACCGAGGAGGAAGACCGCATCATCTGCGAGGCCCACAAGGTGCTGGGCAACCGCTGGGCCGAGATCGCCAAGATGCTGCCTGGGAGGTGAGGGGCTGGGGTGTGCAGGCTAGGCTTCTGGGAGGTGATAGGCACATGTGTGCGGGCCTCCCCGGGAGTGCTGTGGCTTTGTGTGATTCTCTAACCCACACCCTTAGCTGTAGGACCTCCCTAGACGCTGATAGGAAGGGTTTGCTTTATTTTTCTTAGCTTTATTTTTATTTGAAAGGCAGATGACAGAGAAATCTTCCTTCTACTGGTTCACTCCCCATATAGCTGCAGTGGCAGGAGTTGGGCTGGTCCAAAGCCAGGAACCAGGAGCCTCTTTTAAGATTTATTTATCTTTATTGGAAAGACAAGGACTTTAGCCGCTGGATTACCATGCCGGGCCCTGCTTTATTTTATTTTTTTTATTGGAAAGGCAGATTTTTTCAGAGGAGGAGAGGCAGAGAATGATCTTCCATGCACTGGTTTAATCCCTAAGTGGCCACAGTGGCTGGAGCTGAGCTGTTCCGAAACCAGGAGCCAGGAGCTTTTTTGTGGGTCTCCCATGGGGGTGCAGGGTCCCAAGGCATTGGGCCATCGTCTACTGCATTCCCAAGTCACAAGCAGAGAGCTGGATAGACAGTAGAGCAGCAGGCATTAGAACCTGTGCCCATATGGGATCCTGGTGGATGCAAGGCAAGGACTTAGGCACTAGGCTACCATGCCAAGTGTCAGGAGCCTCCTCTGGGTCTCCCACATGTGTACAGGGGCCCAAGGGCTTGGATTGTCTTTCACTGCTTTCCCAGGCACATTGGCAAGGAACTGGATTGGAAATGGAACAGCTGGGACTCAAACCAATTTCATGTATGGGATGCTGGTACATTTAACCTATGTCATAGCAGCAGCAGGATATTTTCATCTTTTTCTTCTTTTCCAGTTCTTTAGCTTTACTTTTTGGGGAAATTTCTTTGACTTTACCTTCTATTACTTCTTTGGAAATTAAATTTTTACAAGGGCTTACATTTTTTTTTTTTTACTGACACCCTATTTTAAAATTTATTTTCATTTGAAAAGCAGAGAGGAGAGAGGTTTTCCATCTGCAGGTTTACCACCCAGGTGAGCACAACAGCTAAGGGTGGGCCAGGCTGAAGCCATCAGTCCAGTGTCCACCAGCTCTCTCCCAAGGCTGGCGGTAGCCTGTGCGTGTGCCCATCATCTGCTGCCCCCAGAATGCAAATTAGCAGAATGTTGCCTTGTCGACAGTCTCCAGGACTCAAACCCGGCACCGTGTGATAAGGCATGTTGGCATCCCAGGGGACAGCATAATTTGATGCACAGTAAGGCCAGCCCCGTTCTGGGACATTTTTTTTCCCTTTATTTTTGACAATCTTTACATAGATGATTAGGGCATAAAGGGTCAAGGGCTACAGGAAAGTGGGTAAGACTGTTTCCATATCATTGCTTTTTTTTTTTCTTTTTTTCCTTTATCTGGGGTAAAGGGGGAGATACAGGGAGAAGGCCCACCCAACCTCCCACCTATCCCAGGTCCCCGACGTGGGGCATGCTCCAAGGGTCTTGCTCAGGTGGTTTTGATAGTTCAACAGTTATGAATTGCTGCCAGTCTTCCCATTCTAAGCACGATGAAGTCATTGCAGAATCCACTGATTGACATAGTCCACCTTAGAGTCTCCATTTGCCCAGTTTTTCACTACCAACATATGGCTGGGGTCGTTGATTGGTTTGTTCTGTCCTCTGTTGTGGTACTAGGTGTCCTCTACAGGCTCCAATGGCCTGCCATATCCTCCATGTACACCTGGATATGCTGTCCACGCCTGAGCCTCTGAGGAGGCTCGGCTCTGAGACTTGCACTCCATGGCAGACCATGGAATCTGCACTTCTCTTCATGGTTGGGGTTCTGAGTCCGACAGTTCGATTGGGGAGATCCCCAAAGAAACTCAGACCAGATTCTTGTGTGTACTCGCCAGTACAGGACCGTGCGCAGTTCATCGCCCCTAACAGCTGGTGGTTGCAATTGCTGGGTTGGTTCTGTTTCCAGCCCTGTCTTCCGCTTGAACCAATGGGAGCTGCAGTCCAGCCTGATTCTGCCCACTTCATACTTGGCCTTCACACAAACCATTGGGAGCTGCAGCCTAGTCTGAGTGCCTTCACACAAACCATTGGGAGCTGCAGCCTAGTCTGAGTGGCTCCCAATAATCCCCACCAGGTCCAGCCCCTACCCTGGTTCCCGTGCTTGCCAGTATGAACAGTATACAAGTCCAATCTGTCCCACATCCCATTCAGCTTTCATACATGTCAGTGGGCATTGAAGCCTAGTTCAACCCAACCAACTCCATTATCTAGCCCACACACATGCTGGTGGGTGCCATTCTGTCCAGCCACATCTGCCTCAGTCCTGGTTTTCATGCTCTCCAGTGGGAGGGGTAACCCAAGAGGAAGGTGCCCACTATTTCCCTACTGGACCCACTCCTGGATCACGTACTTTCCAGGTGGTTCTTTAGTATAACTTGACAGAATTAGCCACCAGAGCCAGCATCTGCCATCTGGTGCTGCGACAAAGCCTAACTGATTTGTGCTTGCACCAGTAGGGACAGTCAACCAAACCTGGCTGTTCCCTGATCTGGCTCACATGAGACCCGCATATGTTGTAGCCCTGCCCGGTCTGGTCTGCCCCCATTTCAACTCATGCTCTCCAGTGGGCGAGGTGTGAAACTTTTTTTTTTTTAAAGATTTGTTTTTTATTTTTATTGGAAAGGCGGGTATGCAGAGAGGAGAGACAGAGAGGAAGATCTTCCGTCCCATGATTCACTTCCCAAGTGAGCTGATGCTATGCCGATCCGAAGCCAGGAGCCTCTTCCGGGTCTCCCAGGCGGGTACAGGGTCCCAAAGCTTTGTGCCGTCCTCAACTGCTCTACCGGTCCAGGGAGCTTGGATGGGAAGTGGGGCTGCCGGGATAGAACCGGCGCCCATATGGGATCCTGGGCGTGCAAGGCGAGGACCTCAACCACTGCACCACCACGCTGGACCCAGAAACATTTTTGAAATCCATATATATGAAAGGTTTTCAGAAAGTTTAGAAAACATTATGATTTTTTTTTTTGCTTTCTTGATTTATTTTTTTGTTTTTGTTTTGAAAAGCAGAGTTAGAGGAAGATCTTCTATCTGCAATTCACTATCCAGTGGCCAGAGCTGGACCAGGCTTCAGCCTGGAACCCCATGTGCATCTTCCACATGGGTAGCAGGCCATTTTCACTTCTTTACCAAGCATGTTGTCAAGGAGCTGACTTAGAAGTTGAGCAGCCTGGCACTCGAACCAGTGCTTGTTTGGGATGTTGGTGTTGCAGGTGGTATCTGAATATGCTGTGCCACCACACCAAGCCCCCAAAATAAAGATACCTTTTTTATCCCATTTCCACTAACTTTGCAAGTGCCTTTGTACATTGATGGATGAGACTCCTCATGACAAGCTCCTGTCTGCTTAGCCTGTGTGCCCCCCTTCTTGCGTTGTGCTTTTGCTCATCTTGAGGTCGGTGGAAATGCTCTCAGTGGTGGAGAGTTATGCCAGCAGGACTTCTCCTTGGAGCTGATGCAGCTGAAGTGGGGGCCCCTGCTGGGTGTGGGGTTCCCTGCCTCCGGCCTGGGATGCTGACGTCCTGTTTGCTCCCCGCAGGACGGACAATGCTGTGAAGAATCACTGGAACTCCACCATCAAAAGGAAGGTGGACACGGGAGGCTTCCTGAGTGAGTCCAAAGACTGCAAGCCCGTGTACTTGGTGCTGGGGCTCGAGGACAAGGACAGCCCCCAGAGTGCCCAGTCTGCGGAAATCCAGGTGGGGCCGCTTGGGGGCAAGGGTTGGCTGGTTTGATGTGTGTGTGTGTGTGTGTGTGTGTGTGTGTGTGTGTGTGTGTGTTTTAAAGATTGACTTATTTGAAAGGCAGAGTGACAGATTTTATCTGCTGGTTTACTTTCCAAATGCCCGCGATAACCGGGTCTAGGCTAGGCCACAGCCAGGAGTGCCAGGAACTTTATTATCTCCCATGTCGGTGGCAGGGCTCAGGTACTGTCCCAGCACAAAAGCAGGATGTTAGGTGAGAAGCAGGGAGCCTAGATGCAAATGGCACCCAGTGTGGAATGCTGGTGTCATGAACCGAGGCTTACTCCATGAGCCACAAAGATGGGTCTGCAGCTAGTTTGATGTTAGATTTATCCCAGCCCACCTCGGCGAGTTCATCAGTTTCTGTCACAGGATGCTGAGGCAGGTGCATGTGTCTGGCACCTTCCTGTGACACATGTCTGCTTGTAAGGTACATTCGTCTTTCTATTTCCTATGGAAGGGTCACACCTGGTAAGGGGTGACGTCAGGTAAAAAGTTGGCTTTGGCCTTCTGTCCTTGGAAACTGCTTCTTTTTTTTTTTTTTTTTTTTTAAGATTTATTTTGTTTATTTGAGAGAGTTACAGAGAGAAAGAGACATCTTCCATTCACTTATCCACTGGTTGGGTCCCTCTTCAAAGGCTGTAGTTCCCTCTTCAAAGCCAGAAGTTTGTTTGGGGTCTCACAGGTGGGTGTGGGGTCTTAAACACTTGAACCATCCTCTGTTGCTTTCCCAGACCATTAGCAGGGAGCTTGACCAGAAGTGGAGCAGTTGAAACTTGAACTGTTGCACATGTGCGATGTCCAGATGCCCACTGTGGCTCATTGCCAGCCCAAACAGCTTTCTTTCATATATATATATATATGAATGTTTGCACCAGTGAGGACTGGACAGAAAGCAGAAGCTCAGAACAGTCCAGGCCTCCCACGTAGACTCTAGGGACCACGCTGTACTGCCTGCTAGAGTGGATGTTAGTGAGAAATTGAAGTCACAATCCTGGGCTGAAATACCAAGCAAGGCATGCCAGTATGGGATGTGGGTATCATAATTCCCAATCTGAGTAACTTCCTCTAAAAGTAAAAGGTGGAGGAGGGGCAAGTGTTGTGTGGTGGGTTAAGGTGCCACCTGAGCCACCAGCATCCTAGTGCTGGTTTGAGTCCTGGCAGCTCTACTTGCCTATTTACAGTCCAGCTTCCTCCTGCTTTGTCTCAAAAGCAGAGGATGATGGCACGGGGACTTGGAGGGCCCTGCTATTCTGATGGGAGACCTGGGTAGAGTTGACTCCTGGCTTCTGCTGGATCTAGCCCTGTCCTTTGTTTGGGGACTGAGCCAGCAGATGGAAGTTTCTCTCTCTCTCTCTCTCTGCTCTCATTATTGCTCTGTCAAGTACATGAACAATAGGTAAAAAGCATGTTGGTAAAAAACAGACATACAGATTTATATTCTATATTAAGATTTGTTATGTTTAGTACAGGGTTGAATTAGGAAGTCATGTGATCACCTAACCACCATGATCTAGATACGGATGCTCTCTTGACTTCCAAAGTTCCTGTGTGTGGCCAGCTTCTGACTCCCCACCCAATGGAGGCATCTGCTTCCTGGTTTGCTGGTTGCCTTTCCATCTTTACCACAATGTGCATGGAGAGTGTGGGCCTGGAGTCGCCAGGTGGTGTGCACCAGAGCTTGGCCATTTTCTTGTGTGAATGGTTTGAGTGTGTTGAGTATAGCTTGGTAAGAAACTGCTAGACTGGCTGCCCATGCGGTTAGCTTTTAAAGAGTTCGTGGCAGCTCCTGCCTCCCGTTATACCTGCCATAAGTGTGTGACCACATCTTTATCTTACCTCCTTGTCTGCTGTCGCTGTCCATTTCTGTTCTCTTGGCGGCTGCAGTGACACCAGCCCCCGGTGAGGTACGACCCCTTACGTAGCCCGGCTGTTGGTCTGCATGGCAGCAACTGGGTCACGTGCCTCAGTGTTCTTGCTCTACCCATGGGGAAAAGTCACGCAGACCAGGGAGGTCACGTGGCTCCTCCAAGGTTAGGCAGTAAATGGCGGCACTCTTGTCCAAGCCTCCGCCCTCTCCATGGCACTGCTGTGTCTCCAGTCCTGTGGGATCTTGCTTTCAGCTCCATGGAGAACAGATTGGGATTTGGACAGACCCCAGGGCAACTTGAGAGCCTTTTTGGGGACTTATACCTTGTCAGTGAGAGGACACGGAAGTGCTTGCCCGTGGAGGCAGGAAGTCAAGGTGCTGGAGCAGAGGCCGGTGCCCAGCTTTACTACCAGTGTGTTAGAAATGTCAGACCAGGGGCCCAGCGGCGTGGCCTAGCGGCTGAAGTCCTCGCCTTGAACGTGCCAGGGTCCCATATGGGCGCTGGTTCTAATCCCGGCGGCTCCACTTCCCATCCAGCTCCCTGCTTGTGGCCTGGGAAAGCAGTCGAGGACAGCCCAAAGCCTTGGGACCCTGCACCCATGTGAGAGACCTGGAAGAAGTTCCTGGCTCCTAGCTTCGGATTGGCATAGCATCAACCGTTGCGCTCTCTTGGGGAGTGAATCATCGGATGGAAGATCTTCCTCTCTGTCTCTCCTCCTCTCTGTATATCTGACTTTACAATAAATAAATAAATCTTAAAAAAAAAAAAAAAAAGAAAGAAAGAAATGATAGACCAGTAGCAAGCGGCCAAGGAGTTACCTGGTGGAACTGAATCAGTTCCTGGGCCTCCGGATTCACTCCAGTCTCCCTGCAAGGGACCTTAGTAAATCACTTGAGCTTGCTTTTCTTTTTATACATTTACTTTGTTTATTTGAAATGCAGAGAGAAGGGCCTGACAGCGCCCACCTGCTGGGTCGTTCCCCGGATGCCCACACGCACACAGCCTGATTTTGGCCATGCTGAAGCCAGGAGCCTGGAACTCCCTGTGGGTCACAGGGGCCCAAGTTCCTGAACTGTTACCTGTTGTCTGCCAGGCTGTGCCTTGGCAGGAAGCTGGAGTGGCGAGCAGAGCTGGGGCTCAGCTGCGCCATATGCACTTTCCCCAAATGTTTTCTGGACTGCCTGGGTCTGCCAGGGTAAACACGCCCATTTCCAGGGTTCTGCCTGGAGGCCTGTGGCTGCAAGGGATTTCCTACTGATTTTTTAATTTTCTTATTGTTTGTAATGTTTATAAGCCATATGCATTTTTTTTAAGATTTATTTTTATTGGAAAGTTGAATATACAGAGAGGAGGAGAGACAAAGAAGAAGACCTTCTATCCGATGATTCACTGCCCAAGCGGCTGCAATGGCTGGAGCTAAGTTGATCTGAAGCCAGGAGCCTCTTCTTGGTCTCCCACATGCAGGTCCCAAGGCCTTGGGCTGTCCTCAACTGCTTTCTCAGGCCACAAGCAGGGAGCTGGATGAGAAGTAGGGTCGCGAGGGTTAGAATTGGCACCCATATGGGATCCTGGCATGTGCAAGGCGAGGACTTTAGCTGCTAGGCTACCATGCCAGTCCTTATATGCTTTTTTTTTTTTTTTTTTTTTTAATTTGAACATGCTTACAGAGAGGTAGCGGAGAAAATGAGATCATCCACCTGCTGGTCGCTCCCTAATGGGTGCAACGACCTTTGCTGGACCAGGTTGTAGCCAGGAATGTCATCCAAATTTCCTACATAGGTGTGACGGCTCAAGCTCTTGGGCCATCTCCTGCTGTATTTCTGATCAGCTGGGAGCTGGATCAGGAGTGGAGCAGACAGAACTCTTAAATGGTGCCCATACAAGATGTTGGCCTTGCACGTGGTAGCTTTACAGGCTACACCATAGCACTGCATGCAACTTACTGTGTTTTGTTTTGCATTTTATGTAAAGATTTATGGGCCTCGTGTGATGGGCTAGTGGCTAAATCCTCACTTTATAACTGCAGTCGCATGGGAGACCTGGAAGAAGCTCCAGGCTCTTGGCTTTGGATTGGCTCGGCTCAGGTCATCTTGGGGAATAACTCAGGGGATGCGAGATCTTTCTGTCTCTTCTTTCTGTAAATCTGCCTTTCTAACAAAAATAAATAAACCTTTAAAAAAAAAAACCCGACACATTTATTTACCTGCATTTTTCAAAGTTTTCATTTTGAAATAATGTTAAGCGTTCAGGAAAGTTGCCTTTACCACATTTGTTCTTTCTGTAATAGTGTTTTAGTTTTCTTTCCCCTCCTGAGCCTTCTGATTGCTGCTTGTTGCTTAATGCCCTTCTCCGCCTCAGTCCTTCATTGTGGGTTGTGTCAGGGCTAGGACACTCGTGTCTGTGACTGCATGCACCTGGGCCAGTTCAGGCCTTGAGTCTCATCTTCCTGCACAGCTTGCCCAGGTGCAGCCAGAAGCAGGTATGTTCTCATGCTGTCGCCAGCTTGTCTTGGTCTCATGAGATTAAGAGTGTGGGGCTCGTCGTCTTCCAAGTTCCCTCACTGTTAAACTTGGTGTGTGTGTCCTGCTAGAAACTACTGCCTAATTTGTACCTCAACCAGAAAATCCAGACTGTCCCCTATGTGACCCGCAGGGCAGTCTGGTGACCGGCTGGCCACCGGCGCCCCCCGTCGTGAAGGAGGAAGAGGGCAGCGAGGAGGAGGCCGCCCCTGCCCCGTCTGCAGAGCTGGCGTTTGTCCCTGCACAGCCGGAGAGCCTGCGCACTCCAGAGCCCTCGGAGGAGTTCCCCAAGCGCGAGGACCAGGAGGGCTCCCCGCCGGAGACAAGCCTGCCTTACAAGTGGGTAGTGGAGGCCGCCAACCTCCTCATCCCTGCCGTGAGTTCCAGCTTCTCAGAAGCCCTGGACTTGATCGAGTCGGTATGTGGCTACCTGCAGCTGGCAGTGCTGCTTGCTTCGGCCTGTGTCCTGTTCACTGCTTTGTGCCACTGAGGGTCTCGGTGCTGGGGGCTGAGTACCAGGACCTGGGCTCACTGAGGTGGCCTCCAGGCAGTACTGGTGGCACTGCGTGGAGGATAATTGGCACGCACCAGCATTGGGGAGAGTGATGTTTGCAGCACCACGTGGTTGGGCTTCCTGGAAGAGGGCATCAAGAAAGGCTGGGGTGGAGTGGTGAGTAAGTTCTGGCACTCAGGAGCAGACACCCTCCCCCAGCCGAGACTGCACTCGCTCTGGTGACAGGGCAGGACAGGGGCAGCCCTCTGGACCCACCATCCCAGCTCCTGCTGCAACAGCCAGTCCTGCAAGCTGGGACCGAGTACCCCGCACCCCTACCTCCCCATGCGGGGGGCATCCAGTCTCTGTGCTGAAAACAGCTGTACTGTTGCTTTACCTTCTGCTCAGCCCGAGTTCAGTCCCTGGGGCATCCTCAGTTGTGTCTTGGCCCTGAGGGTGAGGCAGTGCTGTCTCCAGGGGAGGGTCTGCTCTGCTCCTTGCTGACCCTGAGTCTCACACGTGGGCTGCACCACCTGGGGTGCCTGCTGTACCCCTCAGGGACTGTCAGCTGCTGCTCGGAATGGGAGAGTAGCACTGTGGCTCCCCCTGCAGCCCTGTGGTCTAGGTGCTGAGCAGCTGTGGAGGTGAGAGCTGGGCCAGGCCTTGCCTAGCACCCGCCACCTCCCTCCTGATGGCCACCGAGGCAGGGAGAGGTCACCGTTTTGTTGTTGAGGACCTACGCTGTGCTGGCCCATGCTTAATACAGAGCAGGTTACATGTCCCTTTGGAAATGCTTGGGATCGAGTGTTGGGAATTCTGGACCATTTGTGTAGTTTGGTTAATATTGCGGAAATGAGAACCAAGTACAAGGTGAAATTTGTTTATGTCTCTTGTATGCATTGCTTAAAGGTGATTTTGCATTGTTGTTTTCATTTTGTACATGAAACAAGATTTCATGGCATGGAATCTTCTACTTGTAGTTTTTTTTTTTTCCCATACTAAGAAAGTGTCAGAGTTTAGGATTTCTAGATTAGGGATGTTCACTCTATATGCAGGCACTGAGTGTGCACTTGGTGCCCGGCTTGCAGTGGCTACCCAGTGTGTGCCCCTCATCTGTTAGCAGTCTAGGACGTGGGTGGAAGAGTTGCTCACCTGGGCGGACTTCCTCACTGAAAGGGGAGGAGGTTGGTAGGCTCAACTTCGGCACCTCCAGGGCTCCCTGTAGTGGCTGATGGCGAGTCAGGCGTCTGCAGAAGTCGCCCCAGGCAGCCCTTGGAAAGTGTAATTCTGTCTGTTGGATGCTATCAGTTCTGGGTCTCCCTGAGGCTGGAACCTGGGCTTGCGGTGAGCCTGCTTGGAGCTGGCCTCGTCCGCCCTTAGGAGTGATCTGTCCCAGTCTCCTGCAAGTCCTGGTCAGCAGAGTTCTTCGGTGGAGTCTGGGCCTAGACACTCTATGTAGGGGCCAACGTGGGGCTCTCTGCAGAGCCTTGTGTTGTAATCGCTGTGTACAGGTGGCAAGATGGGGGCTGAGGGAGCGTCTCGTGTGTTCTGTTCAGTGACTCGGCCGGGGAGGCCTCGGCTCAGAGGTGGGTGGGGAGGGTCACAGTCATACTGCTGGGTAACTGTGTGGCAGCTGCATTCCCTCCCTCTGTGCAGGACCCTGATGCCTGGTGTGATCTGAGTAAATTTGACCTCCCTGAGGAGCCTTCGGCAGAGGGCAGCATCCATAGCAGCCCAGTGCAGCCTCGGGCACCGTCCCAGCCACAGGCACTGACACCGCGCCAGCCGGCGGGCCCGGCGTCCAGCGTGACCGAGTACCGCCTGGATGGCCACACCATCTCGGACCTGAGCCGCAGCAGCCGGGGCGAGCTGATCCCCATCTCCCCCAGCACGGACATCGGGGGCACGGGCATGGGCACACCACCCTCGGTGCTCAAGCGGCAGAAGAAGCGGCGAGTGGCACTGTCCCCTGTCACCGAGAGCAGTGCCAATCTGTCCTTCCTGGACTGCAACAGCCTCACGCCCAAGACTACGCCCGTCAAGACCCTGCCCTTCTCGCCCTCCCAGGTGTGTGCTCCACAGGCGGGTTTCCGGCCAGTACTTAGGGAGCGCCTACATTTTTCTCCGTGATGGTGTCCCTGGAAGTTGAGAGAGCCCAGCGGGGGTCTTGAAAATCCATAGGCAGAGATTAATCCTGTTGTCCTTTCTCTCCCGTGGCAGTTTCTGAACTTCTGGAACAAACAGGACACCCTGGAGCTGGAGAGTCCCTCCCTAACGTCCACCCCAGTGTGCAGCCAGAAGGTGGTGGTGACCACACCCCTGCACAGGGACAAGACACCGCTGCACCAGAAGCACGCTGCGTGAGTGCGCTCTCCTACCTGCCCAGCCCTGCCCACACAGCGCCAGCCTGGCTGTCCCAAGGAGACCCCTGAGGGTGCCCTTGTGGCTGTTACAGTGTCTTCCAATTCTTCCAGTTTGCTTTCCCTCAGTGTTTGTTTCTCTGAAAGGCAGAGTTAAGCAGGACAAGCTCTTCCATTTATTGCTTCTCTCCCAGATGGCCACAGTGGCCAAGGCTGAGCCAGCCCGAAGGTGGGCACCTGGATGATCCAGGGCTTGCATGTAGGTGCTAGGGGTCCACTCAGGCCATCGCCCACTGCTTTTCCAGGTGTGTTAGCAGGGAGACATGACTCAAACTGGCACTTGTATGGGATGCGAGTGTTGCAGAGGTTAACCCCCTGCACCACCACACTGGCCCCATTTTTTAGATGAAAATTTTTTTTTTTCTTTTTCCCTGTGCCACTTACAAAATCTAAATGGCCATGGAATATGTGACCCTGTGGTCTCCCCGTGTGTTTGGAGCTGGAAGGGCAGGTTAGCTGTGTGGGAATGGGTTCCTGAACAGGACAGCGGGGCTGCAGTCCCCATCTCTGGGATTCTGTGTCCCTGCCCTCCAAAGCCAACACAACACAACGCCACCTCATCCCAGGCCAGCTGTGCCCATTCCTGGGAACAGTGTCTGTGCGAGAGAGAGACTTCCCTGTTCCTCTGCTTTCCTCGTTGGCTGCAGGAGCAGCAGTGAGGACGTTCTGTGGCCTCGGCACTCCTCCGTCCTGGAGAAGTGGAATTCATCCAGTGGTTTAAAGATGCTTGTCCCTGGCATGTGGCTCTTGCGGGTTTCCAACAGTCTGAATATAGATGCCATGTTTATTTTTAATTTTCTGTTTCATTTTGGATCATTTCATTGACACATCTTCAAGTATGCTAACATTCTGCCATTTCTTTTTAATTTTTTTTTTTTTATCTGAAAGAGAGAGATCCCCCATTTGCTGGTCCACTCTCAGATACCTGTAACAGCCAGAGCTGGACAAGGCCAAAGCATGGAGCCTGGAGCTCCAGCTGGACCTTCCCTTGGGCTCAAGCTCTGGAAAGCAGAGCTGGGACTTGAACACCTGCACTCTGACAAGGATGAGGGTGTCCCAAACACCTGCCCCTAGTGACTTTGTTGTAGCAAGCCCTCCCTCCATCGGTCCCTATCTCTCATCTTCACTTTGTTAGCTTGAGCCAGTTCCTTCACCTTGGTGGGAATGGTGTGGCCTGGTATGCCAGTTGTGCCTCCTGTTGTGCGCTGGTGCCTCCTCCAAGCAGCCTGGTGCACCCCACTTTTGAGTCAGTGCTGTGGGTTTTTGTTATGGGCTTGTTCATCCTTGCTGATGCTGAGGAGGTTTCAGGCGTGGGTCATGTGGCCCAGGAACTTTGTGTCATGGTGATGCCACCTCATGGGACTCGGGGTTGACCTTTAACTGTGTTCTGAACTGTGGGACACTCAGGTGACCTGCAGGGACCTCTGTTTGCCATATGCAGGATAGCAAGGACTCTGTGGAAGCTGTTGGATTTCAAGTCCTGAGAAAGGCAGGGAACTGTGCGTTCTCCCTAGTTCTCTGGCTTCTCCAGAGTTCCCTGGGGGACCCCAGGTTCTGACAACCAGGGTGTCTTTTTGCATCCTTGAGGATCAGCCAGGTGGTGTCTCCCCATGGCTCAGGCCATGCTGCATGAGGGGCTGTGCTGTGGAGCCTGGCACCTGGCTGCAGAGCTGAAATTGGCCCTGTGTCCGCCCATACCTGCCCCATCGTTTGCTCCCAGGCAAGGGCCATGCATGGGCCGTTCTCTCCCAGACAAAGGATGTGTTTTGATAATTCTGCCTCTGAGCCTGAGTGTTCCAGGGTGTCTCCGCTCTGGTGTACTCACTGGGGTGAACTGCCAACACCTGCGGAGATGCTGGGCTTGGTGCCTTTTTTTTTTAAGATTTTATTTATTTGATTTTCCATCTGCTTGTTCACTCCTCAAATGGCTACAACAGTTAGGGTTGGACCGTACTGAAGTCCAGAGCCAGGAGCTTTCCCTGGGTCTCCCTCCCACATGGGTGCAAGGGCCCAAGGCCTTAGCCATATTCCACTGCTTTCCCAGGCCTGTTAGCAAGGAGTTGGGTCAGAAGTGATGGACTTGAACTGGGGCTCTTGGCTGCCGGCCTGGCCTCGCTCTCTGACTTCTGTGTGTGCCCTCTATTGTACATCCTCTGGAGAGAGGTGGGGCAGGACTGCAGTCTCGTGATTCTAGCCTGCCCTGCCACCTCCTGGAGCCTAGACTGTGGCGAGTGGCCTGCTCAGCCATCCACCACCATCCATCACTGCCTGTGGCTGCTAGCTGGCCCCTCTGCGACTCTTAGTTACCTTCTGTTTCCTGGAATGGCCTCCCTCTGAGCTCCGGATGTGGACCTGGGTGGAGGTCAGAGTAATGGACAGCTAGCTAGCTCGGTGACCACCTGTCCCCGACCCCCACCACTAAGCTGCCTCCTGTGACCCCTGCAGGTTCGTGACCCCCGATCAGAAATACTCCATGGACAACACTCCACACACGCCCACCCCGTTCAAGAACGCCCTGGAGAAGTATGGGCCCCTGAAGCCCCTGGTATGTGGTGTTGGGCACTGCTGTGGGTCTTTGTCCCTTGGGTCTCATCTGATCACTGTTGGGTCCAATTGACCTGTGGATAAGCTGGGAATTGTCAGGACCCACTTTCCTAGGCACCTTTAGTGTGCCTGGCGGCCGTGGGCCATGCTGCCCACCTGGTTTCTTTAGCATGTAGAGGACACGGGTGATAGTGTCCTGGTGTAGTGCTGGGGAGAAAAGCAGGGGAGGGGGTGAGTGCCAGAAAGATAAAGGCCAAGGGGAGGTGGGCTCTGTTCCGTTTGCACCTAAGCCCTTTGAGTAACACCTCCTGGTCCCTCAGACCACACAAGGAGTCACTCGGGGTCCCCGCTGGCCAGCATGGATGTCCCTTCTGGGCGTCCTGCTGTAACACTGAGCCCTTCCCCACTGCCCATGCCCATAGCTGATCTGCCGCGTTTCTCCTGGAAACAGCAGGTGTTGGAAGATCCTGGGAGGTGAGAGAACAACCCAGCCAGAGAGAGCCTCAGCCTGCAGCCCGCACCCCTGCCTATCCTGTGGGAGGCTCTGGGACAGCAGGGACTGGGTTGGGCTGCAAAGCCAGTGCTGTGTGGGGACTCAAGGGACAAGGGTCTGAGTGGACAGCCAGTGAGGTGTGTGGAGTGCTAAATGGTTAGTACCTGCCTGTTTTCATTGGAGTCGAGGTGTGCGGCCAGGCAGCTTGGGCCATGGAGCTGAGTGAATCGCTAGTCAGCCTGGGTTGTGGGCAGAGGCAGGCCATCTGGTCAACAACTGCATAGCCTCAGGCTGGGCCTGAGCTTCCAGCTACACAGATGACTATTCCTGCCAGAGGCTAAGCCACACCTACCTCAGGGTCAAGGTTGCCATCCCCTTGTCCCAGGCAGAACAGTTAGTGGCCATGAGTGCTCCCTGTAAGGTAGGACTAGGCCCCTAGCCTCTGTCCTGGCATGCTCCACCATGCCAGCAAGCAGGCTGTGTCTGGCACCTGACAGCCTGAGTGTGGGACCTCCTGCCGTTCCCCCCACCTGTAGCCTCAGACCCCACACCTGGAGGAAGACCTGAAGGAGGTGCTGCGCTCCGAGGCCGGCATAGAACTCATCGTGGAGGACGACCTGAGGCCCGAGAAGCAGAAGAGGAAGCCTGGGGTGAGAGGCTACGGGATGCTGGGGACAGATGCTAGACTGACACGGCGGGATGGGGCCTGGGGAGGCGAAGGGCATCCTTGTGAGGGTCAAGTCTGTGAGCCAGGAACTCAAGTGTGGAAGCTATGAGGGACCCCCAGCTGCAGGAGGACCCCAGTTGTGTGGACCCCAACTCTCGAGCCAGCCTCCTTCCCGCTGGCCTTGTGCGGCTCGCATAGGAGGATGGGGTGGGTGTGGTTAGGAGGGCAGCTACAGGGACTCCTTACCTGAGTGGACTCAGCGCCTAGTGTGTGGGTGGACTGAAGTTGGCTTTAGGCCCTCAGGGTGGCGGGAGTGGGTGGCTGTGAGCCAGGGTGGCAGCTGTTTAGGACCATGATGCTGGGTTGGGGACATCACCCTAGAGCCCCTCCTGGGGTGGGGCAGACCCCTGGCTGGTTTCTTGGTGCAAGCCGAGAGGGTTGGAGCATCCCTGGTAGCAGGTGTTTATGCTGGGTTCATACCACCTGTGTGCTGCTGTGCTCCGAGACCTGTCTGGGGGAGGGGTGTTGGTCCACTCCTAGTGAGGAGCTGGCAATCAGCTGTGTCCTGTGGACTGGGGTCAGAGATGCCAGAGTCACCCAGTGGTGGCAGATCTGCCTGTTGCAGGGTCTGGTTCTGGGGCCGTCTATGAACCCCGTCCTGACCACAGCCTTCCCCCCTCCCCAGCTGCGGCGGAGCCCCATCAAGAAAGTGCGGAAGTCTTTGGCTCTTGACATTGTGGACGAGGATGTGAAGCTGGTCATGTCCACGGTGCCCAAGGGTCTGGCTGTGGTAAGGGTCGGCCACATCCTGGAACACAGAGGGCTCTGGGAGGTGGGTCTTGTAGGTCTCATAAGTACAGCACTCTGGGTCATTGCATGGAAACCTCTGACCCGGGATCCCAGCCAGGCAGGGGTCCCAGCATCCTGCATGCAGACCTGACGCTGGCATTGGCTGGGCTGTGTGTCCTAATGACCACAAAGGAGGAGAAAAGTGTCTGCCCAGATTTAGCTTTGGCCAAGCCTTGGGTTTCAGTCCGATTCCCGCCACGGGCTGCCTCGGGTCGTTTCCCCTGAACACTGGCTGGAGGATGGGGCTGAAGATCCCCCTGGCTGCTCAGCTTCCTGGTATGCAGGCTTAGATGGGCCCGAAGGTTCTTACAGTCTTTTTAAGTAAGAAAGATCTGTTAAAACATTCTTTGCCTATTCTTTTGAGTCCAAATGGTTACAGCCCTCCTCCCACCCAGAGGAAACCAAAGCTTAAGAAGTGGCCCTTCTGGCATCTCCGGAGCTACAAGGTCCTGTGGCAGGGGGCGGCCTCCCTGCCGGCCTCCCTCCCTGCCGGCCTCCCTCCCTCCCTTCCTGGCCAAATGGTGATTTAGGCTTGGCTTTGATTTCAGCCAACCAGCATCGCCTCAGGTTCCACCTGCCACACCCTGTCTGGAATCAAAGAGGACAACAGTCTGCTCAACCAGGGCTTCCTGCAGGCCAAGCCGGAGAGGGCAGGGCCAGCGCCGAAGGCCCGCAGCCACTTGGCAATGCCCGCCCCGGTGAGTGCTCTCAGCCAGCTCCCCTCTGGACCTCCACGCAGGCCAATCCCCGTGATTGGCTTTGCTTGAGTAACTTGCTCCCTGAGCTCTGGCCACAAGCCTCCCCTGATCCCATACCTGGAGACAACCCTGCTTCAGTCCCCTCCCATGGCTGAGGCCTCGTGACTAAGCTGCCAGCTCTATTTGGGTTACTCAGGATGTGTCTGACCTCAGGCAGGCTGGCCCTGCCCCTGCCTGCCACTTGCAGCTTGTCCTCCCAAAGAGGGTCTGCCCTGGGGTATGGCCAGGTCTGATCTAGTGCAGCCTCTTGGCTAGGAGTTGGCAAAGCCTAGACATGGGGAGCGGCTTTGCCAGGGCTGCTCAGCAAGGCTCGGGAGGGCGCCTGACTTCTGGGATGGGAGTTTGTGGAGTCGGGGGAACACCGCTGCCTGCATCCCTGGACGGGACCTTCAGCGTCTGCCAGGCTCTTGCTGTCCCTGCTGCATGGTAACACCTATCTCTCCTCAGATGACCAGCGCCTGGAAGATGGTGGCCTGTGGGGGCACCAGGGACCAGCTCTTCATGCAGGAGAAGGCCCGGCAGCTCCTGGGCCGCCTGAAGCCCAGCTCAACATCTCGGACCCTTGTCCTGTCTTGAGGGCTTGGCGGGCGTGAGCCACTCTTTCGTGTTTACAGGGGTGTGGGTGTGAGAGCCACCCACGGGTGACTGCCTTCTGCCACCAGCCCCTCCCAGACTGCTCAGGTGGGGGCAGAAGGGTCACACACTGGCCACGCACAGCTGCGGGCGGCTCCTGGTGCTGACAGAACAAAGTCCTGCCCCTGGGTCTACCTGTTTCCTTCCCCGTGTTGCAAGGGGCCCTATTAGCTTCTCCCAGGCTCTGGCCGGGCCTCATCTCAGACCCTTGCCTGGGACAGGGAATGTATGCAGGGGTGCTTCCTTCTTGTCCAGCTCCTGTTGGCTTTTTTTTTTTTTTTTTTAAATTTTAAAGAATAAACTAGTTTTTTTTTTTTTTCTGTGTGTTGCCACTCTTCCCCCCGAGAGCCTTCTCTGGGCACCTGGATCTCGGCCTCAGTGCTCCTGGTCTGGCCTTGGCCTTGGCCTCTGCTGAGCCAGGTCGCCAGGTCAGACCAGACAGGGACTGCCGGGCAGAGTCTTCGGGCCACAGTGGCTAAGGCTGAGCGCAAGTCAGGGCAGGCCTAGTGGCCCCAGACCCCTCACGTATGGCCTGGCCTGTGCCCCCCAGCTCTGTCCCCAGCCACACTGCAGCCCGGCAGACCTGCAAGAGGACCGACCTCTCCCAGCCTGTTTCAGGGCCCCCTTCCTGGGGGAAAGTGGGGATGTTGGTGTCGTCTGGGTGACCTCTACCCGCCACGCGCGCATACAAGGGGTGCCCGGCCGCTCTCCCCACTTGAAGACTTGGGGTAGTCTCATGCAGCACTGTGGTGGTGCCTGCCTCTGGCTAAAGATGCAGATTCCTGGGCCCTCCAGCCTGGGAGTGAATTGCAGGTCTCACTTCTTCAGAATTGGCCCCAGGCTGCCCTGGCCTCTGCTTCCCCAGCGTCCTGCCCTGCCCCTAGTCTTGCTGTCTCATTGCCAGGTGCTGCAAGAAGCCTCAGAGAAGGGTGTGTCCTCCCCATGAACTGCACAGTGGGCTGTTGGGTTCACACATGACACACATTGAGGGTCCTTCAAGCCCCCCTGCTCTGCCTACTTCCCCACGCCAGGCCTGGTTCTGGTGTTTGAGGTAGAGCACTTGGGTGGCATGATAGAGCGCTGGGCTACAAAGTAGGGGGTGGAAGGGGTTGCTGATGACCACCAAGGAGGTGGGAGGTGACAGCCATGACAAGGTTGGACTGTCCTGGCCACCATGGTGGCTGGGAAAGGACTTGGTGCCTGTATGGTTTGGGGGTGACTTCGGTAATCCAAGGCCCAGCCATCCTAAGAGCTCTTGGTCACGGGGCTGATGGAGGTGGCATGTGCCTCTAGGCTGGGGATGAACATAAGCAGCTAGAGACGGCGTGGAGAACCTGGGGAAGATTGGGGGTGCTGGGGTCCTCTGGTGGATGAGCAGATGTTATGGGAGGATGTGGTTTTGGGTAGTGTGGAATACCAAGATGAGCTGGGAGCTCCCTGGGTATGGAGACTGGTTGGTCATTCCAGTGCTGGCCAAACCCCATAGCTCCCTGCAACCTTGTGTGGGCCCCGGGGGCTGCCAAGCTGGGGGAAGTGAGAGTTTCAAATTCAGACCCTCACAGGTGGGTAAGGGTATCCCGGCCGACTCGGTCTCGGGGGATGTGGCCCAGCTTGGAGTACCTGAATGGCTGATGAGACTCGGGAAAAATGGCCACTCAGTGTTACGGTTAGCTGTCAGGTCCTCATGCTTTGTTACCAAGCAGGAACTGTGTGAGGGAACCTTATGGTTGATGATCAGCTCAATGAGGGTAGAGACTGGGGCAGGTGGAGGCCACAGGGAGCGGCCTGAGCCTGGGTCTGGACTAGCCTGTGGGAAGGAGAGGGGGCTTGGCACTGAGAAGTTTGAATCCCAGAGGCAGGCAGTGAGGGGAGGCTCCATGCCCATGCGGTGGTGTGCCTGGAGTTGCTTTACCTTGTATCCCACATGGTAAAGGAGCCATTTGCATTGCTTTCCAAGATGTTCCTGCTAGGTGCTTGTCAGTTTTTTAATTATTTAAAGATTTATTTGAAAGTGGGCCCAGTGGCTAAATCTTTGCCTTGCACACACCAGCATCCTCTTATGAGCGCCATCATGTCCCGGCTGCTCCACTCCTATCCAGCTCCCTGCTTGTGGCTTGGGAAAGCAGTCGAGGACGGCCCAAAGCCTTGGGACCCTGCTTCTGTGTGGGAGACCCAGAAGAGGCTCCTGGTTCCTTGCTTTGGATCAGCTCAAGTCTGGCCATTGTGGCTGCTTGTGGAGTGAATCAGTGGACAGGTGGTCTTACCTCTCCTTTTCTCTGTAGATCTGACTTCCCAATAAAACTAAGTAAATCTTATAAAAAAATTTTTGAAAGTTACAAAGAAGGAAAAAAGATAGCCTCACCAGCCAGCGCGGGGCTATGCCAGAGCCGGGAGTTTCTAGGTTTCCCATGTGGTGCAGAGTCCCAAGGCTTTGGTCTCAGGCCCCAGGCAGGGAAGTGGAACCAGTAACCATATGGAATCCCGGCGCATGCAGAGTGAGGCCTTTAGCCACTGGGCTACCACACCAGACCCTACACTTGCTTATTTTGAAAGAGGAAGATCTCTATGTGTTGCCTCACTCCCAAACACTCCATAGCATCCAGGCTTGGGAGTGAGGCTGCTTACTTGGCTGAATAGAGCTCTGGGGCTCTGCCTTTAGTTGTTTTGGAATTCAAAAGAGAACAGGAAGTCATGAAAGTGCTGTTCTTATTTTCAGTTGCTTCTGTTGGGTTTCTATTAGATAATACAATTGGGAAAAGCTTTGTGCTGGACCGATTCATTCTGTGCAAGGTTGGGGTGCTCTGTTGCCACCTGGTGGCCATTGGTGTGCTTGCAGCAAGGAGCACTGGCCTTAGCAGGTCCTTGCGTTTTTCCACTCTTGGTGCTTTCTTGATCATCCTCACTAAAGCGGTTTTCTGAGCTTCACTTTTAGACTTCTGCAAATGGGAGAGGGAATTTGGCTACTTGGCAGCCTGCTCTGTTGTTGGGTAGCAGTAGTGAACACTGGTTCTTTGCTAAGAAGAACTTCTCTTCCTGGTAATAGAAGTGATAGCAGTGATGGAGCTGGGGTGCGTGGGAAGCCGGTGTGTGGGGAGACCCTGGGTGGGTCAGTGATGTGGGTCACCTGAGCTGACCATCCTCAGCAGACCCTGTCCTGAGAGGTCTGCAAGCTTAGCTGTCCCTAGACATCAAGGAGGTGTCGCTTGGACCAGGACCATGATGAAATGCCTCTGAGTTGAACTGTGTGTGCCCACCAGTGGCCAGTCATGTCTTGGAGCCCTCCGAACACAGTTCTTCCCCTGATGTGGACTCCCGGTTTCAGCTTCTCTGATCACGGGTTTCCTTGTGCTGGGGACTTAAAAATGGAAGCTGAGCTTGTTTTGGAGTCTTGGAATCTGTGCTTTGTGTTTTCATAATACTTTGTTTTTCTGGCTTTGTCTGAGCTTTTTGAAGACCTCTTGTGTGTGTCGCCTACAAATGTTCAGGTTGAAGGTGTGTAGTGGACAGGTCAGTTTGACAGCCAGTGCCAGCTTGGGCGTAGGTGCCCAGTGCACCCCCTGATTAGATAAGGTGGGTTGGGAGGATGCATGGGGCCATGCCCTGGGCAGTAGTGCCTGCCCTCTGCCCAGTGAGCAGCCAGGCTTGGCACTGCATAGTTGCTCGGCAGATGTCTCACTTGGGGGATGAACCAGCAGATGAAAGACCTCTGTCTCTGTAACTCTGCCTTTCAAATAAAATGTAGGCGTTAGGGGTGGATGTGACCTAGGGACCATATTAGAGTACTTAGGTTCAGTACTCTGCTCTCCTTGCCAGTGCAGATGCTGGAAGGCACCAGTGATGGCTCAGGTAGCTGGGTCCCTGCCACCCAAGTGGGATGGGAGGCTGCACTGAGTTCCTGATTCCTGGCTGTGTCCTGGCCCAGCCCTGACTGTTGTTGGTGGGCGTTTGGGAAGTGAACTAGCAGATAAGAAATCTGTTTCTGTGTATTTAATTATGTATGTAAATAAATAACACGTCTTAGCTTTGAACCAGATAATCTGTCAGAGGTGCTAAAGGGCCTATAGGGAGGAGCATCTCTCCCCGGTAAAGGGAGCCTGGTCACACTCCTCTGGTGGCCTTGGAGAGAGGCTCCAGGCATGCCGTCCTGTGCTCCCCCCAGGCAGTTGAGTAAGACTGTTCAGGCTTGACTCTTACCAGGAAGCCAGACCCAGCCCTCTGCCTGTTTCTGCACTTTCATTGGAACCTGCTTTCATTGGCTCTCCTATCACCCAGGGCTGCTGTCCTGTGGCAATGCCAGAGCCCAGAGGCAGCCACCTACACTGCGTGGAGGACAGACTCACATCCTCACCCTCTGGCCCTTGATCCAAGATGGTTGCCAAGTTACTTGGTAGGTCCTAACCTCCTTGGCAGTGCAGAAAGCGCTTCCCTGCTGGGTCTCTGAGCCGCGTCCTGTTTTCATGGTGTGGCCATGTGGTAGGTGGTGCACGGAAGTGGGCCCTTCTGATGGAGTTTTACTGATCTGCTAGTAATGCTACAATGTATTGCCCTGCACCTGCCTCGCGTTCTGCCTAAGTTATGTGGGGAAATGGAATTTAAAGACCATTTTGAGGCAGAAGTTTTTTGAAATACTGTTAAGTTTCTTCCTAATAATATACATTTTCTAGGAACTGTTTGAAGTTCCTGCTTCAAAAATCCTAGGACCAGAAAGGACTCTAGGAGTGGAATCTCACCCAGTCCAACGCAGTGTACGTGCGTTGTTTTATAGCTTTCCTTCGATTGACCCTACAGAGGTGTGGTCGCCTTCCATCCTTCCTGAAGTAATCCCATTGCCCACTCCCACATACACACGCACTTTGGCCAGGGGAGCAATTTAGAGCCTTTGGGATATCTACCCGTACACTAGGTGAAAAAAGACAAGCTACCCGGCTGGGGCGTACTTTGCACACCTTTTATTCCAACGAGTTGCATGTTGCACACGTGTGATGGATGCACATGGGGTCCTTCGTGTGGCTGTCATTTTTACTGTCCTGGTCTGAGGATCTTCAGGGCATTGGTCTCCTCTGTTGCCGACTCCCTCACATCACTTTGACAAACCAGCTTTTGTGGGACAAAAGTCTTCAGAATGAACAGCGGGTGGCAGTCGGCACCTTCGACGTTCCAGATGTCGGAACTGGAAAGCCAGGGGGAGAGCTGCAGGGGATCCTTGTGTGGCTCTGGGCCTGGGAGGTTGACTTGCAGAGGGCTCAAGTTGTTCTCTTCCTCCACGGAGCTTCTGTTGACGCAGGACGCCTCGTGCTCTCCCAGCTGCTTAATGGGAACCACGTGGCAGGCGTTGTATTTGCAGCTGGCCATCTTTTTGGCTTTCTTGGGGTTCTTTCTCCTACAGGATGCCAGATGGTACTGGAATCTGCTGAGTGGAATCCGGTGGTGCGGATTGTAAGGGCAGATTTCTAAGGCTTCTGGTTCCATGAGGGATTGTTCTTGGAGCAGAGTCTTGCACTGCCCGGAATCTCCTAGAAAAAGTCCTTTGGTAACCGGGTGGTTGTCCTCTGCCCAGCGTTGGCCCTTGGAGCTCTCTAGGCCAAGCTCCTTGTTCCTGGAACCACCGGTGGTGGATCAGAAGAGGGGCCGGGGGTCGTCAGCAGTAGCTACGCCAAGACCACAGCTAGCCGACGGCACTTGAGACAGACAAGCTACATCAAGCAGATGTAAGAGCCAAAGACCGCCTCAGCTGCACAGGAAGGTGAAGGAGACGCACCCAACCCCTTCCCTGAGAGTGAGAGAGATGCTGTGATGTCAGCAGCAGTCACAATGGGCAGCTTGCATCATCAGGTAGAGGTCACTTCCTGTCTACTCTTGGGCAGGGTGGGTGGCTTGGGGAAAGCTGCTGTTTAAGACTGATTGTGGCCTTCTGTGTTGCGTCGATTTGACTGTCCATGTTGAGTATGCTGTGCAACAGAGCTGGATTTAAGTCTCTTACGTTCTCTATTTTTCTTGTTCCTTCTTTCAAATAGTTTTTTTTAATGGCCATATTTTCCCACTATTTTGTACCACCTGTCATTTCTGAGTGGTCCCTCCATGTCTTAACACAGATAACTCATCAGAATTTGAAGTTTATAAACATTTTACCACCTTTCAGGAAACCAAAGGCCCTTTTCTTTACTTACTCCTCTCCTGATTCCTCATTCCCTTTAAGAGTTTTCAAAATTTCTTGAAAAAGTGTGTATGGGAAATAAATGTTCCTGGAATTCAAATAATTTGTGTGTGATATTTTTGACACCTAATTAGATGCTTCCATAGGGCCAGTTGTGGTGGCTTAATGGCTGAATACTCACCCTGCATGAACCAGGATCCCTTATGTATGCCAGTTCATGTCCCAGTGGCTCCATTTCCCATCCAACTCCCTGCTTGTGCCAAGAGGAGAGGCGGGGTTGCCGTGAGCGCTTAGCATGAGCTGCACTCTGAATTCCTGGGAGGAAAAGTAGGCAGGAAAGGCTAATTGAACAAGGAGTGGAGGGGGAGAATGGCTGGTGCCTTAGCCAGCCTCAGCTGAGGCTGCTGCTCTGTGGGAACAGGAAGACGGGCAGAGTCCTTGGGGGAGTCCCTTGCATTGGGGATTGCGTCCTCAGCATTGGGGACATTGACATTTTTGGGGTGAGCAGGTGGCTGTTAACCCAGTACTTTCTGTAGGGCTCAATGGTAATGGCCCACTTAGACTAGCTTAGGGTCTGACTGTACAGGACTGGGTAATACCTACTATGTCCCACAGGAGGTAGGTGGTCATAGTTAGCGGTATGTGATGAACAGGTTTGTTTTTTGTTTTTTTATTGGAAGGTCACATGTACATGAGACAGTAAGATCTGTCTGGAAAAGAAGATTAAGTACAGAAAGATCATCACTGCAATGGCCGGAGCTGAGCTGATCTGAAGCCAAGAGCCGGTAGCCTCTTCTGGATCTCCCATGCAGGTGCAGGGTCCCAAGGCTTTGGGCAATTCTCTATTGCTTTCCCAGGCCACAGTAAGGAGCTGGATGGGAAGTGGAGCAGCTGGGATTAGAATCAGCGCCCATATGGGATCCAGGTGCATTTAAGGCAAGGAAACTAGCCAAAGGGTTATTACACCAGGCCCAGGCTATATATTAAGATTTATTTTTATTTGGGCCCAATGTTATAGTCTAGTGGGTAAAGTCCTCGCCTTGCACTGTTGATTCACTCTCTAAATCTGGTTGCAAAGGTCAGAGATGGGCTGTTTTGAAGCCAGGAACCAGGAGCCAGGAAGTACTTCTGGGTCACCTGTGTGGATGCAGGGGCCCAAGGACTTGGGCTGTGCTTGACTGCTTTCTCATGCCATAAGCATGGAGCTGGTTGGGAAGTGGAGCAGCCGGGACTTGAACTGGTACCCATATGTTATGCTGGTGCCACAGGCAGAGGCTTTAGCCTATGATTCCATAGTGCTAACATTTGATGGGAAGTTTTTGTTTGAGTTGTCACATGAATTTTGATGCATATCAGCTGGGCTAATCAGAAACATGGGTGGCAGCTGGCAGAGCGTGTCAACCAATCGAATAGGTGCTGTGTCTCCTGCTGCCCACCTGCCAGTTTTTATTCTAAAAAAAAAAATAGGAATCTTATTTTTAAAAGTTCAATAAACCTTGTAAAAATTTTTAATTTTTAAATATTTTATGTTATTTTTTATTGGAAAGACAGATATACAGAGGGGAGAAAAGACAGAGAGGAAGATCTCCTATCTGTTGACTCACTCCCCGGTGGCCACAGTGGTTGGAGCTGAGCTGATCTGAAGCCAGGAACCTGGAGCCTAGTCTCGGTCTCCCACGCGGATGCAGGGTCCCAAGGCCTTGGGCTGTCCTTGACTGCTTTCCCAGGCCACAGGCAGGGATCTGGGTGGGAAGTGGGGCTGTCGGGATTAGAACCGGCACCCATATGGGATCCTGATGGTTGCAAGGAGAGGAGCCTAGCCTCTAGGCTACCGCGCTGGGCCTTCTCCTCACTTTTGTTTTTAAGCGAAACTATTCCTTTTCATGTGGGTATTTAAGTTTCTCTCTTCAAATAAAGTCTACACAATTAATGTGGGGAATGATGACTAATAGTTAAAGTAGCAAATGAATGAGAAATGCAAAATGAACAAGGTGTTATCCAAGAAAAGTGCAGTTTGGGAAATAGTGTTTTAATTAAGAAGGAGGGGAAAAAGTCTTGGTGAGATCACTGGAGTCAGAACCTGGCCAGGGAGTGGACCCCAGGTCCTCTGGTCCCACCCAGAACTGGGCCAAGAGGAACCCCGCCTGTTGAGAGGCACCTGCTGCAGGGCTTGGAGGCCCAGCAGTTGCAGCCCTCCGACTACCAGCAGAGGGCAGCAGGGCCCCACTTCTGACGTCCCTAAAGGTTGTAGGACCGGCAGCGGGGTGGGGTGCTGGGTGACTCCCCCAGGGGACTCGGATTGGTTTGGATCCACCCGAGTTAGGGATCCTCAAATGTGGGTTTGGGCCACCTGTCCCTCAGAACTCCATAGGGGCTTGTTAACTGTGTAGGTTCTTGGACCTCCTAAGGCAAATAGGTGTATCTTTGCAGCTCCAGATGTTTGGGATGGGAGATGTGGGGGTTCTCATGGTGAGGCTGTGGCCCTTGCTCCAGGGAGGTGCAGTGTGTGTGTGTGTGTGTGTGTGTGTGGTTATCACACACAGCAAGTGGTCAGATGGCATTTTGACCCACCTTTTACTTAATTGAGTGGAAAGGTTTTAGAAAAACATTTCTCATCTATCTACCCATTTGTCCATTCACCATCATCCATCACCCGCCCGTCCAGCCACCATCCGTCTACCCACCCACTTTCCAATACATCGCCACTAAACCCTTGCTATGTGTTCCTTCTGGATATGTGGACAAGACAGACCCCACCTCTGCCCTCCCAGAATCCACGCTTTTGTGGAAGAGCCAGATCACAGCAAATAATCCCTTAGCTATGAAATGACGACTCAGCCAATGCTTTGGAGGAGGGCTCCAGGAGAGTGCAGGGAGTTTAAGGGAGGATGTGAGAGAGTCTTCCTTGAGAAAGTTAGACTTGAGTTGATCTCAATGGTGAGCAGGAGTTAACTGAGCAGGGATGTGTCAGGCAAGGAAGCCTCGTCTGCAGAAACTGCAGGTGGAATTGAGCTCTTCATCTCGGGCACACTGCAAGAAGGCAGGGTGGGTTGGCAGATGTGGGCCAGCGTCCTTCAGTCTTCACCTTTCTCATCCTCAGAATGAGACAGGACGATCTGTCTGGCAAAGACTAAGTGTCCTGACAGGCCTGGGGCCTCCACTATAATTCCCAAAACATAATTGGTGTCAGTGTGTGGGATGGACCTGGACGGGACCGAGGTGGTAGAGAGCCTGAGTGGAGGGATCTGCCTGCCTACAGTGACTGGCAGGAATCTGAGGGCTCCCAGGGAGCCAGTGCTGTGCTGGTGTGCTTGGCTTCAAGCTCTGGTTGCATCTCCCGTTCTAACTTCCTGCTAAGGCACGTCCTGCGAGGAGGCCGTGACGGTCCCAGTCATTGGTCACTGGCACCTGCATGGCGTATCTGGATTGAATCACTGCCTCCTGACGTCTGCCTCACTCAGCTCTGGCTGGTGGGGGCAGTTGGTGAGGAGACTTCTATGTCTCTATGCCTTTCTCTCTTCCTTCTTTCTTTTTAAATAAAGATTTATTTATTTTTTATTGGAAAGTTAGATAGACAGAGAGGAAGATCTTTCATCTGCTGATTCACTCCCCAAGTGATTACAATGGCCAGAGCTGAGATGATCTGAAGCCAGGAACCAGGAGTTTCTTCTGGGTTTCCCATATGGATGCAGGATCCCAAAACTTTGGACCGTCCTCTACTGCTTTCCTAGGCCACAATCATGGAGCTAGATGGGAAGCGGGACCGCTGGGATACGAACAGGTGCCCATATGGGATCCCAGTGTGTGCAAGGCAAGGACTTTAGCCTCTAGGCTACTGTGCTGGGTCCTGTGCCTTATAAATAAATAAATAAATAAATAGCAATGCCTTGGGGGGAAAAATGAGGAGTGAGGTGTGGGGAAACTATGGGTGGGGTGGGGGCTGGTGCACTTGACTGACCGTGGGGCCTGAGGAGTGTGTTTTAAGTAGGGCGAGAATTACTGCTAGCATCAATTCTCTTGATGAAAACAAAGTGAGATTGGAGAGTCTGTTGCTCTCTTTCCCCTGGTCCGGATGACTAATTATCAGAATCATTTTTGCAACGTTACCGTATATAGCCCTGCCATTAGGCAGAAGCAGGAGCTGGTGGAAGCCTGATTCATTCCGAAACCCCAAAAGATAGAAGCCGAGCCTGCTTCGAGCGAAATGACTGTGAGCATTCAGTTGAACTCAGCTGTTGCCACAGGTGTGACACAAAGCAGAGCGCCTGCCTCAGCTACCCGGAATGTCTCGGGGCTGCTCATGGCCAAGCTCTCGGCCAGGTGCAGAGCAAGTGCAATGAGTCGTCATGCTGGGGAGGGGAGGGCATGAGACCCTGGGCCTGGGAGCAGGATCGAGGGATGGCTTCGCTCTGTGTCGAGCCCGTGGCCTGGGCTAACTCCCTCCCTGCCATGGGTCTTGGTTTCCCCAATCTGGGAAAAGAAGGACTAGACCAGAGGATCATTCTGGTTTTGAGGGTGTTCCGTGGGGGTGGGTTACAGGTGTGATTTGGGATGCCTCCTTTGGTTCTTCTGGCTCCAGTTTCCGCTTGGATGCTTTAAGAGTCTCTGAGAGTTGGTTTGCTTTCCTTCCCCATTGTTGATTGCTGTCCACCTCGGGAGTCCAGTGACTCCGGACCTCACTGAGGACAGACCAATCTTGACTTTCTTCCTGTGTGCCAGCAGTTTGATCTGGGGATATATGAGGCCACCGTGGCTAGTCTGAGGATAGCGATTTGAGGAGTGGACCTAGTGTGGAAAAGTATAAGTCCTGGAGTTCTAACCTGGGGCATATGTAAGCCAGAACTACAGTCTGACTCAGTGGGCCCTCAAGCCCCCGAACCCCTTCAAAGTCATGTTCCTCCTCTGAGCCTCAGCAGGGAACATTCGTGAGCTAGAAGCAGAGCCAACACGGCTTGGTGCTTTGTGAGTGCCAAGTGCAGAGCTAGGCACTTGACTGTGTGATGGCCTTGCTTCTTCATCTTGACTGTGTGAGGGCACAGGTGGCATGTTGCCTCCAG